TCAGCTTTTATTCTTTACAATCAAATCCTTGAACCCATGGCAAATATTATCTTCTCTCTCAGATACACAAATTGTGGTTGTCTGTTTTCTTCTTTTCTCACAGCACTTGCAACCATGACGGTCTTACGTCTAATTAAATACAAAACATTACAAAGCTAAAATTACTACTTAAAACCTAATGGGGGTTTCAAACACTCTTCTTACACCAAAAAAAACATTTCAAAATCTATATGTAAGAATTACTTAAAACAGACTTAGTATACTTTCTTAGTTTTTATTTGATATTGACATTTCTCGAAAACATAGTGTGTTTTTGACTACTTTATTCCAGCTGGTTACAATCGCTAAAAGAAGTATCTCTGATTATGTCAAGCTGTCTCCGCCATTGGTGCAAATTTATCAGTCTTTCCCACATCTAATCTGTGCTTCCATGGATTTAATAAAGCACAGACGGCACTTTCTCACGCATCTTTCATGCTCACATCAAATCGGCCTTTGGTCATTTTGTCTAATTGTCGGAAAGAACCATTGGAGTTTAAAAGCCGAAAGGACTGAACATTTCAGTCATGCATTATGAAATTTGCAGTACCTTTCTAGAAGCAACGCCTAAATTTAGATGAATATGGATTGCCCAATGAAACGCTTGTAGGATTATGAATCGAGTTAAAGTCATCAAACATCGTCAAGTCAAAAATTGTATTCTATTTATAGTCAGGGCTGTTAGTCAAATGATTGTGCAAATTGTGATACCTGCATGAAATTTTGCAAAAATAGGCAGTGTGATACGATAGATAGAAAATGGACCCCGTCTGACAATTGCCCCCTTGGGATATTTTGAGACTAGGGTACCTTACCACATGACTCCACTATTGGCGTTATTTCAATATCTCTGCTGAAAGTAATAGCAAACTGTGCAATAAGTGGCAATCCGATTCGCTAAAAATGGTAGGACATAGACCCCAGCTGAACAATGGTCCTTGTTCTACTTTTAAACTGTGGTACTTTACCCAAAAGCTCCTGTAACGACGTTCTTTCAATTTCTCTGCCGTAAGTAGGTACAATAGAACGAAACTTTGCAGCAAGGGGCAATTTGATACGCAGAAAACGATAGGATATAGACATCTGAAAAACGCCCTTGTTCTATTATTAGACTGGGGTACCTTGCCCCAGGCCTTCATAGAAGGTATTATCCTATTTCTGTCGTACTTTGGTACAACAGCATGAAATTTGGAGATAAGAGACGCAGAAAAAGATATCATATGGAGCTATCTGGTGGTACTATATTTAGAAACTCTGACTCAGATCTTTATCTGCCGTTCAAGCAGACTGGCTAGACAGATCTTGTAATGTTACAAAGTAAACAGGAAGAATTTTTTTTTGCGATAATACACAAATATCACTATACCAAAACTAGACATCAAAACGCTGGAATTGGCAAATATCACTATTCTGCAGGGTAAATTGCTTGCATTTGGACCTTCTGGTGTGATTTTCCTTACAGTTGCGATGAACTAACTCCCAAGCTTTCAATGCACAGCTCTGTTATCTTGAACTCATTCGAGTTCATTTATACCGAGTAAATTCTGCCATGTTACTAGTGGCGTCATATAATGCTTTTTATTGAGGTAGGAGGGGGTGGCTGCATTTTTGCCATGCGAAAGATATTTGCCCTGCCAAAAATTGAATTGATGATATAGAATACATCAAACAAATTCTGATATTCATTCTCAAACATAATGATTGGATATCGGATCAATGTAATAAATCAGCACTTCGACAAAGTCAGTCACAACTTCGTACACCGTAGAAAACAAGAGACAATTGTCTTGGGCCAAGCGACGTCAATAGGCCACATTTCACTCTAAATAAAACCATATAACAATCGGACTTATCCATATCCGAAATATTCTAAAAACACACTGGGATATTATTGCAAAGGACAGACAAAGAATTAATAAATAAATGGTCGCAAATTACCATTCTAATACTACAAAGGCAAAAATATCTTGAAGATTGGTCAATGCACAACTTAATTTGTATCATACATTTTATAAGAACCGTCTCACTGCCACACCCCTATATATCCAACTCAAGTGTTCCATGCGCGATATATTTGCAGAAATGTATTATTTATAGAATGAATAACTTTATGTACCTCTACAGCTACACTATATCGATAAATTCGCACAAACATACATTTGTTCAGTTGGAATTCAGTTGTGTTATAAACAACTCTACATTACATTGACACACCTTTGCTGCCATTATCCCTGGATGCAGGGGTGGAGGGGAACCCAGTTGTAAAGGAGCATACTGATCATAAGCCCCAAAATTTTCTACCTGGTTAAACTCAAGTTTCAAAACACAACATGCACATATGAAGTTATATATATAAGACAGTATAGTATGTCTGTTTTGAAACATGCTTCAATTATTCAGACACATTACTTTAACAACAAACTGGATTCCAGGTCTCTCCCGGCACAAGGCAGTGTTGCAACGTCCCGTTGTTATTGCACTAATTTTTTCTAAGTTTTCTGACAAGCTGTACTTGTCTTTTTTGCATGGTTGAAAAAAATGACACCAATATCGACTGCACTTAAATCTGAGTGAAAAGAAATCAGAATCGATTTGAAAATCTATTCCTTCCAGTTTAAACTATCATTGGCAATCCCTTTTTCGTGTTAGTGGCAGCTTTATCGTGTTACTTTCAGTACAAACAATTGTTACAAACAATTTCCAAGCATAAACTACCCTCCCGCTTCAAGAAAAACATTAAAGCAGATCCATTGGGAGAAAAAATTTGCCTTGCCAAATTTAGTTTTCGCTGCAAGAAGGCCTTATTTTCGTGGTTGGAGGCCCATACCCCCTCAAGTGACGCCCCTGGTTACTAGCATCTGCCCCCGTATCATTCTAAAGAACATAGCGTGAAAGTCAAACAGATTGCAAGGAAAGAAAGTCATACATATAAGATGCAAGCTGAAAGGCAGGCAAATGCAGTTTAAAGCCCCGGCAAAACGACTGGACATTTGCACTGGTCACACACTGGACATTGCTCACTTGTTCGGAGTATGTAAACAAGAAAATATTGGTGGTGGCAAAACGACTGAACATTGTCCAGTAAACTTTTTCCCTGTTGAAGAATGCGTGCGGGAAAACTGGCAACAGGGCGTCTCTTTACCTTTGAAAATACACTTTTCATAGCCCTAACCGCATCATCGTATGAATTAGAGTGTATTATCAAAGAATGGCTACAATGCCTGCCAAAAGTCTTGAAACACTGACATCAATTTCCAAGGTCAAAACCAATCATCCCCCTCTCCCCCACGGAACAATGTTGGTTTACTATCAAACGGGCTAGGATTTTAGGAAGCACTTTTTTTTGCGCTTCTTTTATGATATTTTTTTAAATCATCAACATTGTTTGAGGGGGAAGGGGGCGAAAGTAGCAAATTTTTTTCATGAAAGGAATGAAAGATATCAAATGCAGCGTAAATTGGTGGGTGTTCCAAGTACTTTTGGCAGGCATTGTAGGACTGCTAGGTTCATCACAATCACCGTACTCCCGCTCTCTACCATCGCCTTTCTTATCGGAACTAAAGCTTATATCTTCAGAAAACTCATCGTTACTAATGAAATGCCTTTTTCTGCTTTTCGTCGAATTAAATGTTAATGTTGATTCCATTTCTTTGCAGGGTTTACTAGGATTGTTTGTCGAAGATTTGAAAATGGGAAATAAATTGACGCCAAATCCAATCCATTACATCAATTGCGCGTGCGCGAACTGGACAATGTTCAGCAGGGTGGCAAATGACTGAACATTTCTCTACAACATAACATATATGAACAAAAGAAATCTAATCCTGTACACTGAACTTTTTTGACTGCGTTCAAAATCGACTGAACAACACTAAAAATCGCTGAACAAGGCTGGGCAAGGTGGCAAAACGACGCAACATTTACGCTGGATATTTGTTCAGTTCATGTTCAGTGAAAATGTCCAGTCGTTTTGCCGGGGCTTAGCTGTGACATTGACATTGTCAGGCCGCTTTGATGCATTCTCATGAACAGGAATCCACCGTTTATTGTTTCCAGCTCCAAACTCTATCCACAACTTTATTTATCAAGGTATCATACATCTTTAGCAATGATACCAACTATTTTGAACATAGCTTCGGTAGAGCGTAGACGTGAATGAAACTCCATATCGTTGATTTTATCTTTAAGTATATACAAAACGTGACTATAAACAACTATAACGTAAACGTAACTTGTTAGCCCATCATAAACTTGTAGCGTGACTTTTTCGTAACTTCACTACTTCAAACAACTTAACCTTACAATATAGGGCATGAATATATAACGTAAGAAGACTGGGACGAGTAGGAATCCCCCATGATGGCTTGGGTTGCGAAATATATTGACTTCACAACACTAACTGTGGACAACTAGAGTAAATTTTAGAACATTTAAGTTTGGAAACAAAGATACAGCAGGAACTGCCATAAAGGTATCTAGATTTCGAATCGTGAAATCGCGTTGTTCTGCATCTGTTGCATTTTTGACGTGAAGAAACATGTCATTCGTGTTCATTAGCAACAAATAATTTTGTCAGATAAATTTTCGGCGGATAAACTTCGTCGAAAAAAATTTCGGACAACTTTTCAGAATTTCGTCGTAGATTTTTAAGACAAAAATAGCAACCAATTATCAAAATTTTAAGTGACAAACCCATACAGGTTGCTTTATAAGTGACAAACCCATACAGGTTGCTGTAAAGTTCAAAATTTGGGTGAAAAGTGCAAATACATTGAACGAATGAAAGAAATAGTACAGTTGAGTTGAAAAAGTCAAAGTTGTAACAGTAGCGTAGCCAGGCCAGGGTGGTAAGTTTTGATGGGGAGGGGGGGGGGGGGGTCGGTAGGGCAAAAGCGAGTTGATCAAGAATAATTCAGCAAGTCAACCTAAGAGATTATTTGCCATTAGGGGTGGTGCCCTCCTCTCGGTGGCGTCTGTGGGGGATTCTACAGCGCGCATAGCAACCATTTAGTTATGTTCTATTCTTAGATATATTGCTTTTTAAAGACAACAGGATTTTCTCTATTAATTATATATTGCTTTATTCACTTGAGGACTCGAAGTAGCTTAATTTGTTTTGTTATGATATTATATTTACGTACTTGTCTCCTGTTAATGTGTATGTGAACAAGGTAAAGGAAACTGATATTCGTGATGCATTTAAAACCTACGTAAGACCTTTGTATCCGTATAAGCAAATATAGGTTCCCTGATTTGACATGTTGATTAGCTGAGTAATGTAAATTGAGTTCATAAAAGTATAGTAGGGCAGTGTTAGTGTAAAATGTGTTGAGGAAAGACATGTAGAAAAATTGAGAAATGATGAGACAAGGCGTACGTTTGAGTTTTCTTTGAAGAAATTTCTTGGTTCGTGGAGAAGTATATATGTTTCGAGCCAGCGTAATTGAGATAGATTGCGATCTATAACAGCGTCCTCCTAACCCTTTTTGACCCAAGATAGCGCCCTGTATAAAACTAAACCAAAGAGATTATTTGCCATTGGGAGTGGCGTCCACCTCTCGTTATGCCACTGAGTTAGAACTATTTTCATATACTATAGATATTCCTTGATAGGAATGAGGTTAAACTTGATATGAATGAATGAGGTATGAAACGTAGAAATAGGGCATTCACAGAGAGCAGATCGCATCTACGGCTGATAGAGTTGTTGTGGTTGCTCGTTTCATCACTTCCAAACTTCACAACTGAAGCAAGAACACGAGTGTTTTGGGTTTCAAAACAGCTATTGCCTCACACAAGGAAATATAAGAAGGTCAGAAATATTTTGCACATTTCGCACTTTATCAAGAAATCTCTCAAAGCTGTTTTTACAGTCCTCAAGAAAAACCAAAAGAGAAAGTAAGTGAGGACACATAGGCCTAGGCCCTTTCTCGTCTGCCTATTTTTGTGGCTCGGTCTCATCAACAAGCAAGAGAGTGCTGTGATATTAAAATGAGTGGAGTCGAGTTGAAAGAGCAAGGCAACCGCCTGTTTGCTGCACGACAATATGAAGATGCAGCTGCCTGCTACTCCAAAGCAATCGTAAGGCCAAATTTTATTTCTCAAACATTTTATGGTTTTCACATACCATTAATAATCAGCCATAGTGGGCCGGAGCTGTACGGCTCGTGTCAAATATGTACGGCCTTATGCCATGACTAGATATCTCGTATTAAGGGTGGAAATCTTTTTGCGGTTTGAAATGATAGAAAAATCTGAGCACGTACGATTTTATGAACTACAAATGTAGTCCATGGGTAAACCAGTCATGAAAAGCATTACAGTTTTCAACAAGTTATTTTGTGCATGTGGGTAAGAGTGCTGACATGGTGTGCAATGTGTGCACACTATGTCAGCAAATAAAGCAACTTTGTGCCTACAAGTAATGTTTTCAAAAATACAAAATGTCGCGCTAAAGAGCCAATTTTATTTTGTGTTCTGCCAAAATATTAACTGCAGTTAATATATGCCATTAAATAATATTTGGAACCATTGATTATTGATTATTGATTGATGGAACCTAGGCCTGGCCGTTTGGGGCAAGCAATAGCTCAAGCTCCCCTCCATGCTATCTTCTCAAGCTGAGGCAAGCTGTGAATTGCTCTCCTTAATAAAACTTGAAGGAAAAATTCCCCTAAAATTTCCATTCATTTTCCCTTTTCATATTCAGAGAACCCTGAAATACTTACAAAAGTTGATTGGTTTATTTTTGTAACAGCGAGTTCTTATTTAAATCTTTAAAAAGAGTTTTATTCAAATTGCAAAATTATTGTTCTATTTCTAGTCACAAAACCCATCCGCTGCCATATATTATACCAACCGTGCACTGTGCTTTTTAAAGCTGCAAAGCTGGACAAAGGTTGTCACAGACTGTCAGAAAGCAATTGAATTAGATCCAAAGTCGGTTAAAGGCTATTACTTTTTAGGACAGGCACATTTGGAGCAAAAGAATTACGATGATTCAATCACAAATTTCAAGCGAGGTAACTTTTAAATGGCTCTAATTAGTATGTTATCTATAATGCCTCTTTTCTCATGGAAATTTCTTGAATTTCACTGTTAAGCAGAATGGTGCTGGGCCTGAAGAAAAATTGAAGTATGATTCATATTTACATACATCTTGGATGCTGTCAGAAGTATCTAGTAAATGTCTGTCTAAAGGCAAAAACAAAATATGGCTATGCAACTCTGAGAAAGTTTCCAAATCTAATTCAAGAAGATATAATATATCAGTAATAATATATCTAATTCTAGAAGAAATCATGATCAGGGGAATGTTTTGCCAATGACTGAGATGGATTGTTGCCAATCAGCCAAAATTTGACTTCAGTGGAATTTGATGGTGTAAACTCTTGGGCTTGGGTAAACTCTTGAGATTCTGTTTAAATAACATTTGAAAATTTTTCAATTCTAAACGTTTTCTTACTTTGGTCAAAGGCTTATTATGTAGTGAAATGACATGTGTAAATGCAGTTCTTCTCTCACAACAAATTGTGGAGATTCAAATGTTATCCCGTCCAGGCATTTGAAAACGTCCAAGTGCTGTAAATGGCTAAGCATTTAAGTGCATGATAATAATAATAGTAACTTGCTTTAAAATGCTCAGCCTTGGTCAGCCAGTCTTGAGGCCCAAGAACCTGTGAGTCCGCCCCTGCAAAAGGAACACATTTTTGCTTCTAGTGGAAACCATTCCAAGATAGATTTACTTGGTTTTCGTTATTTTGTGGTTAATTGCATTTTCATGCTGGTAAATATTTCTTGAGTCATCTTCTCATCAGGAAAGCATCTGGCAAATTTTGGTCTGAGAGTAAATTAAAATTAGACGTAACTAACTGATACCAAAAGAATCAATGAAAAACAATTTCCATTTTATGCCTTGAGAAGTCTCAATTTTTCTTTGAAACTAGCATTTTTTATCCTTTAGCTCATGATCTGGCCAGAGACCAGAAACTAAACTTCGGAGATGACATCGCCAGTGAGATAAGAATTGCGAAAAAACAGGTAGAAACATAATTGGAACCTTTATCTCTAGTGATAACTTTTTTGTTTCTTTTAACTTTCGGAGCTTTAAAGTGGATCTGCTTTTAAAACTATAGCAGTTATAGGAACTTAGGGTGGAAAAACAGATTATTAGGAATGACCAAGATGTTCAAGCAATTAAGTTTGGCTTTATCTATTGATGAAACTAACAGTCTTTTGTCCTTCCCATCTTTATAGACCTTTTTCTGTTCATAAGGAACAAAAGCTTATGTCGAAGAATATCCTTCCCACAATGTTTTTGAGGATTTGCGATTGTTCTATGGCTCTTGGTTTTAGCGTTGGAGTACTTTTGAAGAGAAACGAATAACACAAGAAATCGAACTACAAACTTATGTTAACCGATTGATACAAGAAGATAGGGAAAGGTTTGTTAGTAGAAAGTTTTACGCCATAGAATAGGAAATATTTTTGCCAACTCTTCAAAAACTACTTTTTATCTAGTATTGTTGTGTATGAAAAGTTGGGCGTGAGCCTAATCCTTAGTTAGCTTGTACGCTAAAAATTAAACTTCGGTGTTCTTTTTTGCCCTGTTTTTTTGGCAAGAATATCTTGTTCCACCATCGTGTATTTTTTTAGTTTGATAACCTTTTTGAAGCTATCCTTGTTTTGATTTTTCCCTCGGAGACAGCGAAACTTGAAATTTTAAGGAAAACATAAAATGTAAAATGCAGGCTTTTTGCCAAAGTCGTAAAACTGTCATTTCGTATCAGAGACGGCGAGTAAGACATTTTCCCCTTTTTGTGCTGAGAACCGGCTTATTGTTTCAATTCCAAATCAACGGAATAAATATTTGATTATCCCTGGAAAGTATCTTCATTTCTGTTGTTTTTTTAATTAGCATATGTCCCCAGGATATATTTTCGTGTGCCCCTAATCGACCGTTAAATTTAAGACATACATAGAGTTCTTTTGAGTTCGCAAGCGTTTCAAGTTGCACTTCATTTTCAATCCTAGGCAAATTTCAGAGCTCTCAAGCGATTCCAAGTCCGAAGAAGAAGTAGAAAAAATAACAAGCATTGCGGTAAGTAAATTGCGAATCCATCTCGTCAATAATAAAAATTTTGTTTATAACAAGAAAGGAGGAAAGTTTCAGTTTCAGTTTCAGTTAGATAAGAGAAAACTTGTACTTTGTGACCCTGTGGCTTCAAACTGCATGGTCTGTGCCTCGACCCTCTAATTAATCTTCGCTGGAAACGAGGCAGTCGCCTTGTTGAGGATGGACTCGAGCAGGTTCAGTAAAGAAAAACTTTTCACTTCTGAAATTCCACGTTTAATGTTAGCTAGAAAAAATGTACGGAATTTTATATGCATAAATCTTATACCGAGTCGTTTGTAGGTTGTCCAACCTCTCATCAAGGTATTCTCCGCAGAATGTTTAGTCGTCCATATAATATGTTTTTTCTTTGTGAATTACCATTCAAGTGCATCTTGTGTTTTCGACTTCTGGGAAATTTAGTTTTTAGGAAGGTGAATCTCCGGATGTTTCGTCTTTGTGTTTGTTCATGGTAGCTTTCAAAAGTGGCATCGGATGAGCGGGATTCTCATCTAGCATGCTTTTTTGACTCTGTGATATCCACCACCTTGATCCTATAAAACTTTGTATAAAAATAATTTCGTATTATATCTATCAGATATGAAGATTATCGTAGTTGTTATGCCCTTGAGTACCATTTTTGTCCAAACAGTCCTTGTTTTTTATAATAAGCTGTCAAGAAAGACTAGACTTGTGTAATATTTTGTCGAGTTTACACTTTACTTGTTTGATCTATAGGATGAGAGATTATGCCAGTTGAACGAACTTTTTGCACAAGTCGACGACAGACGAAAGGTAATAAATAATCTAAGACGGTATTGGCGATCTGCAAACTTTTTGCCATATTTGATGTTATTTAAGATGTTAGCGGAACTAAATATTCTTATTTTGTCTAAACGCCTGCCAAAGTTACTTGGAACACCCAGCAATTTGCGTTGTATTTTTCTAATTTTCATTTCTTTCCTAAATACTACAACATCAACCCCCCTCCACCCCTACAACAATGTTGATAATCTAGAATAATGTCATACAAGTAACAAGAAAAAACGTACTTCATAAAACCTTTCTTTTATAGTAGAACAACATTGTTGCAAGGGGGAGGTAGATGGCTGAGTTTACTTTTGAAAAATGACGCTAGTGTTCCAAGAATTTTGGCAGGGGATGGCAGGCGTTTAGTTTCATCGCAGTTGAAAACTCTTTGATGAACTGGGCTAGGGATCAAATGAATTAGGCCCGTGTATCATAGACTCTCCAGCTGCAAAATTTGACTGCAGTTGTTTCCTTCATTGCTTATTTTGTCTAGAGCATGCTTGATTCTGAAATTGAATTTAGATCAGTAAAAAAAGTCTGTCGTTACTCGTTCTCTTCATCCCCCCAAAAAACATTTTTACAGCAATCATGACAGAAAGGGTCTGGTTCTCTTGCAAAGCTGCGTTTTGATTTTAGCTGATTTGATTTGGTTAAATTCTGACATGATTTGATGGGCTCAGACATAACATCAAAGATATATAGCATAGATAGTTCGTGTTTAGTAAACAGTGACACTGTTAATACCCAACATTATCTGGTCTTTGTTATGACTGTGCTGTATAAAGACTTGTCTTGTTATTTCGAAATATCAACAATAAAATGCTGTTTTTTGACAGGCGCATTACCAATACACAATTTTATTTCCCCATTCAACAAATCTTGAAAAACATAGATGCGTAGAAAACTACAACTTGTGTTCTTTTTGAAAATGGCAACGAAATGCCAGAATCATAGAATACTGAGGTACTCTTTGTCCGACACTCTTCAATTTTTGCACTTCACAACTTTTCCAATGTCACTTATGATTAATTTTCACGCCTTCTGCTATCATTTTCATGTTCTCTTTTTATCCTGGTCTCAGATAATATGAAAGTCATATTTTAAGTCGTAGAAGAAACCTCCGACTGAATATTTTGGTAGCAGTTTCATAAATTACGTCTTAACACATTAGTTCCTACAACCACAAGCAATATAAAAGATTTGCTCTAACCAGTTTCAATTTTCTTTCACTTATCCAAGCGCGATTATACAGTAGCAAAAACTGCAACAGTGTATCATCGTAGCAATGTAGCTTTCAAACGATATATATTTAAAATGATTTTATTTTACCTACAGAAACGGGATGTACCAGAATACCTTTGTGGTAAAATCAGTTTTGAAATAATGAGAGATCCTGTCATAACCCCAAGCGGAATAACGTATCTTTTTCATTATATTGATTAAACTCGCAATTTGGCGAGTATTGAATGTCTGTAGAAGCTACAATCTCCACCAGATTTTCTTGGAATGCCCGGTTGCTTTATTGTTGTTTTGAATAAATGTACTGTTTTCGGTAAAAAAGACCGGCAACACACCCCTTCTCCCCCAAAGTAATTTTGGTTGTAGAATTAGAATTAAATACCATGGTTATCTGAAATTAATCAATTATACCCAGCAAAAATCGTAACATTGTGTAAAAAACATTGCGTTGGGGAGGGGGAAGCGGTATGCAGTAAAGAATGTTCAAAAACTTAGTGCAGTGTGCCAAAATTTTTGTCAGACATACCAGGTTGCCTCAAATGAATATCTTCATAGATTTTCTTCAGCCTTCTCTTTGATAAGGAAATTGCTTGTTCTCAATAAACTACCCCTATAACCTTCAGCTTTGTCAGTTAGAAGTCTGTTTTGTTTGATTTTTCTTAATGTTGCAAAGATACGACAGAAAGAACGTTGAAGAACATCTACAGGTAGGTAGCAAACAACATTGCTTATTTTTGTCCTTGCAAAGGTATGACCGTTCAACTCAGTTATAAAGCACTTTTGGTAAAAACCCAGCCTGATTGTGCTGTACCAGTAATTTACGAAGGGTGATATCCCCAGAGAGTTGCTGCACAATACGCCCCTCCACACAGTAAGCAATGTAACATCCCTTTGGACAATTGCCAGCACGTCAGGTGTCAGGCTTTTTTCCACGAGCAACAACAAAATATTTTTGCTCTCGATTTTATTTTCAAGCTATTGCAACCTTGACCTGCCATCTGATAATAGACATGTTGTAGTACAGTAGTTCTTAGTAGTATTATTCATGCGCATAGTCTCCATCTATGCGTATTATTTATATCTATTTGCCATGGCTCCGGAGTAGTCATTATCTTTTGCTCCTCTGCTTATCTTCCTTGCTATGTTGTAAAGTAGCTTGGAACTACTATACAGGAAGGTACATTTAGAGAGCCAAAACATTTAAGGAACTTCTACTACAAATTTCCCTACTGCACTTCAATTTTGAATGGTTGAATTGAATAACTGTAAAAAATCGATAATTAAGAAGCTGGTTCTATTCGTGATATATTCTTTCTTGCCTTCTTTGGGCTTTTTGTCTTGTTTACTAGCCATAGTTTAAAACAAAATCTAGAACTTTAATGTTTAATGTAATGTTCAAGGTCCAAAATGTGCAGTTGAAATTAAAGAAGTTTTAAGGAGGTCCAAAAATAAGAAACTTAAGAAACTAGGTCCAAAGCCTGGTACCTTATTAACAAGCATGTGTTCCTTTCTTGGATCGTCTTTCAAAAATTTTTAAAGGAGAACTGACACGCAAAAATAAGTTTGGCTAAAACGGTAGCTTGTGACAAGCAAATTCCGGGATCGAAAAAAATTTTTAAATCACAGTTACCGTTTTTGAAATACAGGCGTTTTAAGTTGAGAAACGACAATTATTCCGACAACTTGAGACTCGAGGCGAAAATCGTCACGAGTGGGCGATCATCTTTGACGTCACAAGTGACATGTTCTCAGCACGTATTGTGTTTCTCTATAGAAACCTTTAAGAAAATGCTGCGGACAAATGTTTATTTTGTGCATTTGAAAGGAGCTAATTTTGCATTTTTGACACATAATTGACTTTTTCAATGGTTTGGGACTCTGAATCCGAGTTTTATTACACTGATTTCGAAACAAATGGAGAGTTTCAGCCGTCTGAGTTTCTGCTACCAACCAGCGCTGCCGCTTGGGCAGACAGTCGTCCCATGGCTCAACAGTGACGATGTTATGAACAAAGTACAGACGGGAATTACAAACTGATATGGAATTTCTATTAAAAAATGCTATTGCTACAATCTAAATGAGATCAGTTATCCAAAAACTAGAATTTCATTTCAGATTGAGGCGTCTTTGTCCAGACTGCTTTGTCTGTAAGGCCTAATTCGCTGAAATGCCTATGATGCCCTAAACGGAACTGCAAGTTATTCATTGTTAATGTAACATTCCATGATTGTTTTTCAATGTTTCAAACGCGTTTATTGTATAGTGATATTAAATAGTAAAGGAGGGTTAAAAGTCGACTTGTGCGGATTATATGCCATTTTCACCGGGCGTGAAGGGTTTCGGGAACTGATAAGTTACCTGGCAGTCGAAAAATCTGGATTTACGGAATAGGCTCTTAGCTCTTAGTCAAAGAACTTTATTTCTTAGTCGAAGAAAATGCTGTTTAGCTGTCATAGGAATATCAACTGGCGCATTATCTTCTTTTGCAAGCAATTTTGACTTGGGTGGGGGATGGTCTTTTTGCAAGACTAGGTTATTCCCTAGTATCTCAACCTCTGTTACAATAATCAAGTTCAGTGAAATTATTATTTAGTCACACTCGCAGCTTCCAAAAACCAAGGTTTTCTCTTGAATTCATATTTCTGCACCCAAAGCAGGTTGCAGGATCGCTTTTACCGCTGTCTCCACTAGATTTCGTTTGTCTTTTGGCTATTGCTTCAACCCCCCTCCCCCCGTCCCCCCATCTTGCGATTTTATTTGTAATTATAAAAATAAAAACTTTGAAAAAACGGCATCAGTTTTCAAACAAAGTCGACTCCTTTTTTTCACAAGCTTAGAGGCTCTTTCAATGTTTCAAAGCATGCTGGTTCGAAGATATCATGGCATAAAAAAAATTTCATGTGGATATTAGCGTCCTAGCAGACATGTAGCTAGGATTTTTTAGTTTCTTTATACTTATAAATGAAATGCCTGACAATTTTTTGTCTTTTCAACGCGGACTATTTTCAATAAAACACGAAACTTCATTTGTACCTTCACCGTTGCGGTGAAAGCCTTTACAACGGCATTGTTAACATGTCACTTGTGACGTCAACCGAGAATTTTAACAACTCCTGGCGATAATCCTGTTTCCGCTTCGGGAAATTCCCGAGTCCTGGCTGTGACGTATTTGACGGATAAAAGTGCAAATATCAGAAAAAGGACGAATCTAAGAAGAAAACTTTTTCCAGATTTGAAGTCAGCAACAAATTTTGCATCGAATAAGCCAAAGTTATTTTTGCGTGTCAGTTCTCCTTTAATCAAATACGAAAAAATTAAGTTTTAAACGCTGATAGTTACCTTTTTTCTGCAGTCTGAATTATGAAACAGTTTATAACTTATTGTTTACGAAAAATTCGTTATTTTTTGCAGAGGGTCGGCCACTTTGATCCAATAACAAGAGCTGAACTGACATCAGATCGTCTGATACCTAATCTCGCCATGAAAGAAGTGATAGACTGTTTTCTCGAAGAAAATGGCTGGGCCATTGATTATTGATGCGGTTGTCTAAATATCTATGGTTGTGCATTCAGTTTATGTGCTGTTTTGAGTATAACGTGCTTTGGGCTTGACTGTGCTATCACCAACTGTTTGCCTCCGAGAAAAGTGCCCAAGATGCGTTGTGCCATACGCACGGGACATGCAAAACATCCGGAAGCTTTACCAATAGGTTGGAAATGCTGGGTTTATCGAATAGCATTAAGAAAATATTGAGTACCTACCAATCCAATGAATACCAACCCATGATCACCCAAAAGTCCAAGAAGTCTTCCTTGAAAATGGCTTTGAAAAAGCAAACAGCCTGAAACACACTGCAGCTATAAAACGCCAGAACATCGAAAAATCAAAGCTAGGAAATATATATACCGCACAGAACTATGATATTTTGAAAAAGCTTGCTATTTTCAAAGCCATATTTAAATTCTTCACCTGCAAAAAATTGTATTGGTCTTCCTCAATATATTTTCGAAAGGTTTTGTCATTCCAAGTTTATAATTATGAATTTTTCAGTATTCTATTTCCAACTTTTTGCAAAAGAAAATTACCAAGATTTTCACATAGCAATAATGGCTGCTTGGCGAAGAAAATGCCTGCTAAATGAATGCTTCCTTTATAGTTTGCCAGTCAATTAACCTTCTCCATTTTACTTTTGTACTTTACACAATCCTTTCTATGCATTATAATGCAGTGTAATAGCGAAATTCTTTTCGTGAAAATGTTGGTCCCATTTCAAAATATACCTACATGGCAGCAAGTCTTTACTAAGCGCTTTACACTGCCATCAGGCGATGAATTCTTATTTTCAATGTTGTCATTACGATATTGTTTTTCAAATCTATTTAGAAAAATGAAATATTGTTTATATTTTTGTTTTCAGAATTATTGCCTATATTTTTAGTATCTGAGCTAAATGGAAACTCTGAATAGTTGAATTAGAGTTAAAAGTGAGTCAGACACTGGTGAGTGTGGACTTTGTCTTCCCCTGAGCAGTGTTTTGTCCTGAAGGTCTTCAGGACATCATTTCTGTCTTTTTTTGCTTGCTTAATGGCACCATTTACCATATGGCTCCTTGAATTTAGCCATAGATGAATTTAACAAACAACATTTCCTCTCCTACCATCAACATCCTCGTGTTCGTTGTCCTCTTCCAATTTATCACTTAGAGAGTTTTATGACCTAACTTTGTGGGCCCATGTTTTAACAAGCCAAAACCGTTTGGAAAGGTGATATATATAATGGTTTAGCACAGATCTACGAACCTAGTAGGTTACTTTTTATCGGGAAGCCATCGAAACTGCTGCATTAGATTCCGGATCTTTTTGGTAAATTCTCAGCACACATCGACAGGGACCTCGCTTTTATTTGAAACGTTAGCGTGGGTGAGCATTACCAATTACATTCTTATTGCATAACATATAACATTCTTATTGACATGTACCGATTACATCACAGAAGCAGAGACAACTGCATACGGGCAAAGTACATATTTTAAAGCAGGCAACACTGTCTGTAACACTGACAATACATGACTAACATATATATTAAGATTAAGAACTCATTAAATGGAAAGCTCGATTACTGTGTTTTTCTAGCTTTTTTTGAAAAATGAATCAAAATCGATGATATTGATCGTAATATTCTCTTCAAAAATCAAAAATTTTGTTTTCATTTAATTGACTGTACGATTAAGATTACATTCAACTTCCAATTTCAACTTTCATGGTAATTAACCCAATTTTACAGTGAGAAGTACTGAAATGAATTAGAAAAATAACCGAAAATTTTTTTATGGCCTATTTGCAATTTTGGTATAATCTTTTCAGAAAAAAAGAGAGAAATACGTTCGCTTTATATTTGCTTCAGAAATGGATATAGACGAGGACGCTGTGATACCGCTATGCAGGTCACTCCTGGCCTTAGGCCCTTTGTTAGCGAAAGTGGTCAGTTGATATTTTCAGTGAAGTAATTTGAGGTATGTTTTGCATAGACGAAAGAAGCATGTCAAAAGAGGGGCATATGTAGGCAAAAAGGGGATCTCCGTTCCCCATAGGCGTAGATGGGGGAGGGGGTCAGAGGGGGTGAGAAAGCCCATTGTAAAGCTGAACTGGTATTTTGTCAAAGAAATTCTGATTTTGCTGGAAATCTTTTCTCTATCTTATATCTAAGTGTTATAAACAATTTTGAAAAGGAGTATTTAAAGCTTATTATAACAATTTCTTCTGGTTTCCGGAATCAGATTGGCAGTCTCTCTCTATATTTGCTTCAAAAATGGATTTAGATGAAGACGCTGTGAGAAGACGTCCAGAAAAATCATCAAGAAGTATCAGGGCTGGCGAAATGTGTTTGAAAGTGGAGGGGCCACTGAGTATGATTTATGAAACTCCACCATGAATATGTTTTATGAGTTTATCTTCCGTTTTAATTCAGTTTTATTGTAGCTATGTTGTGATAATATCAATGAAAGCATAAAAATACTTTTTAGAATTTTTTCGGGAAGTTTCTATGCATTTTCTATCTACGCCACTGCGTTGCCATATACTTGATGATGGGCTATGCTCGAAACGTCATTATTTATTTAATCAATTTTTTACAATTTACCTACATTTATCGTTATTACTGCGTTACCATGTCTGAAAAGTCTTATCATCTCACTAATACTATTTTTTTCAAAACCCATTCTTGTGACGTAAAATCCAAAATCAGACTTCTTGTTTCCCTGTGCTGATCTCGATTTCGAATTCAAGTATCCGCCATTTTGGTGATCATACTTCTTTAGTTGGAGATCAAGAGGCCCTGTTTACTACCCCCCAAAAGTTCCTTCACCATGGGGATTCTTGAGAAAATTGCGGAAATAGAGAGAGAGATTTCAAAGACCCAAAAGAATAAAGGTACTTTCACCGATTTATCTGTATAAAGAGAATATATAGTTATGCTTGTAGTGAGTGACTCTACTTAGGCCTGTTCACATCAATTTTTCTTTCTCATTCATTCCATCACATTCTCACATCGCAGCACAGGCATCCTCTACGTCACTCTCATATCACGCATTCGCTAATCCCTATTGTTTGTCAATCTTTGCCACGCTATTCAATTTACCCATCACCTTTACTCGCCCTTCCTATCCTTTGTTTTTCTCACATCATTCGTGTTAATTGTAGATATTCATTTCTGTATATAAGTATGTTAATTTGTAAGTAAGTTCATAGTTCAGAGTTCAGTTAAAATCGAGCAACACACTGTCTCTCTCTCTCTCTCTCTCTCTCTCTCTCTCTCTCTCTCTCTCTCTCTCTCTCTGGCTCCGTGTTCTCTGCACGTAAAATAGGACTTGTTAGGTTGGAAATGACACGGTAGTCGATGGATGGAATTATTAGTGAACGAATCGCACGCAACAATTCACAATTCTCGTTTTACTAAACACTACTAAGGATAGACACTACTTCTAACTGTAGTACTTCACAGTGTGGAATAAATTAAGCGTACGGCAGAGATATCCGGCGTGGACTGACGTTTTCCCATTGTTTTTCTCTTGTTTATTGGCATATATCCGGCGTGAGATTTAAATGGATTCCACCCTGGCTTGGTATATATCCTCGTTTTAAAAATATGCTTTATGCATCTTGAGAACTTGATTGCCGTCCGGAAAATTCTAAGGATAACTGGATTCCCCCCTTGTATCGGGCACTTATTTTTAACTCCCTTTTGAATTCAGCATTGTAATTTTTTGCTGAATTAAAAATCTTGCCAAGGTTTTGGAAGGCAAAGTCCTACACTAAATCTTCATGTTTCTTTAAATTTTGTTTTTGTCCAATCCATCCTCTGCCACCAAAAACCAAATAATTATGCATTCTGGGATTTTTTCTCGCAAGTTGTCCTGACAAACTATTTTAGAAATTATGTCTTGCTAAAGAGAGTGATGAACAGATTTCAAAATAAACAATGTTTTGTATAATCTGTCTGAAATTTTCAAAACTGTTCTCTGAAGCAAGCACAGGCCACAAAATATCAAGCAGGTTTATCATATTTTTAAAATCTTCTGACTTCCAACTAGCCATCTTGGCCTACTAGTATTTACTGCTTTTAAAATTAACTTACGCCCAAAAAAAATTTCAAATAACTGCTCAGTTTCACAGCAAGTGTGACTGCAGATTAAACTCCCAAAACTCTCAAATGCAAACTGGCCATGAAGCATTACAATGATGCTGCTAAATATCGAGATATTGGCTGATGGTTGGTGACAATCTAGCTAGGATTGGAGCCATGAAACTTTTAATTGAAGAAATCAAAACAGATCAGGAGGGAGGTATAGAAGTTAGCAGGAGCATTTATTGACTGAAGTAGCAAATTGGTTGCCTAGGTTCATGGAATGCTATCCTGCTAATATGCCATACAGTGAACAATGTTGCCTATTGATTTTTCTCACCGATGCTACAAATGTGTGACTGATTATGTTGCGAATGATACAGATATTATGAGAGGTGTAAGTAATGGGAATATGCAAAGATTCTCGAAATGAAGAGTCAAAAATCAGCTTCTCGCTTTCCCCAGCGTGCATCGAAGTTTGGATAATGACATGTTCCCTCTCACAGGACGCCACATAAAAACAATTATGAGCTTTTTCAGCTCAACATACATTTGCGACAAAAATTTTCTCTCTGAAATCTTGCACTACTACTTCATGCTTTTTTGGTACTATTTCTTCATGCCATTTTAAAAAGGTTTAATATCTTGTCAGGATTGTAGATTAAAATAAAAAAATTTGAAATAATCCTAGGACCAATTAACATTGGAATCCCAATATTATGAAACCCTGATATAACTACTTTTCTGGTATGACTGAAGAAATGTTTGGCCCCTTGGATTCTGCCTAACTCTGTACAAATTCTCTCGGTATAACAAATCCGTATATAATGAACTCTCATTATAGCAAATCTTATTGTAGGTCCCTCATCATAATTTTCCTCAATATGACAAACCTTTTTGAAAATTTTCACCGCTATTTTGGTCTACCTATTCCTGGTGTATATTTATCACTATTTCTCGTGGTAATCATAATTCTCAGCGACAAGACATACATTGGCAAACATGCATTTTTATGATGCTGAAATTTTGGAGAGAAGAGATTTGTGCAAAAGTTTACAATTTAGAAGAGATTTATGTGCAAAAGTTTACAATTTAGAAGAGATTTGTGCAAAAGTTTACAATTTAGAAGAGATTTGTGCAAAAGTTTGCAATTTAGAAGAGATTTGTGCAAAAGTTTACAATTTAGAAGAGATTTGTGCAAAAGTTTACAATTTAGAAGAGATTTGTGCAAAAGTTTGCAATTAAGAAGAGATTTGTGCAAAAGTTTACAATTTAGAAGAGATTTGTGCAAAAGTTAACAATTTAGAAGAGATTTGTGCAAAACTTTTTCAAGGCCTTATTGCATTTCAGTGAACAAACCCAAACACAGAATACATAACAGACATTTTTGTCTCTAAATTTTAAGAGGAACATTAAGTGTTGTGAACAATGTAGCAGATTTGCCAGTTATGCGATAACAAGTAGCAGATTTGCCGATTTTGCTACCCCCCTACAGCCCCCACTTTAGACTTTGCTATGCTTTAAATCTAGATTTTGAAGACATATGATTTAATGGAAAATGTGCCATCATTATTTTTAATGCATTATCTGTATGGATTATCGACATGTGGCCAGTCAGATATATAAAATAGTGTCATTCTTGATGACCTTGGACCTTTGGAGCAAAGACCTACACAAAAAACGGCCGTTACAATCAAATGAACGCCAAGCCCTCAATGAATCTACTAAGAATTAATTATTGAAGCTGAGGAAAGCTGCTCAAGTGACTTGCCAAACATTTTTCTGTAGTTCCAATGACGTTTTTTGCTGTTATAATAAATTTTTAATTTATACTTGTGTATAAACTTATTCAAGTCTTCAGAAAAGACACGTTTTTTTGTAAAAATGTTAATAGTTATGCTTAGAATTCAGCGAATTAAATTTCATCAAGACTATTGCTGGCATCATTGTCGTGTTGTCAATTTCTGCGTAGATCTATCATGATTACCATAATATTTTGCAAACAAAATGTCACACGCCACCACACACACGCCTGGAAGTTTTCACACACCATCTCAAGCAAATTGCTTATTCAGTACCCAATTGTTGGCCTCAAGGCCAATGGATAAAACTGTACAAAAGAGACAGACCACAGGGGCAGAGTACCATGCTACAAACTATGTGACATTGAAAGATCTTGAAATGACACGAGGAAGACAATCTGGCATCGATGTCAAATATCAGAAGAAAGTAACTGAAGAGACACAGCTTTAGGAGAGACACATTCTTGAAGATTCAAGCGAAAGACGTTTTCTGGCACTGACAATTTTCTTGGCACAACAGAAATTGCTTTCAAGGGTTCAAGTTCCCGACTGGGGAGCCCAACAGTGACAATTTTCTCGGTTCCGATAATCAGACATTGAAGGATCACGAGAACAAGGTAATGCAGCATCAGCAGAGAGGAGAGGGATTGCGAGCGTATTTTCTTTCGTGGCAAACACAGAATGAATTCATTGCCATGTGCGCAAAACAGATTCGCGAAGCAATTCGCTTTGAACTACAGCAAGCGTCCATTTTGGCTTAGTTGTGGATTGAATGCCTGATTTATCTTACACAGAACCACAGATCTTTGTTCTGAGATGTGCGTGTCTAATAGCCAGCGGCTGGGAAACTTTGGAACGATATCTAGCACTCCATGATTTCAAGAAGAAGAAAGATGTGGGCATAGCAAAAACCATTTGCGATGTTTTAGAAGAGAAGCAAATATACATCCAGCGATGTTGAGGCCAAGGCTATGACAATGGCTCAAATATGCCGTATTGTTACATAGGGGCACAGACCGTTATTCTTCAAAGGAATCTTCAAGCCTTGTCCGCTCCTTGCAGTGCCCACAGCTTGAATTTTCGCGGTGTCCATGCCGTCGGAGCATCGTCGGAGTTAAAGCTATTTTCTCCAAGTCTTGCTCGTTAGAAAATGAAAAAAAATCACCTGGCATTACGCGACATAGTTTTATCGCAAACAAGAGTGGGTTCAAGATTTGATGCAATAAAGCCACTGACGAAAAATCATGGCAGATATTGAAAGTTCTTGAGATACTGAAGACAGATCTCGATCTAGCAGCCGAAACATTCAGCGGTGTTGAAAGCTTGACGAAATTTATGACGTCATTTGAATTCGTATTGCTTACAACATTTTGGCTGAAAATGGTGCATCGATGATGTGAACAAACTTTTGCAATATGCTGAAATCTCTTTTTCTGATGAAGTCAACCACCTTGCAGGAAATCAAAATAGTTTGCGATTCCTGGGATAGCATTTTGAATGAATCGAAGAGTGTTGCTTCAAGCCTTGGTCTGATGATTCATTTCAAGAAGAAACGTTCTTGCACTCGAAAACAATTGCTAAATGATACGTGCGGCAGTAGTGAATGCATCCTAGACCAGGAAATTGCCTTACTGACTGGGGCGTACTTTGCAGCACAATGCACTCTTTTGTTGCTATTGAGTGTCAGATTGCCAGCATTATGAGTTGTTGGAAATTTTTCGAATTTATTGTAAACCCTCCAAGCAATCCGAGTGACGTCAAAGAGCAAGTAAAGCGCTTAGTTTATCAATACTCAGATAAATTAAACATAACGACTTGGAGGAGGAATTACTGCAGTGAAGAAATATTATGACCCTTATAAAATGCAAGTTGTTTGAAAAATAGTATAACTAATACCAATGTTGATATTATTGTAAAGTTCAGTTATGTTAATTTTCTGTATTTCGAATTTCACTCATTGCAACCATAACTTAAACGACCATAAATGCATGCTTATTGCAAAAAAATCCAACGAAATCAATTCATGTGTCTGCCAGATAAACTTAAAACTGAACATAAAGTACTATATTCACTTTTAACTAGCAATGTCTGTAACGGTTAGCTTTATATGTGATATGTTTCGTAATATCTCAGTTGCATGTTATAGTCACATGTGCTGTTGAGTCCTGTTGTGTCAGTTAACGTCTTTCCAGTGGCAATGTGTTTGTCTGTCAACATGTATTGTGACGTTCGTATTTTTCTCTTAATTACCTTCCGTCAATGTTCACTTTAGAGTTAGTCTTGCTGTTGAACGAATAAAGACTACATCAGAATAGAGTCTCTCTCGTGTTCTACTTATTCGGGGCTTAGGCCCATTGGCCTAGCCCCATCGTATCTTCACCATCCTAAGAAGAACCCGACAAACATAAAACGTTACATTTGGTGACAGAAAGGGATGGTGGTGAAGAGAGGGATGGACGTCGGAAGCAGAGTAATAAGTTGTTTCACTCGCGGTGGTGAAGAGAGAGGTCTGTCTTTTGCTTCAAACTAACGATTTTTTCAATTTGGCTAATTATTAATTACCGTTGAACTCAAGACCACTGTTGCTGACATCACTTATCGGAGAAAAGAATACGCAACAATGACATTCAAGAGAAATCAGACGACGCCATTATTATTGTAAAATAGGAAGTGGGTGCTGGCCATGGAGGGTTGCAGCAGGAGGACGGAGGATCCTCCCGTTTTGACATTTATTTTCAAAGATGCTGTTTTGAAGCTGGGAACACCAAGCGATGTTGTAGGCACTACCTTTGCTTGCCGGTTTATGCCTCCGGGCCTTAATGACTCTTTGGACCTTTTTATTTTTAGTCGTTTGTTTCTAGGGATGTTCATTTTAACGTATTTACTTTTTGTAGAGAGGGGATGATGTAACGGTTAGCTTTATATGTGATATGTTTCGTAATATCTCAGTTGCATGTTATAGTCACATGTGCTGTTGAGTCCTGTTGTGTCAGTTAACGTCTTTCCAGTGGCAATGTGTTTGTCTGTCAACATGTATTGTGACGTTCGTATTTTTCTCTTAATTACCTTCCGTCAATGTTCACTTTAGAGTTAGTCTTGCTGTTGAACGAATAAAGACTACATCAGAATAGAGTCTCTCTCGTGTTCTACTTATTCGGGGCTTAGGCCCATTGGCCTAGCCCCATCGTATCTTCACCATCCTAAGAAGAACCCGACAAACATAAAACGTTACATGTCTTCACTTGATTACACAGCTAGATAGTCCTCTTTGTAGCTTAAAACAATAGGTGACAGTGTGAACCGTCATTACCCAGCGCATTTTTGCATCCAGTTACCTGTCGTATTTCACTAATAATTAAACCACCACAGTCATTCGTAGCTCGCAGACAACCATTAATTAGGCTTTTTAAGGATGGTTGATGTGCTGCATATGATTTGGTTGTTATTTAGTTAGAGGCAAAAAATCACTAGGTCCTTTATTTGCTCATCCTGGAAACTCGTTTGTTAGCAATTGCACGAAGTTGATGTCTGAAGGCCTTGCGAGGAAAAGGGGACTGATTCTGAAGAAGAGATTCGTGGGAGTATGTTTTTTGTTTCTCAATTTGATATATGACATTACATCCAAGTTATGAACTGGTCTGATATATTTGTAAACGCTGACAGAACAGAACAAAAGCAGAATTTAAGAAAGTAGAACAAAGGCAAGGCAAGATTTCAGCACAAAACTTTAGGGAAAGCAGGACACTCATTTTCTCATTTGCACATACATTAAAGTAGCTGGATCCTGAATAAATCAGCATCAGATGTTGGAAAGTTAGTAATTAAGTTATATGGCTTGCTAATCTTTGTATAAATCCTCAGTAATGTATATGACAATCATTCATATAATAGTTGATATAGTCGTAGGTACAAGGGACGAAGAACAAAAATGACATTTTTGGGAATTTTGCCCCATTTTAACTGTAGGGGTGTTACAATTTTAAGCGATTCAAAGCCTCTGTCACACCGTTCGTTTTTATCAGTTTGCTCGTTCTACTTAGTTGTGAGCTACTACCTGTCCATCCACAAACTTCTCGAAATAACATTTCAACCTTTAAAAGACCTATTGCTCAGCAACCATATTTGATTTATCGATGGTGCCTATCTTCATTAAGTTATGAATCACATGAAAGCTATGAAAGCTTGTTCTTCTCTTCTGCATAATGTGTTTCTTTTCTTTAATTTCTTTTTATTCCTGTCATGTTATGCTTTGTGGCCCTTTTCTTTTCCCTAATTTAGAAAGACAATCATCTCCATTCTTTCTGTAATATTTCGTGGAGGTTCCAGGTTTTTTGAAGCCTCTGCTACCAGGTTTTTTGCTTCTTTTAAGATTTCCCAGTTTCTCTGTATTCAATTGCTCCCCTCAGACGTCCCAGACGGATAAAAAAACTGTGGATTGAAAAAGGCCAATTCACAAACTGGGTACATATTTCCTAGAGTAGAGTTTTCGATCTAAGTTCTAACGTTTTATACTCTTAAGAGTGTCAGACGGAAAGCTTTAGAACTATGTTTAGAAATTTTTGCAATTTTCAAAGCCATTTTATAATTCTTTGCCACAAAAATACTGTTGGAACCTTGAAAGGGAAATGTTTCAGATTTGTGAAGTGCCAAGAATAAAAATGTGAAAATTTGTTGTCTCCCTAGAGTCAGATGGAAAGCTGAAGCAACTAGTATTCCTTGTGGCTGTAGTTTGATGTGAATGGGTTATGAGGAACGTGTTACAGGAATTATCTTATCATTAATGATAAAGAATATATATGATACAAAATTGTGATTGGTTATTGACCGTCTGTATAATTACCCGTTATCGTGTAGTGCACCTGCTATCGTGCTATCTTCATCAGGTTGGGAGGAGTTAAGTTGCGGAGAAGGCTTTTGATAATGAGAAAGAGAGACACGAGCTCTTTGTGTTTGTTTGATATCTAGCGTTGCCACCTTCAGAGCTGCTTCTGAAGGAAAGAAGTATGACTGAGTTAAAATTTGATCCTTTGAAATCACGAATGCTGGTTGTAATGTAATTCAGTGGCAAAATAACCCGTTCAATTTTTGAGAAGTGGCACGATTGCGCAACATAATGCAATTGTTTTTACACAACTTAACGGACAGTATGACACCAAACAGGGACGTAGCTAGTGGGGGTGTTGGGGTGTGTCACCCCAAATATTTTCAAAATTTTTGAAAGTCAGGCAAACACTCAGGAATAAAAAGTTCTGTCATTGAACTTTTTTTTTATTTCTTAATTGACAACTTAAGAGCACATATGAGTAAGTTAATTATAGAAAATTAAACCAAAAGTATAAATTTCATAATGCAATACCATTTTAACCGTCATATTAGGTTAACCCTCAGAACAATAGTTGGATATATGATTCGAACTCGAACAGAATCCTAAATGTAAATTTTTGTTGAATTGTGTTTTCACCAAATTTTCCCAGAAGTTCCAGTTTATGCCACCGCGTCGTCAAAACAAAATATGAATTCGTAGACACGAAAAAGAAAATACCGTTAAAGAGTGAGATGTCTCGAATGCAGGAAAGAAATGAATTGTGACTTTTTCACCGAAAAAGAAAGTATCATGTGAAGTTTTCCATGACCAATCGCAGAAGCAGTTGGCCTTTTTTGCCAAAAAGCAAATATCTGAAGGGAAGGACGGGTCTTGCTTGACAGAACCTGCTGCATTTTTTTCTTCTGACGCGATTGAAATTGAGACTGAAAGCCAGGATAAGACGTTTGAAATCGAGACTGAAACCCAGGACAAGACGTTTGAAATTGAGACTGAAACCCAGGACAAGACGTTTGAAGTTGTGACAAAGCATTCGATGATTCTGAGAATAAACCAACGCATGATCTGATCATGATCAACTTGGGGTGGGTGATAGTAACAGCGATAAAGCAGAAATAATCGCGGAAAGCAATTGTTTTTTTTTAATTCTCCCCAAGAACCAGAATTCAGTGACAGCGCAGATTGCAGTGTAGAAAGCGCCAAGGCGATTTCTCAAGATGCTGCATGGATCAACTCAGCTGACAGTTGCCTTAGGTTATGTGGAAAAAGAGGGTTGTCCTAAAGAGCGTCTAATTGCAACTAGACAAGTAAGAAATAAAACAGATGCTGGAATAGTAAAAGAAATCTTAGACACGGGTGCTTAGGCAGTCTCTCTGAATCCACGTATTACTTCATTAAAATTTATGGAAAACGGGAGATATTGGGTAAAAATTTTCCGGCTGCAAATAGGTTGAGATAAGAATATGCCCAAATAATTGCAAATGGCCAAAAAGACTTTAGTAAAAGACAATATTACTTGGCCAATTAGTGCACTTTGGGTTGTATTTTCTGTCATGTGTGATGCTCGTTTGAACATTAATATTTAGTTCTATCCTTTACGTCGTTGCGACTTTCCAACCGAGCTTTACATCAGTAAAAAATCAAACTCTTCTGTCTGGTAGAAAGTCAAAAGTTTTAAAATGGGAAGAAATGCTAGAAGTAATATAGACACTGCGAGGCTCCGTAATTTTGTGATTGTTAAGCTCTTATGAAAGATTAAAAAACCAAGACATTTCTAAATACATGCAGGGAAGATGCCGGAACAAACTTTTTTGTACTTTCTGGACTTTCCTGAATTGCCTATTTACGTGAGACAAATGCATTTTACGAAGCATCGTCCATGATTATATGTTAAAGTCTACAATATACTTTGAGAATATCTTAAATTGGTTGTTTGGCTTATATGAAGTATTTAAACTCTTTCTTGCAGCAACTGAATATCACCTGGGTCTCCTCAAAGCCAAACTTGCTAAATACAGGTCCCAGCTTTTGGAACCAGCTAAATCTGCAGGCGCCAAGGTGGGTCCGATTTTTCTTATCATATTTTTGTAGAGACCATCTTTTGGCGTTTTTTTTAATTTTCTTTAGAAAGTAGCAGAAATTTTTTCACTAACCCTATTAATGCAGAAAAAAGTTTATAAATTATAGACGTTTAGACATTTATATTTTCTTTTCAAGCAGTGTATTGGTGGTGTAAAAATTAATAATGGTTTTAAAAAGTATTTTTTTAGTTGTTCAAAATATTAAAATGGCTTTGAAAAAAGCAAACATTTAAGAACATACTAAAGTTTGCAAAGCGGTTAGACACTATCAAGTGATCTTTATATCTCTAGAACTTAGTTATTTCTTATAAATATTTATTTAATAGGGTGAAGGATTTGATGTTATGAAATCTGGAGATGCTAGAGTTGCTTTGATTGGATTTCCATCCGTTGGCAAGGTAATGTATCAACCTTTCCTCACTACATTTCCATTCTCAAGTGTTTTTGTGCCTACCAAAAGTCCTTCAAAGGTGTCGCAAGAGGCCCTGATTAAGATGTGAAGGATATAGTAAAATCTTCAAAAAAGCTTGCGGAACAGTATTCGCTGCCCTGTAACTTTGCAATGTTGAATTACATTAATGTATTGAGAATGTCAATGCAATAATGCTATTTTGCATGAAGACGGTAGGCTACCAGATGTTTTTGGTACTTAATATCAATATCACGCTAAAATGTATTCATACACAGCAGCGATTTTCCCAAGCTTTGTCGGTCCAAGCCTTCATAAACTTTATAGTTTATTCTGCTGGTAAGTAATTTTCTTCTCATTGTTACTGTGTGATGCATAGTAGTTGTGCATAGCTAATGCAGCACTAAGCGTTATTCAATCCTCTGACTGCACTGACAGGCAATGTGGCGATTCTTTGTTATGGTATCGTAATCCTGACTGTTTTGTTGTCAGTAGATAAGCGTCCATAATTTCTATTGTTATTTTAATAAGCATAAATGTAGACCTGTGTTTAGTACGTGTGTTTAGACTGAGCTACGTAGAGAATCTTTTTACTTGTAATTTATATCCCTTTCTGTGACTCTTGTTCTCAAAATAAGAGCCTTAAAAAGGGTTCTTTTGGTTGAATCAAACAGGATTGCTAAGACTTCTTAATTAGCTAAGCATAAATTTCAAAATTGTCGTCTCTTCTATTTGGCATTTGTCTGTGATTGCGAATATGCGCAGTTATTCTGTAATACCCGCACTTGACTGTTCGCTGCAAATCGTATTCGTTTGTCATTTGGAATTTCACGATTTCGGTGATTCATTTTCACGTGTTTCGGTATGCCTAAGCTTTCTTCGCCAACACAATAGATAAACAAATTCAACATGTAAATAACGATTGGACCACTGGGCACTGGATATTTTTAGGGCAAAAGCTATCCTTAGCATCATATACAGGGGGAAGCTCTTTTCTTTTTATAAGAACAATTTTGTAAGAACCCGAGTCTCGAAATTGGTCAAAAGTTAAAAACAAATTAAGAACATGCTGAGCTACTGTGAAATGTCATTTTGAGCAATGTTTCGTCTCAAAAACGAGGAGTTTCTTGCAATCTAGGGGTACTTTTTCGGTGAATTTTCAAACTTGTCGCCAAATGAAGGATGTCTCACTCACTTGGTTGGTAAAACGAGGCCTGAACACCTCCCTAGAGCGCAATAGCTAGCAATTGCACATCTCACACCCTCGCCATTTAATACCAAATTAAGCTAGCCTGAACTTCAATTTATTGGTTCTTATTAAAAACGAGTGTGATTGAGTGTCCTAATATCCTTGGAACAACATCCAAATATTATGATACTTACAAAAAGAGAGGCTTTATAGTATTAAACGATAATTGTCTGATGATCGGATTAAACGTAGAACTGGAGCAACAAGCGATAATCTTCCTGTTTTAAAATCATCCTGTAGTATTTGATGGATTTGATTCACCAAGAAAGGCAAGCCTCGGGCTAAAAGGCGCCTTCCAAGAACCCGCCTTGACGGGTTCTCCAAGAGAGGCTAGTCTTCTTTTCATACCAAGGCAAACAAATATCAATAGCTATGAATCAGAACGTAGTTCAAAGTTTTAATTTTTCGCAATATTTCCTTAAGGATGAAATGTTCTACTGTATCTGATAAATTGTATCTTAGTTGGAAGTCAACATTTTCAAATGTATCCAGCAAATAACAACTGATAAGCATGTTGTGATTGTGCAACACTCATCAACCTGGATAAAAGCCTCTCTTAATGCAAATGTTTAATTTAGGTCGCTTCTGTTAAGCTCCGTTTCTCATCGTCCTTTGTTTTTTGCTGCATAATACGTTGAGTGGTGTTTTATTAGTATCCAATGTCGTGGTAACGTGTAGAGGACTTTCTTATGTTTGTTAGTTACGTTTATTTTTAATATTGTAGTCAACATTGTTGAATCTGCTGACTGATACAGCCAGTGAATCTGCATCATATGAGTTCACAACGCTAACCTGCATCCCTGGAGTCATCGAGGTTGGTAATTACCGACATTTCTATCTAGAAATTTAACACCTGCATTTCGTTTTATAAAGGGGTTATAAGGTTCCGACACGTTATCGGCTTCTGTAAGTAAACTGAACAATCATGACCCATAAAACTCGTATCTTTGCATTATTAATTGCTATATCTTTTTCATAACGCGGGCTGGATAAGATTTTTTGTTCTCTTTTCCAGTTGCCATGTTGCATTTCGTCTGGCGATTATCATTTCTGAATTGTAACATGCGCACATCACAGATTTATGTAATTTTCTCATAACGTTTCTTAAAAAGCTTGTTGATTTTATAAACAGTTTTATCATAAGGGGAACTAAGCATATAACGAAATATGAGAATGTGTCTGCTTGTAGTTCATGATAGACTTCTCAAGACGCTTTTATTCTTCTGTTTATACGGTGAGAAGGACATTCGTATGTTTAGTGTCGCCAGGTCTCAATTTTTGATAACCAAATAACCCAGAGGAATATCAGCATCTTGTGAATTCTATCATGAACATATTGTCTTTGAAAGGGCCTTCTGTGAATAATAACATTGTTTGTGAATGGTTTGAACCTGTCTTCTATTTAAAAAGGCTTGTTTGTTCATCTTCAAACGTGCTTTTTCTCTAGTACAACGGTGCCAATATACAGCTTCTTGATCTGCCTGGCATTATTGAGGGAGCAGCACAAGGTGAGCTCCGTTTTCCTTAACTGTTTCCTAAGCTTGTTTGTTTCAACGAATTTTGCTCAAATCCTCTTAAAACCTTACTCACAATGTAGGGATACTGTGTTATTTTCATTTTACGCTTGATGTTTCCCCGCATATTCAGCCCCTCTTTTCCCGGAACGTCTTAACTTCTTATTGCACAGGGGCTTTTAGCATGACAGAATTAATCGTTTGCTAGACTAGACTACACTTGAAAGTATTGCTTTTTATTGGTGCAGCTTTTGAGTAAGAATAGTCATATCAAAATATTTTGATATCTAAAAACATAGAAAATTTGATCAACTGTATACAATAATTTCACCGCATGTGACGATAGAACGTTTCAGTTTGGTTTTTTGATTTGACACGTGTCTGGAAAGCGAGAAAAAATTCAAACATATAGTCATTATGGTCAAAATGCAAGCGCCTTGCGTCGATAAAAATTCATGACTGTGCTAAATATTTGGTAAAAGAATCTTTTCAATAATGTTTTAATCATCAGAAGAAACTTGCAAATACTTTTCTTTAAATTCTAGCAGTGCTTCAGTTTTGTTGAATTCCTTCTTCAAAACAGCAAACTAACTTTTGTTTTCAATTGAAATTTCCTGACATTGCGAATACATTTTTCCTACCACGAACAATCGTTGCCAAGCCCAAGTCTTTTTTACCTCATAATTGTGTTTACCCCGTAATTAAGAAATTCTGTTTCTTAGGCTCTGTGCCACCACCGCGTATTCCCAGCCGCCATTTTGGCCTATCCTTTCCACGCTTTTGGAACCCTCGAGTAGTGCTGTAAATTCTTAAGGTCATTAGCATCATATTGAAATGGTAAGAAAACCATATTTAATCGCCCTCGATTCAAGAATACAAGAAGATAGCGAAATAAGTTGCGTCTGAGAACCTTGAATTTCGTGGGATTGCGAATAAATATGTAGATAGGCTAGCGCCAGGCTTTGATTACTTTGATTAATCTATTCAAATCTCTTTTATCTGTATTTTAAAATCAATTTATTCATCATACGTTTGCCTCGAATGTAGACCGGCAAATTTGGTTGATAATATTTTACTTTTTACAATGAGATACAGTTTTAAAATTAAACAAGGTGCTACAGCGATAGGAGAAGCAACTAAGCCCCCGTCTCGTAGTATCTAACTTGGCATTCCCTACCACCTGCATTAATCCTAAATCGGGTGTAGTTTACAAGGCTCATGAAGAAAAATTTATGCAACTTGTATGAAAGTTATATCAATTATGCATCATGCTTGGTATAAAAGGAGCGCGTCGAAGACCTTGATAGATTCGGAACTCCAGTTTGTCTTGCACTGGCTGTCACGGTTCTTGCAGGTTTGCCGTTGTATTCATGCAGAAGACAGGAAAAGTTACACATCTTGTGCTAGATTTTCTATAAAAATAAAGGTTACTAACTTGGTAGATGACCACAGGTTGACCGATCGACCAACAATGCGGCACTTTATTTTCTGAATTTACCTTGAAGTTCGAAAGCTGTTGGGAAATACTAACAACCTGTTAATTCAAATCGCAAGCAAAAACATTGGCTGGTGTGTTTAATCGCGTAAGAAATTTTACCTGGTTTTTAGGTCAGGAATGTTTTTGCGCAAGTTAATTTTTGCCAAGAATTTCAACTCTTCTTATTGAAGAATTGGAAAGCCAATGAAATTGAAGATTGGTTTCTTTCAACTGTTTCCTCCACTCATTTGAAGAAGATTATCTTTTTAAATCAAAATAACTATCTTTGCCATATCATTATTGTCTGATCGGCACAGTTCCATAAACACAGTTTCAGTATATGAAACGGTGACTGAAAAATGATAACTCGTCGGTGCTTTTGGTCTGATTAGCAATAGATAAAGAAATGGATTTTACAAGAATAGGAAACAAAGGTATTGCTTCTACTAACCTACAATTGAAGTTGTCTGTAGTCAACACATACGCGTTTTGACAATCTAATTTGATTGTAAGAAGGTAGACACTTGGTGACAGGAATCTTTCGAGAAGAAGGCCTCTGTTAGAAATATAAACGTTGCTGCAAGAAAATATTCATTTGGGTTTTAACGTTCAACATGGGGAAGCAAGAGCTCCTCAATGGATCACGATTGGCTGCTGGTTCTATTTTATCACTATCCTTGTTCTTGCACATAACCGTATTGTGTCTTTTACGGCGTGTAAGGCGTGGATTGACAAATCAAAGGTTATTGATAATGAACCTTTGCCTCACAGAGTTATTCTTCATTCCGCCAGGGATTTTCTATTTCTTCCCTATACCCGGCAAAACAGTTGACAGTTTGATGAACGAACTAGCTACACTGGGATTCTCTGCTTTTGCATTAAATTGCTACTTGGCAAATGCATTCATGATCGTTGATCGGGCAATGGCTGGAATCATTCCCTTACGCTACAGATCGTTGTTTACATCAAGAAGAGTGAAAATTGCAGTTATCGCTCTTTGGCTGCCGTTCCTTCTTGTTCCTCTCTTGTACGTATTACTTGGATTCGAAGCGTTCATCAGAATTATGATATTCGTGGTCATTTCCCTTGATTTTTTAATGTTGGCCACAGCTTTTATTGGCTACGGCTACGTTTATGTCGCAATTAGAAAGCGCAAGAGGACATTTAAATGGAGTAACTCAAACGCCAATTCTTTAAAGATGGCGAATAGACAACAGGTAAAAGTGTTCAAAGTGGCTGCCCCGGTCATAGCAACTTTCTTCTTGTTTGTGGTTGTACCTGATATTGTTTCAATTGCCCTGGGTATTCTAAAGATCGAGCCGGTTTACTACCGCAAGTTGTTTTACACTTTTCCATCACTTGATATCCTTGTTGACCCGCTCTTGTTTCTCTACCAATATCCACCCTTAAGGCACGAATTTCAGAAGTTGTTTGGTGTGGCTAGTGCAGGCAGTCTCTCTGTTTTACATACGCGAGGTGGAAAGGGATTTTCCAAGAGCACCCTGACCACGTGTACATCAAGCTCGCAGTTGAAGATAAGTGTTAAGGCTGAGTCAACTACTTCGATTCAAAGCAGGACGTCAAAAGCTGACATCTCACCTAGTGACATAACTACTGTACCTGTTTCAGGCGCAAGGCAGAGGCGAGTCTCAATGTCAGGAGTTTTACGATCAAACCAAGGGTATGTGCCAGAGCCGAGTCAAGAAACTTTAGCCAAGTGTGTGAACCCATCAGACCCTGCGAACTCTGACCAGACAAGCAGGAGCCCACTCTTTCTTTCTCCTTCCTACTGTCACAAACTGCAGGGAAGCCACGATTTGCATGCATCCGAAAATGAAATAACTAGTGCAACATCCGGGATATTGTTGAATGTCCACGACACCTCAGAAAAAGAAATGGAGTCCAGTCAAGAAATTACAACTAAAGCTCTTGTTTATTGTCTTGAAAATTTGAAAAGTACAGAAAAGACTTCTGGAAGTGGAGTGATGATGGTGCCTGCGACTGGCGACGACGTTGCAGCAAAGAATGAGCGAAACGGATCAATTTTAGAAGATTCTTTGCCCTCGACAGTCCTTACTGATAAAACGAGTGAGAGCCGAAGTTTCTATTTGGCTTTGGCTAAAAAAGAAGTGATTAACCTTGAGCTTCTTTCAGAAAAAAGGTCTTCTACAGTCTTCAATGAAACTGGAGAGGCTGGAAGTACGCTCTTGCATAAAGATAAAAGTGATATTGAAGATGTTGCAGTAACACTAAACAATAAAGGTGACATAGAGTTTGAAGTTGTTGCAAAAACGCTGAATCACAACGATGAAACTGAAAATAAAGAGGTTGCCTCAACGTTTGAGCAAAAATGCGAGCATGGCGTTGAGCCAGGACAAGTCCACTTGTGACTCGAGACCCAAGGCTCTATTGAGAATAGCGAACATATCTAGGTTGGATTGAGACCACTTCGATATATAAATATCCCAGTGAGCTTCTGTTGCTATTGGATTTTAGAACACAGACTTCACACATGCTTAGAACTATTGTAGGTTCATCGACGTATTTAGTTTTAATGATTTGTATTTTTTCTTTAGTGTTATTCACGAGACAAAGCAAAAGTACCCTTTGCTTTTTAGATTTTAAAAGGCAGCGAAAATACTGATTGTATCACACTTGTAAATAAACCCTCGCGGACAAAGATAACACTTAATGTGAAACCATTATCTTTGGTGATAGTAGCAGAAATAGTCGTCATTGAAACTTGCGTTATTTTTCAGGGTCAGATCTTAATGCCTTGCTAAACTGATCTCCCAGCATCTATGCACGCATTTTTCTCGTCGTTTTACTGTTTTTGAGACCGTCATCATCAGACATTCATTATTATTTTTCCTGAAGATAAGAAGGAGTCGAACAGTCACCGAGCCGTTGCGAGGCTAAAAAGACCACAGTTTGATCAAAAAGCTTTTTTAGTGTACAATGTAATTGCTTTTTCATCGCAGAGTCGCTTTTCGTCTAACTGTCTGTAGTATTGGACCAAGAACAGCAGCAGTCTTTTTGTCAAGACTTATTTATAATGTACGAATGAATGTTTTGTGGCCAAACAAGGTGGCCAAACAAGTCTAAACTTCCACGAAACAACTATCTTTCCAGTGTTGGGTGAATGTATCCGTCTATTTTTTGCTTTTTTAGGAAATGCCTGGATAATTTTTTAGAACTCCAGTGAACTAGGGAAATGATTCATTGCTTAGATCGACCCATTTTGTTCTTATATAAATGACATTAATATGCACACTTAGGATCTGAATTGGGCGGATGTTCCTTTCCACAATTTCTTCAAAGAATTTGCAAAGCATAAATGCGTGTGGCCCTCATTTTGGTGTGAAAATATTATTTTGTATTTATAAAGCCAGAATATACAAATATTAATCAGCTATTCCTTTTCATGCCTGCTGCATTCTGCACTTTTAACTTACATTGCTACCTGCTACTTATATCATCAGGTGGTAGTTTTCATTTTGTATTCAGTAATCATAGTCCTTGAACTGCCGCAAATTTCAGCATTATATTTTTTGCGAGCAGTATTACTAGGTTTCCAGGCAATGTTACCAGGCATTGTTTTATAACTGCCCAACTTTCAACTTGGAAAACTTGAGAAATATTTTCTACATGTTATAAGAATTTTGCAATCTCTAACTTAACTTTTGCAGTCATGGGGAGTTTTGGACAGGCAGAATGCTACTGGGGGCGGGGATGAGTCTGATTGCTTCTGTGGGACCGGGGATGGGATGCGGGCTGATACTAAGAGGTTTGCGGGTTGCTTGTTGGAATCCTCACACTGCACTTTTTCTCAACTGTGTTCCTTTTTGCAACCGCATAATGCGACTTCAAGTTCCAGAGCAAATTCATACAGGTGGATTTTTGTTTTGCTACCAATAGGAAAGGGAAGAGGAAAGCAGGTGATAGCGGTGGCAAGGACAGCTGACCTGGTCATTATAATGTTAGATGCATCTAAAGGCGAGACCCAAAAGTAAGTTGTCTGCCTTGTTGGTGAACATTTATTGTAGTCATTCCTCTGGTAGTACAAAACTTAAAAATGGCTTTGGCAAAAGCTAACGTTAAAAATGGCTTTGTAAATGCTAACATTTGAGTCTACTGAAGCTTTTCGTGTGACACCTTTCAGAGTATTAAACGTCACTGATTAGGCAACCTCATTCTGAACACTCATGTGCTCGCGTTTTATGATTGACTTATTTCGATCCACATATGGGTATATGTATTTCCTAGCGTAGAGTTTTTGATCTATGTTCTGACGTTTTATACTCTGAAGAGCGTCAGATGAAAAGCTCTAGTTTACTCAAATCTATGCTTTCTTCAAAGCCATATTTATGGCAGTCTTTTAAATACAGACTAATTCATTTTTTGTAAGAAGCTTGGAATTCGGGACTCAGTTTCCTTCAGAAGCTGTTAAAAAGGATCCCTTCAGAGCATCTAAGAAAATAGTGAGCAAACCAAATATTTGATGGCAAAGAGCTAAAAAGGACAGGGATGTATTACAATTTGCATAGAAGAAAGATCAACATGATGCCGTTTTGAGATCTAATGATATAGCCGGTAAACCATTTGCTAGAGCACTAGCAGTGTTTCCTTAATGCCTACATGAAAGGCTATCCTTTCATCGTTATATCTGATTCTTGGCTACTATTGCTCTTGGTACCACAAACTGCTGCTTATACATCCTGTTTTATCAAACGGACTTTGTCTTTCAGATGAAGCACTATTGTTATCAATTCCACCTAATGTCATGTTTCTCTATATTCTTTTGTAATGTGCTTACTGTCGAATACGAGCTTCCTGAAAATGCAATTAAACTCGTGCTTTTTATTTTGATCTTTAGTTTATTAAAACAACAGTTGAAAATGACAATTAATCAAGATACGCTATCTTAGTGTGATCGCATGTTTTCTCTGTCTTTTTGACGATGACTGAAACTATTAAAATTTTTCTAAGGAATCGAAGAATACCTGTCATGATGATGGCGTTAACATTCTAAGATAACTAATTCAACAGCGTCTTGATATCAATGTTTAGATCAGAAAGTATTCAGGGGATTTTACAACAACTGCTGAGGGTCGTCGGCTAGATTGTTTTCTGATAGGAATGATTGTGGCAATGTAATTATCAATGAAATGCCTTAAGCGTCTGGATGCTTGACCGTGTTTGGTAAAGGCAGTTTATAACACCACCTGTTAACATAAGCTACGAAAGAGGTCTCTCAAAGTGTGAAAAATGTAATCAAGTGCCAATGAAGGCTCATAATATTTTATCTTATGTCTCAAATGAAGTGTAAAAGGGTAAGTTCCCTAGAAGTCTGAGCACAGTGTTTGAATGTGTCCAGTTTTGATAAATCACATGATAGTCCATTTTTTAGTTGATAACGCTAGGGAAAGGATCAAGCGCCTATACCTAAGCCCTAATAAGGGAAGTGGAGGAGGAATTAGGAAGAAAGAGAGAAAGGATCAAGCTTAATTATTATTGTATTGAACAAAGACAGGATATAGGAGTCTGGGAAACATAAAGAGGGTAGAGCATTCCAAATTTTTCAAGATCTAGGGAGGAATGAAGAGTTGTGGGATTGAGTTCGTGCGTTTGTCAAAGAAACATGGAAAGGATGAGCACTGGAAGCGTATCTGGTTTAAAGTGCATTTTTCAGTGGACCTGAGATCATGTCTCTGATCTCTTGAGAGAAATGGCCTTGGTAAAATCAATAAAAAAGCGAGATCAGCAACAAAGCGCCGATGGGAAAGAGGTCGAAGAGACTTTTTGAGGTTACAGATATTGATGAGGCGAATGGCTTTGTCAAGGAGGTGCAAGGAAGATTTGGGAGCACCACCAAATATGGGAGGGAGCACTACGCCAGGAAAGGGCGGATTTGGAACTTATTTATTGTTAAGAGTTGGGTTAGTGAGGATAATCCACGTGCTCTGGAAAGGAACCCAAGTTTTTGAGAGAAATGTTTAGCAATAGAAGAAATGTTAGATTACAGAGAAAGATTACAGAGGGAACTTACACAGGGCGTTTATCTAAGGAGATTACATAGGGAGCTTACATAAGGTGCTTACAAAGAAACTTACACAACCTCCTAACTAAGGATATTTGCTAGGGGGCTTACATGAGTTGCTTACATGAAGCACTTCTTGCAACTGAGTCCAAGTACGCTCGCTGTTTTAATGCGTTTATCCAATTCAATGGCTTTAGCTAATTGAAAAGTATCTCTGCAAACATTGTCAGTGGACAGAAGTTATATTTTAATGACATTTTTGATAGTTGGCTATCATGACGACTCTTTCTCTTTGCTGTTGTGAAAAAGGTGTACCAATTCAGAAAGAATGAATTTATAAGAATGCCAGTCATACAATTCAATTGTCGAGTATGTTTAATAGAATGTGTTGAGATAGTTTGTTTGTAAACTTTTAATTCATCGAGTTTAGCTGTTATTAAAAATTTAATTTAAGTGGTTGCAGGATTTTTCGAAAGCTGAATAAGCCAAATTTTCTCTTGATTCATCAACAATCACTCGTTTACCATTTCTTTCTTTGGCATAAAATGCTTTCCTCGGTTCTCCGAGTATCTTGAAATACTTTTCCTCAATTATTCTTGCAACACCTTATCATCAACATAATCTTATATCTTTCAAAGAAAAGGATTTCGGTTGTGTTAATAAACTTCCTAATAAACTTCGTCTGTTAAGTGAGTCGGGCAAAGAGTGGCTTTAAAACGATTTGATGATTACGATTTGATGATTACGATTTGATGATTAAGATTTGATGATTCCGATTTGATGATTGCATGGCCGTCTTCGATTTGAAACAGGCTACAGATAAAAGACGTTAATTTCTTATGAGGCCCGAGGAACAAGAACGTGTAATTAGCTTAAGCTGCGCAGGTGAAATCTCCTCCCGGAGAAGTTGAAATGCCATAAGTCAAGAACAAACTTGAGATGCAGATTTTCCTTTGGGAGTCATCCATAAAGTACTTACGCAGTTTGAGAGCAAATTTTTGACCCCCCTCTCCCTTGTACGCACATGTACGCTTTTCGTGTAACCCATTTTTTCGCGTACACTGCGTATGCTTATATCTTTTTAAAGTCTAAAGTCTGGAAGCGTCTATTGTCTGGAGCTATTTGTTGCTGGGAAGGGTCTGTTGCCTGGTGATTTCCGTTGCTTGGATCATCCTTGGTTCGAGGTATCCTTGGCCGGAGGTATCCGTTGCTGGGAAGGGTCTGTTGCCTGGTGATTTCCGTTGCTTGGGGGTATCCTTGGCTGGAGGTATCCTTAGCCGGAGGTATCCGTTGCTTAAAAGGGTCTGTTGCCTGGTGATTTCCGTTGCTTTGAAATATCCTTGGCTGGAGGTATCCTTAGCCGGAGGTATCCGTTGCTGGAAAAGGGTCTGTTGCCTGGTGATTTCCGTTGCTTGGGGGTATCCTTGGCTGGAGGTATCCTTAGCCGGAGGTATCCGTTGCTGGAAAAGGGTCTGTTGCCTGGTGCTGTCCGTTGCCTTGAGATATCCTTGGCTGGATTTATCTTTGGCAAGAGATATCCTTTGCTTGGAGGTACCCTTTGCCTGGTGATATCCGTTGCTTTGAAGTGTTGGGTGTCTTTTGCCATCCACTGTATAAAGGTGTTTGTTTTCTTGAAGTGTCCGTTGTTTGTACATGTACGTTGCTTGGAAGGCTTTTTCATGTGAAGAGCTTTAATATTTGCAAATTTATTAAAAAGGGCTGCCACCTTATTTATGTTTAGGCCATTGCTTGTCATGGCAAAATTTATCAAAGAGCTTCCATTTTGTACAGGCCATGGCTACGAGGAATGCAACAATAAAGATAAGGCTAAAGATGCCAATTTCTGCATATTCATTTGTCAATAATTATGATTTTAAATATAATTTTATAGTCTTAAATTTAATTATTAGATGTTTCATCCATAGCCTTTCATCCGTTGAAACAATGTGGAATTAAACTGCTCGAATTTTATGAAATAATCTTGCCACTATCTATAGCAATTTTAGTTACTAAATCATATTTACGAAAACGCATCAACTGTGATCTTCAAATACTCACTTTAAATGCTAATGAAATTATGCCCCAATTTTCAGAGCTTTATTGGAAAAAGAACTTGAAACATGCGGAATACGACTTAATAAAAGAAAACCAAATATTTATTTCAAGGTAAAAATGTTTCCTTATGCATTTAGTTGAATTTAGTTGAAATTTTGCTGATGTTGACAAATCATTGATGTTTGATTACCAATTTTGCTATTACCTAATGAATAGATTGCCAGATAATATTGTTTAACATTCCTTATTTGTTACATTCAAAAGCTGTGTTGCGATTCGTATTCTATATAGCCTGTTCTGCTATCGAGTCTGCCAGTTCAATCAATTCTAAAATAATTTTTTTATTTGCATAGAAAAAGTGACAACTTCATTTTTTCTAGAAATACCTGCAAATTTAATAATAATAATAATGATAAAACTCGGATTTTTCCCTTTTGTTTGGCGGTGCGTTTTTATTGCTTACCGTGGGCTACATCCAGCAAAATCTGAAAGAGAAAAACGTGTATAGCAGGTCATTGCGGATAACTGCTTTTATGCTCCAGATAATTGCTTAAAGAATTTAATTTTGAATCTTTGCCCATTTAGCTCTGAAATGTTAGAACCAACCTTTTTATATAGTACTCGTGATATTTTCTAAAGATTTGTGTGCTTTTTCTTGACTTTGTTTTTATTGAACTGCTCTTGTAGTAAAAACTTTTCTTGCCATCTTCTGGATTATTTTCTTGATCTACTTTGCTGTCAATTAAAGTCATTACTGATCAATTGTGTGACTCCAGTTTGCCAGTAATTGTAGGCTTTTCTTGTCTTTATGTCTGAGAGAAGCTCATTATAAGGCTCTTTGTTAATTAAGACTGCCAATGGATTTTCTTAGTTTTTCTTTTCTGTTTTCAAGGATGTGTAATATAATTTTTCTTGCATTAACCGCCCACGCTTCAATTGCGTTACGAGAAACTCATTCTGTCAAATTTTCATCAGGCGGCGGTGATCTTATTAAATAGCACGTGGTTGCGTCACATGTTTGATCACAGCTTCATTCAGTTTTAAGTAAACGATGGTTAAAACAACAGCAGAGATTTTTCAGTGCAATTGCTTTTCTGCAGTACCATTTGGGCAACGTGGCTTTTTTCCCATTATTCCGGTTTCAGAAGTTCACATTCACAGTTGAATCAATCGACTACTTCTTAAGTCAAACCCGGAGGGGGGATTACTCCGATTATGGCCTAACAGGGGAGTCCAGTCAGGGTCAATGAGGGCCAAAGCTAAAATGTTCAAAAATTACCCTCAAATGGTAGTGTTTTTTATAATAACCCTCAAATGGTAGAATAAGGGCGAAAATTATGTCATTGGTAGCATCCGTTTCTTTGTACGCGCCTGGTCCTTCTTTGACAAATTACTTCGCCATTGACTGTTGTTCATTTGGGAAAGATAAAACCTTGTTCATTGTCTATAATAAATTGCAAGCTAAACTATACCGTTCACCGTTGTATTATTATCGAAATTGGGCCATTTGGTGGTCATTTGGTAACACCCTCAAATCGACTGGACCCCTCTTTCAGATCTTTATGGGAGTAGCCCCTCGTGGGAGTCAAACTCGTGGACTTTTGGTCCACCTCCTTGGTCTTGGTTATTTTTCTGTACGGAAATAGCCCTGGATAAGTCGAAATCTTGAACAAAGTCTTTTTCCTTTTCGAGTGTCTTTCCTTCTACTATATCAACTGTCACCCTTTAAATAGCTGAACGAGCAGGTAACATCACGCCGAAATTTCGTCATGTGACCGGCTTTCCTAAAAATAGCCGGATTATTTTTGTTTCTACCAATCGGATTTTTGCAATTTCAATTTTAGCTGACATATTTTTAGCTATTGTTTTTGTATATATCCTACACGCATTGTTTTTTTTACATGGTGATAAAGTTATGGTTTTTCATTTTCTTTGGTATGATAATATACCCATCACCGTTCGTTTGAGATATCATTCGACTCAATTATGCTCCAGAACAGTTTAGCCCTGTTTTGTATTCCATGTATTCCATCCAATTAAAACTCCTTTGAGCAAAAACTTCCTAGTCTCTCTAAGCAGCTTGAATTTAAATTTCCTGCAGTTTTGCACCTGCCAGAAACCGTTTTCAGTAATTACACATGTATTACATGATTTTTTATCGAGATTATTTTAGCACAGTTTTGAAGATGGTACGCAAAAATCGAAAAAGCTTACTTAAGTTCTAGCAGAAAAACCAAAATTATGACGATGGCTTAAGTAAACAGGAAGTTGCAAAGCCATATTTGATTTTGTTATTTTTTTGTTTTACTCGAAAAAGCTCATTTCACTTTCTACTGTAACATGCAGAGAATGCCACGCTGCTACAATTTTATCTTAAAGCTATTCATTTAAACACTGATCGCGTCTCGAGCAATCTACGTATGGCCTCAACATTGATTCACTGTATGCATGTGTGCCGGAAGACCAAATTGACTTGAATTCAGTTTATAGCATATGCTGACGTGTTTCCACGTTTATTTTCTACGTCGAACACTGTTTTGCAGATTAAAAAGGGCGGTGGCATCGCATTCAACTCAACCTGCACTTTGACGCAACTATCAGAAAAACTAGTGATGATGATTCTTCATGAATACAGTATCCTTTCGCTGTAAGGACGTCATTTGGTACATTATCAATTTGGGAAGTTTTCGGGTAGGGATTGATTAGAGGGGATTACTCTGCAATAACGCTTTGGTGTAACGTAGAGATCGGGCCATAGCTGTTGCCTGTCGCTCGCATTAGGGGTGTACTTCTCTGTATATACTGTATGATTGGTCCGTCAACAATTACCTTGATGGATTTTAAATAATATTTTCTGTTGGGTATGTTTCGATAAACAGTCGATCTTATCAAACGCCTAATACGTCTGAGACTCTCCGCTGTTCTTCAACTCCATTATTGTAAGTTTATAAAAATTTCTTTAAAGAAAGGTTTCTGGGCTTCTATGTAGATTTAGGCGATCACGAAGTTAAGCATCTTTAATTCTACTTAAAATTTACGTAAATATGTTATATGATTCCAGTTTGATTGACCAAAGGCCTTTCATCGTCTTTGAAATTCCCCGTGAAAAGTTTCCCTACTCTTTAATGAAGCGATTGCTTCTTGGGCTCTAATCAGCTGCTCCATTGACCTTTGTTTTTTCAACATTTCGCATTCACTTTCAATGTTTTGTGATTGGAATTTCAATGTTTATGTTTGAGATTAATTTGAGACATTAACTTCTCAGAGTCGGTGGAGTTAAATACTGCGGCAAGATTGAACTTTATACAATGAATGTGCATAAAGCACGTTCAACATTCATGTGAATTTTCTGAAAATATTGGCATGGCCTGTTCGCCTTTTTTCACTATTAAATTTTACTCACATCTTGTACTATTAACACGGGATTAACATGTTAGCATGGGATAGGCAAATGGGATAAAGAGGTATCCTGGGGTTAAATTGTATTTTTCCATATATTATTTTCACCTATGATCGCCAATTTTCACTATTAAAATTTTCTTACATCTTGTACTATTAACACGGGATTAACATGTTAGAATGGGATAGGCAAATGGGATAAAGAGGTATCCTGGGGTTAAATTGTATTTTTCCATATATTATTTTCACCTATGATCGCCAATTTTCACTATTAAAATTTTCTTACATCTTGTACTATTAACACGGGATTAACATGTTAGAATGGGATAGGCAAATGGGATAAAGAGGTATCCTGGGATTAAATTGTATTTTTCCATATATTATTTTCACCTATTATCGCCAATTTTCACTATTAAAATTTTCTTACATCTTGTACTATTAACACGGGATTAACATGTTAGCATGGGATAGGCAAATGGGATGAAGAGGTATCCTGGGGTTAAATTGTATTTTTCCATATATTATTTTCACCTATTATCGCCAATTTTCACTATTAAAATTTTCTTACATCTTGTACTATTAACACGGGATTAACATGTTAGAATGGGATAGGCAAATGGGATAAAGAGGTATCCTGGGGTTAAATTGTATTTTTCCATATATTATTTTCACCTATTATCGCCAATTTTCACTATTAAAATTTTCTTACATCTTGTACTATTAACACGGGATTAACATGTTAGCATGGGATAGGCAAATGGGATGAAGAGGTATCCTGGGATTAAATTGTATTTTTCCATATATTATTTTCACCTATTATCGCCAATTTTCACTATTAAAATTTTCTTACATCTTGTACTATTAACACGGGATTAACATGTTAGAATGGGATAGGCAAATGGGATAAAGAGGTATCCTGGGATTAAATTGTATTTTTCCATATATTATTTTCACCTATTATCGCCAATATTCACTATTAAAATTTTCTTACATCTTGTACTATTAACACGGGATTAACATGTTAGCATGGGATAGGCAAATGGGATGAAGAGGTATCCTGGGATTAAATTGTATTTTTCCATATATTATTTTCACCTATTATCGCCAATTTTCACTATTTTCCGTATATTGTACTTGATTTTGCGCGTTATCTGTAAATCCAGGTGATAAAAGTTTGATGTCACCGTCGGGTAAGGTTTTTTCGCCTGTTTGAAAATCTAGACAGCACGAAAACATATAGTGGCGAAAATTTCACAATCACTTGCAAGCATAAGGGTTTGTCTTATTCTTACCAGCAAGTTCAAACTTTGAAAATCTTCCCAAATAGTCACTAAAAACGGCTTGTAAAGATCGTTCGCAACTCCCAACTGCCCTAGAAAAATTTTCATCGTCCGAAGATGGAACAAAGGCAAGACACAGCCTGGTCTGTATTTGGGACGTTTTGAATGGCAAACTCTTTATTGATTAAAACCACAGCATTAGAACTTTAGCTGACTTTAGTAACTTACCAATATTACCATTATCTTATCAGGATTTACTTAACTTTGATTGCGCAAGGTTCGAGAACTACGAATTTCAACTTAGAATCGCACAGTTCTATACTCCCAACTGTATGATTATACCCAACTACTCGCAACTAAACACCATTAAATGTACAACAAACGGTCATATTTAAATTGCTTTTGATTTTCTTTTAATGATGATCCGATTAGATATCGTGAATATTTTGCAGAAAATATTTATGTACTCAGTGCTTTATTACTAATGTAGAAATTTAATAGATATCGTGTCTACAAACTTCGTTTTTGTTGCAAGACAAAAAAAGTACAAGACCATCTGCTCGTGGGATGTTGAGCGCTCCAAGTATCAAATAAGATGATATACTAACTTAACTAAACAAAGAAATATTTAATGCAGAAGTGCTTTTTCGAGAAGATTCTACTGCAGGTAACTCTTTTTCTTACTTCATTTTGTTTATATTGTTTTAAAGATAATTAGCGACGAAAAATTTGCCCCAAACTATCTTTCCTGCAGTCAAGAAACAGTAGGGCTTCCGTCAACAGGCAGTAGCCCTGGCCCTACGAAGGGCTGTGTGTCTAGCGCTACAAGGGGCAGTAGACTTTTCAACGGGCTGTAGCCCTTGCTCTACATCGGGTTCTATGAAAATGAATGAAAATTTATAAATGAAAAATTATATCCCTGGCCCAGAATCGGGCAGTAGGCTTTATACTTTTGAGGATGGATTTGATCTTTGCCCTACAACAAGCTGTAGCTGGTACTTCTAAGGATGGGTGGCAGCCTTGCCCTACAACGGACTATAGCTGGTACTTCTCAGGATGGGTGTCAGCCCTGCCCTACAACGGGCTGTAGCTGGTACTTCTAAGGATGGGTGGCAGCCTTGCCCTACAACGGACTGTAGCTGGTACTTCTAAGGATGGGTGTCAGCCCTGCCCTACAACGGACTGTAGCTGGTACTTCTCAGGATGGGTGTCAGCCCTGCCCTACAACGGACTGTAGCTGGTACTTCTCAGGATGGGTGTCAGCCCTGCCCTACAACAGGCTGTAGCTGGTACTTCTCAGGATGGGTGTCAGCCCTGCCCTACAACAGGCTGTAGCTGGTACTTCTCAGGATGGGTGTCAGCCCTGCCCTACAACAGGCTGTAGCTGGTACTTCTCAGGATGGGTGTCAGCCCTGCCCTACAACAGGCTGTAGCTGGTACTTCTCAGGATGGGTGTCAGCCCTGCCCTACAACAGGCTGTAGCTAGTACTTCTCAGGATGGGTGTCAGCCTTGCCCTACAACGGACTGTAGCTGGTACTTCTCAGGATGGGTGTCAGCCCTGCCCTACAACAGGCTGTAGCTAGTACTTCTCAGGATGGGTGGCAGCCTTGCCCTACAACGGACTGTAGCTGGCCACACAGATTTCCTAAAGGGGGCACTCATTCGAGCGGGGGGCTCGTTTGAAGAGGGACTCTTTCTATTTTTTAATTACTTCTCAAGATCACAGTTAACGAAAAAAAGGAATGTTCGAAAATCAGGCCGATCAAAGCTTTGAAATATAAGCACTTTGATTTCACATGTGCAAAAAATACGTGCACAGCTAGAGTGCTAGATTCTGTGTAAAATATTCTTGCTATCTCTCTTTAGGCCTTACCTTATCGATTAATTTCAGAGGGCGCATATTTCAGGGAGTTGGCTTTCATTCGAAGGATTGGGAACTCATTTCATTTTTGGTTGTCTTAGGGTGACAAGTATCAGAGGAGGAGATTCATTCAATGATATGCAGTATGCGTTATTTGAAGCTTTCAATGAAATAATCTTAATGTGAAAGTGTGATATTCAAATGTAAGTTCCCAAACAAGTAAGAGTTGGCATAGCTCATTATTTGTTCTTACTAATAGACGAATCGTATTCGCTGATTAGTTATAATTATTACATTTCCATTAACAGACGATTTCATAGATGTTATTCAAGGTAACAGAATCTACCTTCCCTGCTTATATGTAAGTATGCTTTCTTGCCTATTGGGTATGCGATAAATGCAGTTGAATGTAGCATATATTCCGTGTAACAAGAAAGCATACTTCGAAATTGAGCTTTCTAGGACATAACCTATCACCAAATCTACAGGACATTCAACTTCAATCTTTATTTTTGCATGACGCATCAAGAATGAAAGCGACTGGTTTAGCTTGGTTGTGCCGTTGGGTTTATCTCCACTGAAACGCGTTCTACTTCAACGTTTTAATTGTCGCAACTTGAACTGTAAAAGCAATCTATTGTAGGGCAAGGCTGTTCAAGGATGTATTGCAATAGGTTGTTTATTTGCCATGCAATCCATCTTGGCCTTACTAAGTGTTTCTTCCCTAAAACTTTGTAATATTTACCTTTTATATCTAAAAATTTCTGATGCAGGTCTACAATAAAATTGATTGCATTTGCTTGGAAGAAGTTGACCGTTTGGCGCGCCTAGAAGATTCAATTGTTATCAGGTAAGCTTCAGTTTGTGGACTGTCATATACCTGTTAGCATTCAAAACGTTTTGATTTTTTTAACGTGTAAACGATTCTTAAATCATTAGTTTTTAATTTGAATATCAGTCTTTAGACATAAGACATAAGACATAAGAGCTTTCATTTCAACCAACAAGAATTACAATTTAAGATATGATTAATAAAAAGTAAAGAAACGAGTACATGAATTGGACTAGGTTTACCATAATCTATAGTCATTAAGTCATTAAATTGATGAAATTGAAAATTTTAAAAAAGAACCAAATGGTTGGGAAGGGATCTTATAGCATAGCTAATTCATAGACCCCTACCCGGCCGATCGGGCCGATCCAGACATACCAACTGAGGTTACCAGTTCTTAAATGTAACTGCAATGTAATCTAATGCAATGTAATCTTTAAATTGACATGGTATTCTTCCGTTATTTAGCTGTAATATGAATTTGAATTTGGACTACCTCCTGAAGATGACTTGGGAATACTTGGCAATGGTACGCGTATATACCAAGAAGCGAGGAGGTAAGATTTTGAGAAAGCTTCACCTTTTCTGTTTATGGCATTTGCATGCCTAGGACACGACTTGCATGCCTAGGACAGGAAACGACATGAACTAAATTATGTTCTTCATAGATTTTGAGAAAACGTTTCATAACATAAGCAACTATAACGCCAAGGTGTTCATTATGCTTTTAGTAAAATCCTTTAGTAGAAAAATTTATTTCAAAATTATGGCTCATAAAAGAAACACTTAGTCAACGATTTACAAGCCGGTCTAAAATTTTCCTAGCGGGAATTTTATTCAAATAGGCGTGAAAATTTTTAATTAAATGTTTTTCTTAATAGCCATATCAGTGTTTTGTGTATTTTGTGTCGGACAAAAAGTGCATGCGCATGCACTGTTTCTGCTATTTCGCGCTATCTGCCAATCTGAGGCCTCGTTTACACGATACCCGGATTCACTTCATATCGGATTCGTTTCATACCAGATAGACCTTCTGTTTTCACGATGAGGACCCAATAAAGAATTCACTCTGCTACGAAAGTGGTATGAAACCAATTTGGTATGTGTCGGATTGGGCAAAGTGCCCGTTCAAACGCTCGAATCCGGTATAAACTTGCTCTGCAACCTCAGTTACAATCCCTGTAGCCTCAACCCCACGTTTGGCGCGTTTTTCCAATAAATTGTGGTTTGATTATTTAGAAAAACAAGATGGATGCTGATAAAGAGAAGTTTTTCTTTACCACAGTGATTGGTCTTGCACACATTTTTCAGAACAGTAGCCACCTCATGGATATTTTTTAAAGATATTCCTTATCTTTAAGAAGACTTCACACTCTCCCATTCTTTATCCTCGAATTGAGAACTCGCTGCATGCGATCTCACGGTCTCTAGCAACATCTCAATTTCTTGCTCAGTCCAGGAAAAAATTTCTTCCTTTACTTTCTTCTCTGCTCCCGCCATTTTTCTGTTTCAGTGTCTCACACAGACACACATATGGTCTCACATCGGTGCTCACGCGGCAGGTAATTTTTTGGCGCGACTCAAATACCAACGCAGAGGCCCCGAAACAAAAGACTGCACCCCACAGTGCAGAGTAACAACTGTCGTTTAAAAAGGAGCGCTATCTGGTATGAAACCAATCCGATACGGTGTAGCGAATCCGATATGAAGTGAATTCGGTATCGTGTAAACGCAGCCTGAAACTTGTTACCTTTCCAAGACGATTCTTTTTTTCTAAAAATTGGAACCAGTTTTTATCTTGAGACAAAATGAGAATGCGTATCTTGAATGAAGTATGAATTTTCTCATTGGTAGTTACGACATTTTGTATGTTAAGAAATTTTTTTATAAATAACTGAGTTTTTTCTTAAGGATTAACAACTTGGCTGTATCTTCGCTAACAAAATATTGTTTTCTAGATCCACCAGATTTTGGTGACCCAATCATCCTGAGAACAGGTGCTTCTGTTGAACATGTGGTAAGACTTTTTTAAGAGAGTTTTTTCACAGATAAAGGCCAAAAGTTACGAGGCTATAACCAGCAGAAATCTGTTTTTGTGTGGAGTAGATGACATCCTCAGTTTTCATTGACCTCTGTGCCATTATATCATCTTCAACGACCAGTGACGTAAAAATTGTGAACTTGAGTTGGAACCAGTAGGTGCTCCACCACAGTATGTATCCATTTTGAAGGCTGTAACCATGTTGGGTTTAGTGAACATTTTGCAAAATACTTCTGAGTTCTTCAATACTCTGATATTCTTACTTTCAAGGATCGTTGAGATTATTACAGATTTTGGGAAGTTGAAAATTTTTTTCAATATGCTCCAAACTGAGAGCAATCGTGTTAATTATTGCTGCTATAGGTATGGAATGTTTTTGGTTATGGTTATTTTTAGTTCTTATGGTTAGAGCATGTTTAATATCCACTTCATCTGAGAGAGAACTGAAATTGAAATTTTCAGATCAGAATTAAGTTTGAACTGTTTTTAATTGTGGTTTGTTTGTCTTGAAGTGCCATCGGATACACAGAACACTTACAGATCAGTTCAGATATGCTCTTGTATGGGTATGTGTCAAATGCATTAGCTTCACATCTTTTATATTACTCAAAAATGACTGTTGATATCAGTCTTCAGATATGATCCTAAAGATTACTGTTCTATACAAAAGATATTGGTCTCAACGATTTGGGGCCACTGTTTATTTGTCTGACAAAACAATGGTATTGGTCTACCAAAACAAAAGAAAACAATGTGTTAGGCCTGTTCAGTTTTGCTGCACATTGAAATTAAAGTCATAAAGACCAATAAGCCTGGCATAAGTGTGGCTATTTTACTAGTTGCATAAACCAAAACAAAACAAAGCAAAATCTTCCTGTGCATCAAAGACTAAGGAGAATGTGTGCCTTTACATTATGCAGACCTGGCCATAAGACATTTTACAGGGGAACAATTTTCATCACTTCTAGCAATTTCCAGGTGAGCTATTTGAAGATAAATAAGGATAGAAAAAGAGGAAGAAATTGATTTCAAGGAGAGCAATTTGTTTTTTATAGCAATTTAGAAGAGACTTTCTTCTGTGCACTACACTGTCCTTGTTCCTCTTTTTTAATCTATCTGTGCCTGGAAATTACACTTCTATCTTAATTTTTCTGTTTTTTTTTCTGAATTTCATTAAAATGTTGTAGATCATCCCAGTTATGTTAATTTTGTCCAATTTCAGGGGACAAGTACAAAGTATAGCCCTCAAAGAGTTGGTATTTCACATTCCATTGCAGATGAAGATGTTATTCAAATAATGAAAAAGTGAAAATAATTTTGAACTATAAATATTCATAGATCACTCTGTTGCTATCTATGTTTTTATCAGAGAGGAAACACATCAATCAAACAGAGTGTCCTGAAGGAAGTTATTTGGGATATGATGTGTACGCTTTGGTATGTCTGTAAAAGTTGAAAATGAGATTTTGGCTATTTAGTATTGATCAAATGACATAAAATTATGCAAATTGGTTTCATTTAGAATAAATGCAGTACATTGAATTATCATTGATAAAAAATATTGCTAAATTTTGTTTGCTACATATCCCTCCCCAGTTTCTATTCCTTCAGCATGTAACTAGGAAGAAACATACAGTTAAGGCAACATCAAAAAATGAGTATTTTTGTTCCTCTAGATTAAAACTAAAAGATTATATCTTCACTCTGAGAGGGACTTTGACAAAAACAAAACATTTTTATGACATAAAAATTAAAACAGCTTAATTCAGACTTTGTCTGTTGTTATCAATCTGTGAAGAAGTTTTTGTATTTCAAACCAGTTTGCAGCAGAATACAAAACTGGCTTTTTGTTCCCAACCTCTCTACATTTAAAACTGAGTTCTTCTTGGTACAAAAGTTGCTCAAGTGGTTTCACATGTATTCCAAATATTTTAGCAACCTGGAGAATGGTTTTGCTATCACCCACTATTATTCCTAAATCTGTTGCTAGCATGCTCAGTAAGTCTGTTATAGAATCGCCAACAAATATTGACACTCCATCTATTTTGTCTTCTGCAATTATGTCCTGTACAAGTTTCACTTTATCAAATGAAGAAATCATATCCTTCCCAATCAATCCACTTGATAAGCCATTGTTGTCAAGTAAATTATTTGCATAGATGTATTTTTCTGGTATAATCTCCTTGAAAGCATAGTAAATCATCTCCGCTGACCAGTTAACAGAAACAATTCGCACATAAGGTAAAACAGATTTGATCACATCAGAGCAACCTGGATAAAACTTCACTTGGCCTGCAGCCCATTTTAGTCCAGTTCTGTCTGCATTGGCAATCAGTTTGCTGTCATCTACTTCAACAGTTGCCTTTCTATTAAATTCTGCAATTTCCTTTAAAAATGAAGTTAGGCCTTCCTTGTCAAATTCAATTGGGGGATTTTGCATAAATTTTGATAAGGATTTTGATATTTGATCGCGATATTCTTTGAGATATTTGCCAGTGACTTTCTTCCATTTTTCATCTAGTCGAAGCTTTTCCTCCAAACTACCATTTTGATATCTTTGGCTTGTCCGATAGTACAGTTCAGTTGTGTCACATGTTGTACATGTCTGATCAAAATCTGCCAAAAGCAGTCCTAATTTATGCTGCTGAAGGCATGAAGAAGAGCAAGACATCGACTTAGAATCTATGCAGCTTGACTGGCGGCTACTTTTCCAGCCTGCAAAATATATCAAGTTATTTTCACACTTGGATACTGAATTAAATCTACATGAAAGCAAGGCTTTCTAAAGGCATCCAGGCATGGTAAATCACAAATTTAACCAACACAACAGATACAAACAAAAATTTTGATAAATTTTCTTTACCAAATTCTTGACATAACTGGTTACATTTTAACAAAAACATGTTTTTTGTATTGCTTGCAAGTTGCCACAGAACAATAAACTTATTTAATATATCAACAACAAAAATAAAAATAGAGCTGAAGTTTTATAATGTTGTACAAGATCCTGTCTTTGCTATCAGTTGAGTACTCTGATGAAAAAGTAAGAAAATCAATAGTGTAAACATTTTCTCCCCCTTTGCCATTCTGTCCTTTCATGAAATAGACTCATTCAAAAAAACAACAGTTCTCCTTTTTCTACTGCTAATTTAATTTTTTCTTCATGGTCAGCTTTGTTCTTATTTCTGTGTTGTTTGCTGAGATAATAATGTACAATTAATTTTTATCCCAAAGTTGACTAGCCTTCACTGTAGGATAAAGAGACTGTTGCAAGCACTTTGGTGATGTTCAATCTCTGGTGGCACTTTTGTGATCAAACAAGGCATCTGCAACACTCTATCCGTTTTAATCTGTACTCCTTGTTTGCTTGGTTCAAATACTATGGATCAAGCCAAGTGGAACAAGCGATCATGCTTCCAAACAAAATTTGATAAAATCAATAAAATCATGCACCAGTCACTGCAAAAAGTAATCCTGCTTCTTTCTTGTGACATTCAATAGTCACTTGGATCATTTCAGACTGAGCATTTCCTAGACCCATGATAACCAAATCTGAGTATTTGTGATTGTCAGGGTTTTGCCTTTCATGACCAGCATTTAGGAAGTTAATTTGGATGATCAATTTATCTTTGTGTCTTTCAAAACAATATTTCCCAAATGGCTGGCTATCAATACACAAATCCAAATGGCTGTCTTTCAAGAATCCTTTGGTCTTTTCCACATCTGGTTGCATTCTGCATGCCAGCAAGTTTTCCTTTTTGAAAACATGAGATAAAGGTCCCAATGAATAGAGAACATCATAAAAAACAATGACATTGCCAAGACGATTATAAAATTTCAATTTCTCCAGTGATTCTCAAACCTTTGTTTTAGTTTCACTTGAATATCCCTCATTTTTGGCCAAAATATTCCCCAAAACAATTTTTAAAAACTGACCAGTTATGAAGACGTCTGGTCATACATCATTTTCTGCGGGACAGGAAGCGAGGCCTGTGTTTCATCAAAAACTCAAAAATTTTGATATCAAATGCTGCAGCTGCCTGACTTCATAATGTCTGGTTTTAGCCTTTAAGAAGTGGTGTTTGGTAATAGTATATGACGTTGAATACCTTTTTCAGACTTATCCTTCACAACTTCTGGTGAGTCGTGAATACCATGGCGCCAGTGGATTTGAATGTTCAAAACAATGGCATGGTTTTTACAACTCTATTAGGAACCAGGCATTTGTAGGAGGAAGTTTGTTGTTGTGCATGCAGCATGCTAATAGATTAGTGGTCATAGTTGTGTTACATAATGTTCAGATATATATATTGTTAACTAGTCAAAATTGAATATACAAAGCAAAGAAAAAAGTAAATATTATTTTCTGAATTTACAAGTTCTAAGTTCTGAATTAAGTTTCTAAGTTGGTAGACAAGTACAGGTTAATTGTGTTGCAGCTTTTTGCAAAGAGTTGAAATATGTGAAAATCAAGTCTATAGTCCAAAGTGATTCCTAAAAGTTTCACAGTCTCCTCAGACTTGATTATTTTACCTCCAATGTTTATCTGTTCTCCACTAGTATATGTTCGGTATTTTCTAAGCAATAAAGCATGGAATTTTTCAGGGTTAACAATCATTTCAAATTTGTTCTAGCCAGGTTAAAGCAACTCCTGTTTCCATTTCCAAAATATTTAAAAGATCAGGCATGGTTTTAGAAAAATAAGCGACAGTATTATCATCAGCATAATTACATAGAGTTGCCTGTTTTATGAAAAGGAATAAATCATTTATATAAAAATTAACAGAATTGGGCCTAGAAGAGATCCTTGGGGTACACTAGATATGAACTGTAGGTATTACTTATCGGAACGCTTTGTTTTTGTCGCTTAAGATTTGAACAGGTTAGGACAAGTGCATCTTTGTCAAAACCATATGCATATAGTTTGGCAATTATCAAGTCATGTGGAATGCAATCAAACGCTTTGAAAAGGCCCATCAGGACTGCTCCTACAAGGTAGTTGTTGGAGGTAGGTTAGACCTCAAGTCTTCTATCAGCTGTATTAAGATATGCTTGTCTGTAGGCCGCAATAAAACAAAAGTGTGTTATCTAAGTATTGCGTTAGTTGTTGCTTCAGGACTTTTTCATATATCTATACACCAACTAGATGGAAATTCCTTTCCACTGTACGATTTTGCTCCCCCTTATCTTCAGAGCAGACCGCTGCCTTTTTTGCATCGTCTGGGAATCTAGTATTTCGAATGCTGCAGTTTATTGCCATAGTTAATGCAGCTGAGAGTTCATTTGAAGCTAGAGATACGAGCTTCGGCGGTATCTGATCCTCTCAAGTAGATTTCTTTCCATCCAGGGATTTTAATAGTTCCTTAACTTCTTGATTGTTAACTTCATGGAACGAAAATATGTTTGATACTTGTTCATGATTTTGAATGAGATCTAGGATGCTATGGTGGTTTTTATACTTGCTTGGAATTAATCGAACAATTTGGCGGTTATCAGAAATTCCAGTATTATTAGCGAGGTTAACGGGCTTCTTACTGCTGGATTTCTCAACTATGTTTACATAGTAATCATTAAAGATCTCTGTCAGTTCCTGATCAATTGCTATAACCGTGTCGTTTTTCACAAGAGAAGTATTGCTACTTATAGTCCACCTTTATTTAAAAGAAAATGTTTTACGAGATCCCATAATTCTTTATTGGAAAGTGTACCATTTTTTGTGGCCTCTTTAAAGTGGTTTTCATGGCTTTTTCTTAGAGAAACACATTTGTTACGCTGCTTTTTAAATTTCCTTCTATTTTCTTGGGTAGAGTCTTTATTAAGTCTTTTTTTAGCCTTGATCTAGTGTAAATTGGCTTCTGCAATTGTTTGCAAACAATAGACTTTAGACTTGCCTTTCATATTAGCCCATGCCCCTAACTTCAAATTTCCATCTGAGTCCCTCGGGAGGTTGAAAAATCACATGGACAAGTTAGCTTAACAAATAATTTTATATAGCCTAAGATATTAGTATGTAGTGGGTATCAATAATATTGGTTGAGTTTGATGGGTTTATGTGTTCGCGAAAGTTTCGAAAGTTTTTGATGTTCGCGGCGAAACTCTTCCTATAAACCATAAATGGCAACTCACTCTGGAAACCTTTAACAGCCGTGAGGACAACAGAGATACCTGCAATCGATGACAACAGTGCTCCACTTATGCGGAATCGAGTTCTTAACCCTTTCATCGGTGCCTAACTCTTTTTCCCTGAAGGCTCTTGGTCACACCGGTCGGTCACTGTACTTTATTCAGAATGCCTCGGTTTCGCGACGAGGTTTCAGTAAACGGAACTTGGTGCTGTAATTCACAGAAATTCTGAATATGGAACCACGGGCAGTTTGAAGACAAAAAGTTCTAATTAGACCGATTAGCAACCGGCGAAGAAATTCAAGATGTCAATTTCTGGATTAATGTCCAAGGTCACGTTTGTCAACAAGGTAAGACGTGGTCACGTTTGGCAACACTTTAGGTTGGAAGTTCAGGTGGCTGCTCTTAATTTTCAAATCTGAAATATAAGAGTGAAAGTTACCTTAGGGTGAAACAGTGGCGGGGTGGCTATGTTTTCCCTGGGGTGGCCAAGTCGATTTTTGCGCCCTATCTATATATCGTCACAGAATATCGTGGTTATATAAAGCATGTGTTTCTAGAAGGGAAATCGATTTTTGCAACTTGAATGCAAAATTTCATAAATAAAGTTTGACTAAAAATGCGAATATGTATGGAAAAGTTATGTTATCCTAACATTTGACCTTCTCGATCGTGGTTCGGTAAAATATCAAGCTATTTTGAATTGGCTTATAAGCGTGTAATCGCATATATGATGTATGATATACAAACATGGTTCAAGTTTGTTATTCTTTAGTAGTTATTAAATAGTAGTTTTTTCAACAACTTGAAAGTTTCGAGCATTGAATCGCACCATTGAATCTGACAGAGGTGGCGGCCACAAAATTGAATCTGGGGTTGACAAAGTTTAGTGACAAAGGAGGACCCACCATGGTTGGGTGCGACGCGGAAGAAAATTTTTGAAATCAAGCCCTCTAGAATGGCTAAAAATGTATCTCCCAGAATAAAATTTAACAAATCACTACACCGCTCAGAATAGACAGTTCAACGATGCTCAGAAAGACATGGATTTTTTATTTTTTTTAAAAAATTTGGTAAGGGAGGATTCATGCGTTGGAAAAAGAAAGAAAGGGTGACCTTTGGTTCACATCAATAACAAGAAGCTGCTGTATTGATTGCCAGGGTGCATTTCATGTACTTAGGCCCGAAGATCTGTGGCGTTCACTCAGGCTTTTTTGGCGTTCCGAGTACGAACTAATAAAAACATTTTTGGCATACATGAAATCTTCGTTAGTTGGCGTGCTAAACATGAAGCCACGTACATAGTTAAAACGAAAACATATGAAACAAATGTTGATTGGGTCATGGCAGCGCAACGTGCTTCGATTATAGAATCTCGCGTTATTTTAGATTGTTCACAGCAAGTTATAGCGAAGTGTTCTACCCGTGTACGATCACTTTTGATGTTACTAGCCAAATATTACAAGCAAACAATGTTGGCGCCCTCTAACTCCATTTGCGCCCCTATTCAGGGGGGGCCATGGCCCCCCTGGCCCCCCCTGCCACCACGCCACTGGGGTGAAAGATACACAGAAATGTAACCTTGGGATGAAAGATAATGTTTTACTGCCGACCAATCTTTGTTGAGTATTGTACAGATTCTTAAAGAAATTATGGTATAGCATATGTTCTTAATAGCACAATTTTTTGGTTTTATGTTATTACAAGTGATTGAAAAGCTTTAGCATACACTTATATGTTTCAAGGTGTCTCAGTTTTAGCTTGTTTTTTCATTGTTCTTCAGTTTTGAACAATTTGAGGCTTGTGTTCAACAAACAAGAACAATTTGTGTTCTTATAAAATTGGTCAAGGGATGTCACCAGTCCAGACTGGAAAACTCACATATGCTCGCAGCTACGCGGGACTTCTTGTGCTTACACCTGACCCAAAATATCAATGAAGTCATGTTTGTTATACTATAGTAACATATAAATGGGTATCATTACAGCTCAAATGTCTCCGCTTTCTGGTTATGACTGGTATGTAATGTGCAGTTGGTGACAGTGACCCTTTGGCAAAATCATACATGTTTTCAAACCTGGACCACAAGAGAGTTTTGTAACTGCAAGCAAGACATCAAATTCTGATCCACAGTATTTGTGTCTGTGTTGTTAATAAAATGAGTAAACCTTGATATTATCTTACTTTCCTTGTCAAATACATGCCCGTTTGTAATCCTATATTATTGTCTTCCTAGGTTCCATTGTTGATGAAAGCAACATCAGCTGATGCATCACTTCCAGCTGGGCACATATATGATGAGATAGCTAGTATCTTTTCACTTGTTGATGACTTGTAATTGTACATTATACTTTAGTCTTAGCTTTATTTCATTTGTTTCAATGTGTCTGCTAGTATGTTCAGTTATTCATCTGACACTTTTCAGAATATAAGACATCATACTGTATAAAGCGAAAAAGTATACAATGAATACCTAAGAGTATGCTATAGTGTCAGGCAATATCCTTAAATATGTTTCAAAATGTTTGTTTTTTTAATGCCATGATGGAATAAGCCAACTTTTTAAAAAGCAGACATTTTGAAGCATGTTACTAAACGCTTTTTATCTGACACTCTTCAGAGTATAAAGCATCAGAACATATTGATTCAAATCTGTTTGCTTTTCAAAGTCATCTTCAATTTTGTATCATGAAAGGATTATGCACAGTTTTTGTAATAAATTTGATGATTCATCATTTATTTGGTGCAGCTTGTTTGGATACACGGTTAAAATTGATTTGTAACCTTAAAGAAAACAAGACATAACATATGAATCACTGGCACATAACGATGTTCTGGTTGAGTTTTTAACAGAGCGACTGAAAAAGGCATCTCCTCATGTCAAGCTTAAGGTACACTATATTTATTTGATATTTATGTTTATTATCAGTTGAATGTAAGTATTAAGATCTCCAAACTTTTGAAATTCTGTCTTGAGAATCTCATATCACTGTTTGAAATTTAATTATAATTCATTAAATTTGAAACAACTGAGGCTTAATTACCAACTCTCAAATGAAAGTAATATAATTGTATTTTCGTTCTTGCATGTGTGCATGTAGGACAGGATTCTGGCAGTCTCTGTAGCTATGACTTTAGATTATTGGTTTTTACAGTATATTTACAAAGACAGTGTGCTGAGGAGAAACACAAGTTTAAGATAAAATTTTAACTTCAGCCTATGTTCAATGGTAGGTGCTGTTGATAATGAAAGCAGTGGTGAGGAAAGGTCATAAAGAGTTTCAACAATCCCTGAGTAAGCAGTCACAGGGAATCAGGGAGGCTAAAAGTAAGTTTGTTTATTTAAAGTTTTTTTCAACATTTTCCTGTCATTGACTATGTTTCTTTCATCCACCTTGCCAGGATAAGTGGATTTAAAATGATATGTTTCTGTCCTTAGAATAGATAAAGTGTTTCATGATGAGGGAGAAAAAATTGACTATTTGTAGCAACTGTTTATAATGGGTGATGTTAATTATGCTATGCAAGTAGAAAAAGACATGTTTGGTAAGAGGATAGACTTGTCAGAAAAAAAGAGATTGAGCGTTTATTCCTGAAAGAAAAGTTGTTTGTATGTGTTGCATTTCAAGATACACTTAATATATGACTTCAAGTGTCAATTACTATGATTTGAAACTTTAAAATCTATTCCAGCTACTGTCTTAACATAACTATCATGGTACACAAGTCATGTAGAAGTCTGAATAGTCAACATACAGAAAAAAATAGATCTTGTTCATTTGAATACATACATTTGAAAATATATTCCTTTGCTTGCTTTTTGCTGAAATATCAATCTCAAAATGAAAAATTCCCAATTGCTTTTTTGTATCTTATTAAGTGCTTTTCACGTTTGTAATCTTTTAGATTTCAGTGGGCCTCCTGATCCTCTTCATGGTGATGCACCATATGTTAAAGTAAGAGAAGCTGCAGGGGTATGAAATCCATTTTTGATTGTTTAGAGAGAGCTATGGTACAGTAGTTTAAAGTAAAGATCTGGATCAAGCTTTTGTCAGAAATGCATGCGATCATACGAGCAGGCGCATGCCCTGGCGCACGCCCTGGCGCACGCCTACAGCTTTTGAGGAGTGCAAAATATCACATGCCTTCTTCTATTCGGAGAGCGAAATTCTCTATCAATGATTGGTTTTGTTGGTTTTTGAGACGGGTTCAAATGTAAATCTTTCCTTGGTACTATTACTTCATGCCATTTCAAAAATGTTTAACACCTTGTCAGGACTGCGCATTAAATATAAGACTTTGAAATAATCATAGGAAAAATCTACGGTGGAATCCCGATAATATGAAACCTGGCTATAACTAATTTTCCAGTATGACAAGAATATGTCTAGCCCCTTGGATTCTGCCGAACCCAACAAATCCCGTTTATAACGAACTCTCGTTATTACGAACCGAATTGTTTGTCCCTTCATCATGATTTTCCTCGATATGACAAAACTTTTCTATAAGTTTTCACCGTTTATTTGGTCTACTTCTCCCCAGTGTAAATTTATCATTATTTCTCAGGGGAATAATTATTTTCATCGGCAAAACAGACATTGGCAAACAAGCGCTTTTTATGATGCAAAAAATGGAGAAGAAATTCGTGAAAACGTTTACACCTTTTCAAGGCTGTATGCCATTTCAGTGAACAAATCCAAACACCCGAGACTATAACAGACATTTTTGTCTCAGAGTTTTATAAGGAACGTTAAGTGTTGTGTATAAGATTTTTATTTTTGATTGCTAATTAAGTGAAAGTAGCAGATTTGCCAACTATGCAATAAAAATTAGCAGATTTGTGGATTTTGCTACCCCCATATAGTCCCCTCTTCAGCTTCACTTTTCTGTAAATGTAGACTTTGGTGACATTTAAATTGATGAAAAATGGCCCATTATTATCTTTTATGCATTATCTTTATGGATTATTGGCATCTGGCCAGTGATGTACATAAAGTAGCTGTCATACTTGTTAACCAAGGGCCCTCAGGGCACAGATTTACATGCAAAAACAGCCATTAGAACCATGTGAACGCCAAAGCATCAGGCTCTGCTAAGGATTCATTATTGCAGCTGATGAAAACTGCTTATCTATGATATGGATAACATTGTTCCGCATTTGTAGTGCCTTTTTCATGCTGATATATTAAAATAATGCAGTTTATACTTGGGTAGAAACTTACTCAAGTCTTTAGAAAAACACATTTTTTGTAAAAATGTAAGTAGTGATGCTAAGGATTCAGCGAAATAAATTTCATTGAGATCATTGGTGTCATATTTGTTTTGTTGGCAATTTCTGCGTAAATCCATTATGATAACCATATATTTTTGCGAAAAATGTCACACGCCACCACACGCCTGGGTGTTTTCAGGCATGCGGTGGTTAGCATGCCTGCTCTATTTTTCCCACGTAAGCCTGTGAATGTTCTTAGAATTTTTGTAAAAGTCTGTCTTTCTATATATTCAAGAATTTCATTCTTTGATACAATCAACAATATTTTCCAGAAAAATTATTTGAATAAGTTTAACTTTGCAGAGGTGCTTTTAGTTTTGTACACACAGATAGATGCTACTTAAAGTTGAAAGAATGTTGAAAGACATTTGAACTTGTTTTGTAGGAATTGCTTGAACTGTTATTTGATACAGATGGGAATCAGAATGATGCAAGGTCACAGCAAAGTAAGTTTGCGTACTTTCAGATATGGACTGCATTATTGCCTTAAGAGAAGTTTTGAAGCTGTTTAAGATTGCAGGTTGCCTTGAAGACTTACATGTGAAATAAAAAGAATGTAGTATGATTTGCTTTTATGACTTACAAAAAGCTAATTTATCTTTACCGCTGTTAAATTATATGATAGTTTTGTATCCCATTTCTTCAGTAAATTTGTTCTGAAATGGGCATTGAGCAAAAGTTAGATTTCCTTGCTGTCCAGTATCATTCAGGCTGCCCCTCATGCTTGTATCTAGACAACAAGTTACAAAAAGTTTCAATTTTTGTGTTTATTATGTATAATAAAATGTGCATATTTGCTTTTATCCTCTTAATTTCACTTGTATCTATTGATTCCATCTCATTCTTTTCATTTCAAAACTTTTTCAATTATGTTTTGCCTTGATTATCACCCCCATTTCTACATATAACATCTTGGGTTACGAAAGCTCTCCAAACTTTGCATTTCCTTTTAGTCAATCAGCCAACAAGGAAGATGGAGGGTTTTGGAAGTAGCAATTATGGTGGTAAGCTTATTATTCTCCAACTTTTAGCTTCTTCTCTTGAAAATTGATCGAGATTAACATAAAGAGGCAATAAGACTTTATTACTGTTAAAAGCAAAAGGATGTGGAGAAGATCAGTTAAATTTGTTTTATACATAGAGTAAAAATCCAGTATTCAATAGCACTGGAAACTCGACAAAGTTTGTGACATGAGAGCAAATAAAGAATAACATGCTTTTCAGATTCATCATAAAGTGCAGCTTTCACTTATTTGAATAAAAAATAGATCATTACCCAAGTTGATTAGAAATTTTCTAGATTGTGTTGAGAAGCAGAACCATTATTATAAATACTAAAAGCTAAATTTTTCTTTTTAGTCTAATAACTGGGTGGGACATGTGTAAGAGTTTAGGAGTGCTCATGCGGTGATTGTAACTCGTTCCATCAGTTTGACCCACTTTGAGGACCCCTTGCCTTCTGGCTACTTTAAACAGTTTGTATCTGGCTAATAATTATGCTGCGAATTGCGAAAAAATTCCAATTTTTGGTGCTTCAAATAAATGATAGCCTAATCCTCTCATATTCATAAAGGCAATAAAAAGTGTTTAATAATACAGTGTACTTACTGGCAAGCTATTGTGTTAAGGACCATAAACAAACAAATATTGCATGCATTTTAAACAATTCCACTATTGTGTCCTGTTTTCTGTCCAACTTCATGTTATTGTGTGCTTATCCTAACCCCCAGATTCACTGTATAGGCCATCAAAATTTTGTATATTTGACAATCGCAAGCAGTATTGCCATAGCATTTGTTTTCCTATTGTGGTTATGCGACATAAAAGGATTCTTTTCTCGCATAAATTGCTACAGTGTTTGACAACAGACCCCCTCAACAACTCCTACCCACACCCATTCATTCTCTAAGGTTACCTTTTGTCTAGTCAATATTGAATTGGGGATAAGGGTAGGCTACTTTAAAGTTGGGAAGATCTTGTATTCTATTTTCTTGAAAAAACCTTAATATTTTACCGAAATCGTGTATGGCGATTGCTCTTCCACTCTTGAATTATCGCAGATTGTCATTTATTAGTAAATTAGCGATTAATTCTGCTCCTTTGATTTGTAATGTCTCACTGCTATTTTCGGTAAACTGAACCAATTTTGAGCCACATTCTTGTCATGGTTGACATTTGTTTGAATTGAACTTTTTATTTTCATTAGGTGCTCGTCAAATGCCATCTAGTTTCATAACATCATCACGAAGCCAGGAAAATCAAGGTAGAATTGTCAGATTATTTTCATTTATTGAATTTTCAGTTTGCTAGATTTTGTGGTTGCTTCGAATGCAGTCGAAAATCTAATGCCCCGCTTATGTACAGAATGACGCCTACCCTTGCAATACCTAATTCATGTTTCTCAGTAGACTACTATCAAGCTGTCTTGTGTTACCGTGTGTGTGGTCCAGTGGTGCAACGCAGTTTAGGATTCCTTAGTTCTCTATTTTATAACTTATATAACTAAGGGCTCTGGATCAAAAAGGGACGCCAAGATGATTTTATTTCCATGATTTTCAGACTTCGCTCAAGCTCACCTTGTTTTTAAAAACTTTTAAATTTCTTTAATAAAGAATATAGCATAGCTTCCCCCAGTTAACAAGCAAGATCATTATGTAGACATCTCGCTATTCTGTTCAACGTGCTGTACACTGCATAATTTGACCTTAATGCAGTCCGCAGATAGTGACCCCGTTTCAGTTTTATTCTTAAAGGTTCTTGGTGCATTTGTTACGCCATTGATGTGACCATTCATTTTCTGTAAAGCGAGCAAGTAGAAAACCTATGTAATGACATGTGAATGCATTTCGCTGTGCATTCCATCTTTACTTTTGTGTAACTTTAATTTGATTTAATTGGCGTAAGTACGGCATATTTTCCAAAGCCAAGTATTTTAAAGCGTTGTTTTTTAAATAAGATGAAAGTTTTAGGAAAATCTAATAATATTTGGTGAAAAAGGCTCATTTTAAAGACGTTTTCTGGGTCAAAATTAAATGCAAGCGGCAAATTCTCAGCAAAAGGTCTTTGAACATGCATATGTATGTGTAATGAATCTCCAAAACCCGGCAACATGTGAAGTGAAATGTCGTTGCTCAAGAAGGTCATCTTGGAATTGAATTTCTTCTGATAAGATATTTTATGACCCATTGATTCAAAACCAATGAAAGATTAGACAGGTTTTTCAAGAACAGTTTCTTAAGCAAGTTAATTTAAATTTTCAACGGCGGTAGGGAATAAAAAGAGTTCGAAAAAGTTATGTCTGTTTTGGGTGTTATATAACTCTAATTGACATACTACGAAAACTGCAATTTTGCCTGAAGCAATTGAAACACCTAAGTCTTTAAGCCCACGGTTTGACCACCCAAGGACTGATCTAAATAATTGTCCCCACCCCAGTCCTCGACAATGTCTGTTCTTTTATAAAAGGAATACGGATTTCAAATGACAAGCATACTTAATTGGAATTTAGCAACATTGTAATTAAGGAAAAGGGGCCCTATACATGCTTATTATCTTAGTCGTACTTAACCCAAAATTATTTGTATTGTAGATCGTGGTGCGTTGGGAAACGCAATACAGCATGTGAAAGATACCTTTTCTTATGCTTTTAACGAAAATGCAAAAGCCATTAATAACTACCATCAGCGGGATTCAGATTTGTCTGGTTCATATCAACGGCTTGAGGATAATGAAAGAAAATTCATAAAGAGGCCGTCACAAACACTGAATCTTCTGGGCAGCAATGCAGACACGCCAAAAAGAGGCAAGTTAACAATAGTTACTTTTGTTTTGAATGTATCGGTCTTGATGTTTCGTACCAATGATATACCGTAAATGCCCAATTAAGCGAAGGAGGGGGGGCGGGAGAAAAGAACAGCGCAGAATAGTACTCCAGACAGGTACGACGGGCCTTACCAAAAGCACTTAATTACGCTCATATGAGTCAAAGGACAAGCTTTTCATGCAAATAGACCCGATGAACTTCTGCTATACTACCTGCTTCTCTATCAGTCCCAAAGGCATCTAAAGCTGAAACTAGAGCAGCATATGAAGACCTAAAGCAAGAATGAAAGCATGACCCTTAACGCCAAAATGTCAATAATACCATTCAAGAAATGTAAAACCCCTGGTGAAATGAAATTCTGCAGTATCTCTCGTGAGATCAACTCTGATGAAATTTCATTTGATCAGCAACACAAACCGTGAAGCTGGTTTGATACTTTAACCACATCATCACTGTCGATAAACAGACTGGTATTAAATTGCTTGAATCGGTTCAAAAGACAGTGCTGTCGTTTTGTGTGAAAATTGTACCTAACACTATCTTGAAGCTAACATATGAAAATTAACCACCCATTTTGTCGGCAAAGGGCTCACTCACTTTGTCGGCAAAGGGCTCACTCACTTTGTCGGCAAAGGGCTCACTCACTTTGTCGGCAAAGGGCTCACTCACTTTGTCGGCAAAGGGCTCACTCACTTTGTCGGCAAATGGGATCGGGGCACCCCCTTTTGCACAATAGCTAGCGACGACCTTGCTCCTAGGTACTTATCGAACAAAGTCGCATTTTCGGTCGTAAGCGCTAGTTTAAGCCTTTTTTTAAGGGTGCACGCTTATTCGGACTTTTGGTCTATTTGAGTCCTTGGTGCGTAATTTCCTTTCACGAGCTTGCTGTACCACACCCATACATAAACTTCAAACAATACAGCGTAATGCAAATTTAAAAGACATTACAGACATCGTTAAAGAGACATTAGAAATGGATGCGCTCCGGAAATACTAATGGAAAAATATAAAAAATGGCTTTGAAGAAAGCTAAGTTTTTGCGCAAACTTCAGCTTTTCTTCTGACAGTTCTCAGAAAGAATGGATGAAAGGGATCCACTCAAAAGGATTGCGTTCCTACTACTCCAAAGAGATGGTGAAACATCATGTTCTTTCCAACATTAGAAGCAAACTCTCCCCCTAAGAACAACCTCCTCGGTCTTTCAGATATAGAATATCGACCAAAACATGTGATTCTGTCATTTGGCAACATTTACTAGAAGACACTGATTTTGCCAGAAACAATAATGACGACGTGTTTCGGATTATTGACAGAGCTAGGTCGTCGTTCCATCCGGCAGTCTGAGATTCAATCTACGTAAGAATGCTAATATGTAGACAGAGTGAATTCTTTTTGATATCACGAGATATCACTCTTGGACTCATTTGTGGGTCATTCCATGCCACTAAGGGACTAAGGGCCCCACATGCACCACCTCAGATTTTCATGAAATTGTATGAAACTGTCCATTTAGGCAAGATAGGAACATCCTTAAATTTCAGCGTGATATCTTGTAGCATCCCAAAGATATGGAATGACCCACTAATCTCAAAGTTTCCAGCTTTGGCTCTGATGCGGGATTTTAGGAGGTGGAAACCAAATTTTTGCAAATTTTGATCAGATTTTGGTAGTCCCTAAAAGATTTTGGTATTTTTTGGGGAGCCGTATCAAAAAAAATTACAAAAAATCATACTTCAGTATTTGGCTCATAATGGTGGCCTAAAGTTGCTTAAAATTTACTTCTGAAAGCATAAAAATTCAAATTTCTAAGGGTCAGTATTTGAATTGAGAAAATCTAGATGAAGTAAGCTTCTTTTTTGTTCATCTTTGTAAAGTGAACTGCTACTTTGGAGCAAGTCAGAAGGTAGAAATTATTAATTCAGAAAATTATTGACTCTTGAAATGATTCCAGGCCAAAGTTTGAAAAAAGGTCCCTGTTTTGGGATTTGCAGGATGGAATTTGCTTTGATGGTTGAAATTTTATTCACACCTGATGCTGGTTGTTATTCTATGGGATCTGCAAAAAAATCATGGGGACTCATTGAGAAGTTTGAATTTTAGGGAATCGAGAAAGTGTCGAAATCGTCAAAAATTTACAATTGAGAAAAATCATAACTTCTTGTCAGCAATGCAGAACATCATCGAAACCCAAATATGTAGCTATTAAAAGATAAAAATACAATAAGGAAGACATTTTGAGATATAAACCTCTCAATAATTAATTATTTTTCTTGTACAAGGAGGGCAATATACATAGATTTTCCAACAAATTGGCACAACCTTATTGTTTTTTGTTAAGATTTCTAGTCACCTTTTTGAGCTGACCATCCCAAATAGTAACAGAATGCTTCACTCAGAATAAAATAGGAAAAATTTGTCAACCTTAATAATTAATTTGCTATATCACAAATGCACAGCATGCTACTGCGTCTATCAGATATTTATTAACTACAAAACTTTGTAAAACTGTCAAACAGATTCAAAACCTCTTTTTGCTTTGTGGTTGTTGCTTGCAGCATAAACCCGCAGCACATTTCATTTTCAATGACATTACTTGCCACAGACTATGCGTAACTGGAACCCAGCAGATTTCCCCTTTCTGTGGCCAAGTGAAAGCATTGGAGGAAACAGATCGTTTAATACACTTGGCCCGAATGTCTTGATTTTAGATATGACGATCTCTGGAATGATCTACGTTCAGATGTTATATAGTCTGAAGATTGCTTGGCGAAAAGCTTAAGTAGATCTTAATTGTTTTGCTGTTTTCAAAACCTTTTTCATATTTTTTACCTTTTAAAACCATTTAGAAAGATGTAAGTGGACTCACTCAAGCCATTTTTTCTATTGTAGTAAATTTAAATAGCAGTAATGTTCCTGCTGTTGAGCTGAGAGAAGAAGCAAAGTGGATGTCTTCGATGGCTAACACTGAAAGGTAAGGAAGTTATGATTTTCATCATTATCAACGAGAGATGTATATGGGGGGGCTGGGGGGGCTGGGGGGGTTAGCTTGAATTATGTTTCTTTGTTGAACTTAAAGGACAAGTGACACGCTTTTGGCGCCAATTTTTTTCTTCTTTTAACTTATAGTAAAATAGTGTATGAGAGTGTTGTTGAAATATTTTTCCTCTCTGATTTCATTTTCCTACTTAAAAACCCTTTTCAAATTATGGCGGGAAATGAATCACGTGACACCGTGACGTAGATTGTGATAATTTGTTATTGTTGCTACTGGTATACAGTGCAATATTAACGTTTACAACACGCTTCTAAACGAATTCAGTTCTTCTGGACCTGTCGCGTCGTGTTTCGTAAACTCTCTATTAATTACAGGAAAATTCCGAGTTATCACAATGTACGTCATAGGGTCACGTGATAAAAAGCAAAATCGCGCCCCCTGCGCCCCCTGATTATAATTTTTTGTTCTAAGCCAGGAAAAACTTACTTCTAAAAGATGATCTATAAGTTAATGAAAAGAAAAGATAGGGTGAAAAGTGTGTCACTTGTCCTTTAAAGACTTTAGCGTGACTAAGAATATGTTATTTTATCTATCTATTATTTTATAAGAGTATGACTAAGAATATGTTAACGTGCATTTTTATGTTATTTTCCAGACTATTGTTATTTTATTTTGTTATTTCCTCTTGAAATGTAAATTCAATTTTTCAATTTCGCTGTGCCTCTATTGCATTTATTGTATCAAAATGCATTTATTGGTAATAGGTGATTTATCAGACGAATTCTTGATTAAAAGTCGACTTTGCTGCAGTCTTACTTTTGCGATATCAAACATTATTTCCATCCTTTTGCTCTGATGAATACCGGGGCGTTTGTTTTTCATTCTCATCGCGCTGCAGTGTTACTTATTTACTACATTTGTTCCATAACCTTGTGTGGCTACCTCAAAGATGGAACTGATTTTCTGAATTTCCTTTCTCCTCTCTATAATTCTATCTACACTCTGTATCCACAGAACATTTTTTCATGTCCAGACTCATTTCACTATCATTGCCGTTTGTTTTTTCAAAGTTTTTATCGTCATATGACATGTAATCTAACTTGCCATTGTCTAATTTTCTCACCCCTATCATTTGCTGATAGATCTCCAGATTCTTCGTGATGTCCGTCTTCTAATTTCTTTATTCAATGAGAAACATCACCTTCGGGTATATCTTCTAAAAAGGATAACAGCAATGCATTTGAAACTTCGATACCGTATATTCAATGGAGCTCTTTAGAATTCTGAAATATCATTTCAATTCGTCTTCATCTCAATATTGTATGTTTATTGGCTTTTCGATCACTTGTCAAATCTCATCATAGTGCTTACAACGATGGGTATTCGAGCCAAAATTGGTCCCAAGAATCTGTACTGATTGAAAAGGTAACCACCCCAGGGGGAGTTCGCCTCGCCCCTGGGAAAACAGAATTGCAAGATTTTATAAAGAAGTAAGTTTGAGTTTGTCAAAATACTTTTTCTTTGTAGGAGGGATGAAGTTTTGGTTGCCCTTATTATTTTTGCCAAATTTGCTTGTAAAACGCTTTGTTTTTGTATACATGTTTTGTACCGGAGGAAAATGTGGAATATCTATTATTTTGATCGTGTGTATAAAATGTATAAATTTACATTCATCGAAACTTTACTCATGACTGTTGAAGGTTTTGCATTGATGTCTTATATACTGCGCTGTGCATGCCTTGATGTGTAGCACATTTTAAGACCAAATTCTATCATTTTTGCAAGTTGTGATCTACTGCATCATTATTCTACACCTTGTCAACCGCAAACCGCATTCTTGCTTATCAAGACTTAATTGCTTTTTTTTCATCCAGCAATTTATCATTTTCTGTTTCCAATGCAGGTGCGAATCGCTGAATTTTGAAAAGATCGTCGAATTGATTGATGAAAAATTGCAAAGTTCTGACTACAGAGTCCAAATGGTGAGTAAAAGTAGCCGGATTATGCGAATGTGATTCTGACGACCTCGGCAGGCAATGGTGTTGCCTTGAAATATCAACATCTAGCATGCATTTTTTACGGTTTATGATCCAAATCGAAACTTACACTGGCCGTGACCCATTGATTTAATGTTATGGTCAGTCACATCCAAATATGTTGCGTTTCAACCGTTGTACTCAGAACTATTGTTTGATGTTTTTGCCCTTTGTTTGTGACAAATGACTAGATTTCGGTGCAAAGCTTTGAGCAAATTGTTCTGCGCTAGAGCTGTTATGATTGTCTGCTATTAATTAAACTGCTTGTTTATTAATTATTAGTGTGTCTTACAGCTTGCAATGGCATGCACGGTCGTTAAAGTGAAATTTGTGATTTCTTAGATTTAGACCGAACCACGTTTAAATTTATTGGTTTCGAACAAGCAACTTGTTCGTTGATTGGTTCAGGCCAAGCTATTTGCACGTTGATTGGTTAAGACCAAGCTACTTGTTCATTGGTTTGCTTGCACCATCAGCAACGTCTTAACCTAATAAGAATCGATTTTACTACACTTGTTCCAAAATACTTTTTGCATAGCATAGCATATTATTATAACTACCTATCGAGTTAAATTTAATTTATGTAAACTTTTTTTCTTATAGAAATCTTTGTTCCTGATTGAAAGTCTTCTAAACTGCTCTATTTCAAATGCTCGTGAAACTATAGCAGAGCTTTTATCAAGCTCTCTAGAGGCTTTGTGTCAGTCCTCCCAGACCGTTGTGAAAAATAAATCCAGAAAGGTGAGCCCTGAGTTCCTTAATTTGAAATATCTGTACGCACTTTTATAACTTGCACATTCTACCATGTAGAACATTTTTTATCTCCAATTTATCTCGTGTAATTTATTTAAATTTAATGCATTATAAGGCAGAGCTTTAAGCTAACGAAAATCCAAATTTAGCAAACTTTCATGTTGCTTGTTCAAGTAGACAGCTAGCTAATATTTGCGCTGAGATATTGAGAAAGGATGGGATGTAAAGAGAATCTAAATGTAATGGAAATAAAGAGAGGTACTATATCTTCATCGTTGTCACTAGAATGTTTAATCATGGACAATATGCCCCGGGCAAGCATCTTCCATTAACGCGTGTCTCTGTTAGTTAGGCCTTATTCTGATAAGTGTCTATTCGCATAACTCAAATTGCGAATGGATATTATCGTGAATTGGTTTTTATTGATGAAAAGGAATACCTAAACTCAGGAAATTTCTATTTAACCTTATTACAAGTTAGCTTTGGCAATTTTTTATCAATTGTTTCGTCTTATCTTTTCATCTTGCATGGCGTGGCTGTAAATTTTATGGTTGCCATATTCATAGCACGAAGACTTCTCGATAGTCATTGTCATTGTAATGGTTTCCCCTGAATTTTTAGCAACAGCTGAATTTTTGTCTTTTTCGTTGTTTCCATCGATAAGAATCTTCTTTTTATTTTCAGTTAGTCCAAATATTGAAAAGTCAAGAATCCATCTTCTCTAACCAAGAAGATATACAAACTGAGGATGGAAAGCTGCAACAATCTGAGGAGTTTCTTTTGGGTAAAAACCCTTTGTATCGCGTTTCTGCGAATATTGGTACCCATGTTCGTATTACATTCCCGGTATTGAGGCAATACTGTTCCTCCTCGTCATATCTTCTGCCCCATTATGGACACCAAGTATTCTATCACACAGTACTTCCCTGTCCTATTTTTAAAATCTGGTTATTCTCCAGTTTTTGCAATACTTAATTGAACCTAAAGAAAAAACCATAGTAACTTTGTATTGCAGTTGGGACAGAAATAATTTTACCAAGCTGCTTTTGCATTACTTTAATATGTGTACAAGTCTTTCAATCAAACAAAGATATTGATAACAAAAATTTGAATGTTTTGCCTTCATGTTGTATCTAGCATCTTTTTGCTCTCTGCCTAGCATTTTTTTTCTCTTTTCAATTTATGCAAGGCTTTTGCGTTTTATTTCGGAATTCAATAACTGAATATATCAAAAATTCTTCAGACCTACCAGCTGGAACGACTACTTCACCTGACAGTGCAACTGAGGTTTGTGTGTCAGTTATTACCTCTTTAATTAAGAATACATCATTTGTTGTAAAGAACAAGTATTTTCACATTGATATTATGCTAATGTAACATTTTATGCTGGTCATCTTTACTCGCATGCGAGACAGCATGGTTGGAATGGTTGGCATTGCTCAACACAGAGGAAGATCACCAAGGCTCCATGAGTGTTGAAAATAATGTTTGTAAAGGTAAAAGGCTTGAGGAGAGCAAATATATGGCAGCGATCCAAAAGAAACAACTAGCAGAAGTTTCAAATGAACGTTATCCAGCATTAGGTTATCCAGCCAGCATTAGGTGCATTAGGTTATCCAGCCTTTTCATGTAGTCCTGTGTTTTCGTTGCTTCCAACTGCGAGGGATGGCAATCAATAATTTTGACATCAACGTAACATTGGTACAATCAAATTTCTTGTTTATGTTAAACATCTTCTGATGATGTTGACCATCCTACAGCACATATCCTTATTCCGCCTCGTTTGCAAGCATCAAAATGCGAGCGAAATATTTTCTTCGTGTATGTGAGTGATCATTTACTTTTTACTTGAGTTGTTTAAGTTTGATAAAAATGTCACGACACAACATATGAAAAAGGTGGAGCACAACGATTCTCGCGTTCTCATGGGAAAATTTCAAATTCATTTTAGCATATCAGAAAATAGGACTAATTGAATATTTTATTTTGCTAGCAATCGGCTGTCCATGGTGCTGACGCTGTTATAACCAACGGTGATGACTTGTTGTCCCTTATCGGCGATCTTAATATCCAAGTATGTCTCTATAAAGCCACGTTTATTTACAATCTCTTTAGCTTTGTGATATCTAGAAATACGATATTCATAAAGAGACAATTGAAACGTCATATCCCCAAATTGGAATGGTTTTATGTCACAAATCGGGAAGATATAATATACATAATACTGCTTAAAAACTTTGAAGAAAGACTTGACATATATTTCAGGGGATGTGTTTTTCTTATTCAAAATAGAAAGACTCTTTGGACAAATATAAAATTGTGCTGCCCCACAATGTCTGTAATATTTACGCGTGTCCGTCTCAATCTTTTTGCTCGTGTTCGTGTTTATCTATTTTGAATGCTACCAAGCTCGATCTTAATCGTGACAAACCGTCTTTTCTTCCAAAGAAGTCAAATCAGATTGAAAATTTTGTCTTCATTTATATCAACTTATACGTAATCGGTACTTCTTGTCTTCATGCACAAATTTATGTTGATCGCACCTTCCTAAATCCATGACTTCAATTGCCAAACTCTCATAGTCATGGTCAGTTTTTCGATGCTGGTCAGTTTTTGCAACATTTCTCAAATTTAATTACGTGATTCTTGTTCACCTCACAATGCTGATAATCATCTTTGTTCCACTTGAATACGAAATGAAGTTTTGGAAGTCTAAGTGAAGCTTTGTATCATCTTTTTAGGAAAAGGCACAAGTCAGCAGCCTTATGACACAAGATTCTCATCCTAGTGACGTTTTTGGAATAATTTCACAAGAAGTTATTGGGACCACTTCCGTCGCAGTGTCAGAACCCAGCTCACACGGTTTCCTAGATTTTGATCAGTTCGCTAGACAGGCAAGTGTGCTTAATAAAGCTAGCGATGTTTCTTCTAGTTCTCAGAGTATGACATCTAAATCTACAAGCTTTGCAAACTCTGAAGCTAACTTTAACTTAGACATCATAGACATAAACCTCGATCCTTTTGCCACGCCTGTTGAAAGGAACACAACAATTGGTCGTCCTCATTTAGAGCCAGAAATCGACCTGGATCCGTTTAGTGCCGCTGCAAACAATTTAGGACAGGTTAATGCTGATTCACATAAAAGTAACTTCGATTTTCTGTCACAGAATGACTCAACAGACCTCTTTTCAACAACAGAAAGTGACAAGATTGCATCAAGAACTTTTAGTCCATCCCAAAATTCAATCATGACTCAACAATCGAGTAATTGGGGTTTTCAAGGCAGTTCATCGGAATACCAGCAGCTGAACATCTCACCGAGTATGATCCCCTTGCAAGGACACAGCCTGCAAGGTAGCAATGTTATTTTCAACACCGCTGTAATCAGACCAACAACTCGTACCCAGTCTCCAATAGTGCAGCGACCCGGAATCTCCCCTGGGGTAAATCCAATGTCGAAAGGTATGATTAGACCAAATGCACCTAATGCCAATGGATTTGATTTTATTGGTGGTGGTAAGAAGGCTGGTGCGTTTGACTTTGTAAAAGAAGCGATGGAAGCAAGTAAAAGGAAATGATTTTATTAAGTATATTATATTTGTTTCTTTTGTGGAAATGTCCCTGCTAGACAGTTGTTGAAACGGTAACTACAATGCCTGCTAAAAGTCTTGGAACTCCCAAAGCATTTTTATCATTAACATTAGCAGTTCCATCTCTCCCCTTTAAAACAATGTTGGATTTTTCACCATCGAAATACATTATTTGAACATAGCTTATAATTTTGAAGTTGTTATGGCTGAGCTGCAAATCTAACATTGTTTTGGGGGAAAGGGGGCAAATCAGCTATTTCTATTAGAATAAATTGAAAATAGATCGAGAACGAATGGAAATTGCTTTGAAGTTCCTAGTGAGTTTGGCTAGCATTGTAGAATATTTTCCTCGTCGTGAAACTCCTTTTTTCTTTTCCTAGTTTCAGTATTAATCTGATTGTCAATGTGATGGTTAATTCGTTAATAAAACTGTTGATAAGCAATAAATGTTTGAAGTAACACGATGAATAAAAGGTTTAACGGCTGCATATTTTAGAGAAAAAGCTAGACACATTTTTGAAGACAGGATAAAAAGAGATGTTAGGCACAGAAAACCTTACTTAGTAACAAATTGCGTAGGGCAATGATTTATTTTGGAAGAATGAAAACAATCGTTGTGTTAAATGTGCTTCATTTTATATTATAAATATTGGATATTATTTAGAATATGTAACAGAAATATTGCAAATAACAGAAATATGTTATTTGTGAATAAATTTCTGATGTGAATATCAGACATACTCAACCATTCACATCGCTGATTATCTAAAATCATCTAAAATTTTTCAGTAGAATATATTGGGGACGATGTCTCCATTATATCTCTGAACACATTTTTATATGAGTTCGATCTTAGCTAAAAGCCAATGTGGGTTTTGATTATATTTCAATTTTGTACTAAAAATCCCATACTATTTTTATGTTTTTATGTTTATGTTATGTTCTTATGATATAAACGTAACGTAATTAGGCCCACGATTAAAGAAAAATGTAGGTTCCGATTTTTCCCAAGTGTATGTTCGGCATTTTGTCAGGTCGTAAGTCAAATATCGACTCAGTCGTATGCACATTTTTGTCCTATTGGATTTATAAAAAGTCCGCTGAATTCATGTGTAGTCGCATCAGACACCCAGCAGAACTGCAGAATCGAATTTTCTATTTTTTCCCCCTCATTGTTATTATAGACTTTTACAAGATTAAGATATCAGACGTTAGGTCAATTTTATCTAGCACAGATTATTAACAAATATATTATTGTAATATAATTTTCATGATTTATTTGATGAAATATGTTTAGCTAACTATCTAAACTGTTTGTTTAAGTTACTCCCCTCTATTTTTATCACTTCTAAACGGTAGCGCAGATACTCAGTTATTGAGTTTTCCCTTTAATGTCGACAATATCTTTATCACACATCTTAAGCCTTGAAAGGGGCAGAAATCATTCATTCATCTTTTCCTTATTTCCTCAACCCTTTCAACTTCTTCCCTCATTTGTCCTCATTTCCTCACGCCACGATGTCAGACATTTTCCTCCCTCCCCTTTAGGTCCTAACCCCATGTATCAGCTTATTTTTGAACACACAAACTTTACTTCAAAGATCCAATTTTTTTACATCACCACATACAGTATTGAATGAGGGAATTTTATACCCTGTATTTTATATCCCTTCAACTAGGTAAGATGTTGCCAATTGGAGCCAATTAAACACGCCATTCTTCCTCTCACGTTTCTTTCGATCCGCTTCTGTATTAAATTTCTGCTTACCTTCCGTCATTACCTGACTTTTATACTCTGAGGAGGATCTGACGAGAAGGTCTTTGAAATAGACTTCATCCATCATCGTGCATTCGAATTAACTTAAGTCGTTACTGCTCCTTTGAGAATATATTCTTTAGAGCATGCTTCATCAAGCATGCAAGTCAGTACCATGTCATCGGACTAAAATTACCTGAGTCTAAGCACATTGCCGGCCTTACAGCGTATGTTTCGAACTCGATAGTAGCGTATTTGTCGAATCGTGTGAACTGGACCTTCATAATTTTCAGTGGAAGGATGAATTATTTGTCTGTCTAACATGCTTGATCTGATAATTCTCTTCGTCTATTCTTTCTTATATTTTGGAAGCGTATATAATGGATCAATTTTTGAGCAACTATTGTCATTTGAACCTTTGTAGCGTCCATCAAAAGCGTATTTTGAAAAGTATCAGTTGAACTCATGCTTATTCATTTTGAAAAATAGGACGTTATGTTCAACATTTGATTTTAAATAAAATGAAACAAATCAATTGGTCACCCAAACTGCCGAAAGCGAGAACCGTTGATCACGATGTATTTCTTTTGAATGCAAAACAAAAGAGTTTGCGCTTTTCAATATCCAGACTTGTCACTTATACTTTTGGGATTTGATTTGATCAAACATCATAGAATGCTAAATAACAAATAAAAGTATTTCTTACAGCTTTCGCCGTAGAAGAGACGAAGTTTTATTTCTTGAATATTTACTAGTTAGTAACAAAATTTCAAGAATAAAGGGAAAAGCTTATTATAACATAATATCATTAAACTGGTGGTTTTGGTGCATCTTCAAGAAGACGTAGAATGTCAATGCTGCTTGCACGTGGTTAGGCCCAGTATCAGTGATTTGGTGAGCATCTTTAATTGTATGTAGTTTAAGGCAAAAATATACCTGCGTTTTGTGCTAAATAAATTCTCACAATTCGAAGGAACTCAAGCTCTTAGCTTCCAAGTTGCAAGGAGTATGTCACTCCATATTGAATTTTGGAAGGCTCTATCTACGCCCGTGATACCCTTTGTTGAGCAACTGCAAACGGATAGGCCTACATGTGACGGGCAGAGCTTCTCTTTTTAAGTTGCTAATCGCAGGGCCCGAGCGCACCTTAGACTTTGAAAGTTTGCGGTTCAGCGCAATTACATATTGTTTGAGGCATGAATATTCTGTATCGGCAGTAAACCTTCTAAGATACGGTGCCCTGGTGTGCTCTGCTAGAGAGCGACGTTTTGTTACGGCTCGAATATCAAATTTGCAAGAACAGGAAGACTACACTTTATCTCTTTAATAGCTTGGTTTTAAAAAAGGGCAGTTTTTTCGTATCTATTGTTACAATAGTTCGGTCTCTGCTTTCTGCATATTTTGCTGAACAGATCTTAAAAAACGCACAGGTTTACCGGCAATATTTTTTGAAAGAGAATGCCTCCTAACACTTTTTGACAGAATTACGGGAAAATCTTGAAGCACATCATGAGGATCAAAGTAGTTTTGTTGTCTGAGAAAAAAGCAACAAAATTAATGGTATTGTCAAGTGTATTGCCATGTGTATTCTTGCGTCTTCAAGGATTCGATAAGTTGCTAAGCCCAAACTCTTGAAAGCTATAATCTCCAAAGAAGACACTATTCATTTTGGCTATAAAAATCTTTAAATCAAAACTAGATTACAAAAGGTTAGACTGCATTATGCAGTATTGCTCACAGACAAAAACTAGACAAAAACTACAAAAATTCGTACAAAAATATCTTACTAAGTAGAATCCTTCTAAAGCGTCGTTATTCTTCGCCGCGTCTCTTCCAAGGATCCATCTTTGTTGCCTTCAAGATTGTCATTTTCAGTCTTTTCTTCAATTGAAATTGAAACAAATATTCCACTTTGTTTTAAGTTCACCCCCGTAAGGGTCTTGAATGGTATATACCTCAAACCTGAAGTAAATAAAGACATTTCTATTCATATGATATAACACAAAACAGATCTAGAAGATTTTATTAGTTTCTTCCGATGACAGTCGTCAGCTTATATTAGTAAAAACTTGAAAAAATATGCTAAATTAATAATTTGTTTCACTCTTGATTTTAATAATTAACGAATAATTAAGCCTAGATTTTGAAAAAAAGATAAATTGATTCTAACTAACATGAACCTTATAGAAAATGGTTTTTCTGCTTTTTTTTAATTTTGGAGTGAGGTAATTTGAATAACTTTTGGATGGCACGCACCCACATTTGTTGGTCAAAATTATCCATTACGACATTGAAAGATACAAAAGCAAACATGAAGTAAACTGACCATGTTTGATACTTCTTGCTGGTATAGCCGTCTGCAATACTAGGCGTGACGCTCTGTTAACACTGTGTAATTTGAAGTACAAAATGCACTGAAAAGAAGAAAGAGTTTTGTTTCGCTTTAAATGCAATACGGTTCCTTCTGTGAAAAAACTCTCTGTGAAAGTAAGAGGATATGAAGGACTCGGGCAAGAATTAGAACGGAGGTGCGATTATTTTGCGTTTGAAATCAAAGAATGCTACTTTCTTAATATTAATTTTTGTAGAATATTCATATAGGTTACAGATTTAAGTAAAAATATTTGCTTTACAAACTTATCTATATAAAAAAACCTTAATTAAAGAAAAAATGAATTACAATAAAAGACTAAGTTGCAAAAAACCATGTTAAGTATGATGAAAGGAGAAAAAATTGATATAAAATTGCAAATGTACTGAAAAATAAAAGAAAAAGTATTTACGAAGATAAGCAATATAAATATGAAATAGCACCAAAAATGTCACCTCACTTTATAAATGCCTAAACGTTCGATCGAAAATTAGGAGATAATCTGGCGATAGTTTTAGCATTGATTTAAGAATTCAAGAAGGATGTGCATTTTTGGCCCTATAATTTGATGATTTCATCCTCACCAAGACTATTTTACAAAATTTGATTAACACTCACCAGCTCCGGATGTGTTATGTCAAGGATGTGCTCGGCTTCCTTCCAGCTTGGATTGCAATAGTTTGAATCAACCTTCAAAATCACAAACTCACGTGAAGGCCATTAAATATCACTTAATGAGCCAACTGTCGAGATATCGATTTCTTCAATTACAGTTATCAATTATTGCCTTCACGAGAAATTCAAAACTGATTCTTGTATCATCTTCTGTGAAACCCTGCATTTCACTTGAATAACCCTTCAACTTACTCGAGATCTGAAAACCTCGTGATGAAAAAGATTAAAAAACTAAAGCCATAATCTTTAAAAATTAAAAAACATTATCTCTGTCCTATAGCTTGGTCAACCTAGAAATAAATTCAAGCGCATCGTCTCTGTTCTATGATCATAGCATGCTATTTTTCCGTTAAATTATTATTTTTGTAATCGAAAAATCGAAAAAATTTTTAAATTCAATGAAAGCGGTGTACCTCGGTTGAAAAATAATTGTTCTTTGATTCGGAACCAACAGCTTCTACCTCTAAGCTAATTGGAGACTTGCCAATTACATCCGTATCGACAAAATGACCACCTAAGATCTAGAATATCAGATATTTGATGAAATTTCATGATCAAATATCAATTTAAATACACATATTAGCAAATTTTTTCCTTCAAAATTTAAAAACCAAAATAAATTTCCAAAAAATCTTGAGTAATCAAATTTTTTGTGTGATCATGGCGGAAAAGAGCTGATTTTTTTAATCTAAGTCACAGTAGATGATATCAAATCTCTTGGTGCTGTTTTAAAAATCATATATTCGTTATTTTCAAACAAAGTATATATAGAAGTAGATCATTTTTCATATCAGCAGCAAAAAAATCTTTGATTATATCAGCACTGGTTGTATAAAATTGCTCCACTTTTTTAAGAGACCAAATGCTACATCGTATTTTTTGCAATTATAGGAGCTATCATTCTTTTGTTATCATTTTTATAGAGAATATCAGCTTTATAATGTGAAACGATATTCTAATGGGATTCAAATCTTTTTAAATACAAATAATCAAAATTCAAAAAACATTTAGGTGGCTCTTGGAAGCGTTGAAGAGGTCAATACCAGATTACACATCAATGTAATGTTAAACGATTAAGAATATTGTTCAATGCTGAACAATTTACAGTTTTGATTGAACGAAAAATATCAAATTTATAACAACGTTACACAATTTAATTTTTTAACTATTAGTAATACTTTCGTGTAAAATTTAGGTGTAATCAGTATAGTGTATTTTGCCATTGTAGAAGCAATCGTAAAAGCCACTTTAGATTGTATGAAAACTTTGAAATGCCATAACATAAAAATGCTATACAGTATTAAAAAATACAAGGTTTAGTCATCTGGAGAACGTTTGAGAAAATTATAAGATGTCAGAATTCTGGTACTTTCAGAATCTGTTTTGTGAGACAGCGTTGCAGAATTTGTCAACTATGTTACAATAAAACCTAGAAATTTTTTTAGAGATTTGAATTATTTTTTAAATTCTCATATTTTCAAAATGAAACTTCAAATTTAACAGATTCTACAATGATCAGAAACAGAAATTGAAAAAACCTGCCTTGATTTTGACAACGATTGGCTGAGTGGAATTTCTGTTAGCAGCATCTGAGAAATCTCCGGTAGCTGGGTAAAGGAAAAGTGAATAGAAACGAAAAAAATGGCAGATAAAAATTTTTAGTGTGCGCACAGATGATAAGAAAAAAGTCACTGAGATGAGATGCATTGAAATGGAAAAAGTATTACTACGATGGGACCAGTTGGAAAATAATTAGAATTTAGAAATGTCAACAGGATTGACATAAATAAATAAATAAAAGCAACTAGAAATCACGTAAAAAAACTTTGCAATAAAAACTTTGCTATTGCTCTAAAGTAATTTTGCTACATTGGGAAATCAAGCAAGTAATTAACAATAAATGAACTGGCCTTTTAAATGCACTGTTTTATTGAAAGCCTTGCGCTAAGTGTATTATTGACTTTCCCAGATCATTTTTAGTTAAAGTTGAACTTACTGTTTTTTCGCAAGTTCGGAGGTTTTAGAACATATCCACAAGCTCCATTGGTCCTAAAAAATCCTTGATTAATGTGCATCCCGGCATCTAAGGATTGGAAAATAATTGAATTTCTGAATTCAGTTTGGAAGATTACAACAAACTGTACTGCAATACTGCATTACAAGCACGTGTGCTCAAATCTGTCCCTGTCTTGAGCATCATTCATAGGTTGAATTACTATTTGAACTTTGATTCCTCCGAAATTCAAACAAAATTAGGCACTCTACAGTGTTCTAGGCTGAGGTTTTTTGTACTGGAGAAAATAAGAGCGTGTCTCTAAGGAGGGACATTTAATCTAGTAAACATGATTCTACGTAAGCTGTTGTGTATACAAGAAGCAAGCCTCGAAATGATTATCAGAACCTTCAGATAGCAAATGGGTTCTAGACCAAAATCTAAACATAAAATAAACTGGCCACCTGAGCAGTAACATGGTCTCTCAAATTCAACCGACAAAACCTGCATTGTGAAAGATGCGTACCTGGCTTTTGAAAATTTACAGATGCCATATGTACTCCAACTTTCCACATCGGCATCGGATTGAAGTTGGAAGATTCGACTCGCGAACCCTTGGGATACGTCCTTAGCATTTTCTTTCTTGATATATAGATGATATCTGCAAAAGAACTCAAAAAATCAAATAGATATCACAATATATTGTTGAAATTTACTAAGAGAAACAAAACAATTTTAGAAACTAAAGCCTCAATAGCATAAGACTACGGCTAAAGATATAATGAAGCAAGATTTCAATACTTCCGATTCAACTGTTAAGAGCATACTAGATGAGCAAGCACCTCTAAAGAAAAATACCTTAGATTGGCTAAAGATGGATCCTTTTGACCAAAGAACTTAGAAAGGCAAATACAGTTTCAATAAAACACGAACAAATGAAAATTGGGATTCTTTTAAGAGGCAAAGAAACCTGTCTGTTAAAATCTTAAGTCAAAATAAGAGGGCATACTATGCTCAACATGACCTAAAAGTTTTCAGTAACAACAAGAGGTTCTGGAAAACTGTGAAGATTCAAAGCAGCTCTTGTATCACCCTTGTAGAAAATGGTGTCGTTGAATCAGATGAGGGTAAAGTTGCTGAGATTCTAAGTAACTATTTTGTAAATATAACGGAAACTTTTGGTATCACCGATGAACACGAGCAAGAGCCTTTTAATAATCACGAGGACGATCCCTGCTTAACAATTGTAAAAAGTTTTCAGTCACAACCCAGAGTCCTCGAGAAATTGTCGTCCGTCAAGAGTTAAACTTTACCTTCAGGACGATCACGGTCGAAGAAATGCTAGAACAGTTATAAAATTTAGATCCTAAGAAGGGTTCACCACAGGAAGCAATCCCTGCAAAAATATTGAAGTCCATCGCAGATCTGTTTTGTTTTCCTGTCACGGAGGTTTTTAATAAACTTGTTGAAGAAAGCAGCTTCCTAGATGATATGAAAAATGCTGATGTTTCTTCATTCTTCAAGAAGGATGATAACATGAGCAAAAACAATTATAGACCAATAAGTCTCCTTCCTACAATCGCGAAAATATTTGAGCGACTAATGCATAAACATTTATCTGAATTTACTGCACGCCTTTTTTCACCACTATTAGGAGGGTTAAGACAAGAGTACAACACACAGCATGTCTTGTTGAACCTTTTGCAACACTGCAAGAACAGCATTGAAAACAGGAACATTGTTCATGGATCTTTCAAAGGCTTTTGATTGTGTAAACCATGGTCTTTTGATAGCAAAACTGAATGCCTATGGACTTAACATGGATGTCCTTCAGCTCATGAGAAGCTACCTATCAAATAGACAACAGAGAGCAAAGATGAACAGCTCTTTTAGTGATTGGAAAGAAATTAAAATTGCAGTACCCCAAGGATCAGTCCTAGGGCTTTTACTTTTTAATGTATTTTTAAACGACATATTCTGGTTTGCAAATCGCACAAAGATCTGTAACTATGCTGATGATACCACAATCTTTGCATGCCATCCGGATCTTGATACTATTATCAAACAATTAGAAGAAGATAGCTCTGGGACAACTTTTCAAAACTAAATGATGACAAATGCAACCTAATGATAATTGGTTATAAAAGTACTGAACCAGCAGTCATAATTGGAAATTCAAAAATTAACGTAAGGGAAACTGTTAGGTGTGACGTCCATTTGTATGGATGTTTCATGATAGAGCAACTAATTCAAAGTTAAATCGCATTCATGAAAGAGCACTGCGATTAGTATGCAAAGATAGTTAATCAGAGCTAGCCGAGTTGAAGAAAAAATACGGAACTATTCATCAGCTCAATCTGCAACTGCTCATGATTGAAACATTCAAAACGAAAAACAATCTAAATCCAACATTTATGAAAAATATTTTCACTGAGATATTCAATACAATCTGAGAAGTGAAAATCATTTGCGATTGCCAAAAGTGAAGGCAACATCATACGGGATAGAGAATATTCAGTACAGAGGTCACCATTTGTGGTCCTCATTACCAAGGGAAATTAAAGATTTCAACACACTAGTCGAGTTGAAACGAAAAATAAAATCATGGCATGGGCATACTTGAATCTGCAGATTGTGCAAAATTTTCATTAAAGATATAGGGTTTCTGTAGGTTTCGTATGGACATCGTAAAGAAGGTTTTAAACTATTTTGCTGGCGTTAATTAGCTTATTAGCTATATGTACTTTTGTTCCTTCTTGCCAACGTAAAAGAAATTGTTAATAATAATTGCAATTTCCTGGGTAAGGAGCATATCATGTAATCTTATCTATTTTCCCTGTACAGTACTATAACTGTAATTAAATTCTGGTGTCATGTTACATAAACAATAAATATAGCAGTTTTGTGAAAGAGCTGAATCTTAAGCCTCAGAGAGAAGACATTATGGAACATGACACCTTAACAGCATAAATAGAAGTTCACAGAACAGCATAAATAGAAGTCCAAAAACAGCATAAATAGAAGTTCACAGAGTTGGGCCTTCTCACCTTGTGGAGATCTCTCAATAAGATCCATAACGGCATTTTCGCTGAGAGAGTGCATTTCACAACAGTTTTCGTTGAAGTCGTGTCTTTTGAATGGAACAGCTCTACAGTACACAATCAGCCGGCTCATCGACCCTGCCAGAGGCACCTGGACCTATTAAGTATCAATATGCTCTTTTAGTATAATCTTTTAGTTAGGGCCTTAACTATTTCATATTGCCAGTATTACTCAATATGTGCATTGCAGCGATGTGAAAAATAGAATAGAGCCCTTGAAGTACTATCAAATGATGACATTGCCTAGGAACAGCAACAATAAAAATGCGCATAATTATTCTAGAAAGATATTAAGAATATCATATAAAACTGATGTTTACAGTATAAAGAATTTACCAAGTACATTCAAGTCAACGCAGTTTTATTAAGGTTGGAACAAAAAATTTTATTGCAAAACAAAGCAATTATCAAAAAGCACTCACATCTTCAGCGTTTAGTGACAAATCATCCTACAAAAAACATTTAATTTTCATTTCACAGAGTGTTCGCAACAAAAGATTGCATTTTAAGCACCCTAGCTAAAAATTGCCAACGAAATTCATTCGGTATTAAGTGTGTCTTCAAAATGACAGTATAACAAAAGTCAACGAAACAAGAAAACAGCCAGTACGAAACAGCTACTGGTAATATGGTTGTACTATATTTGACGAAGCGATATCACAAAAAATCAATTAAATGATTTTGTTAATATCAAATCATTAATTATCATCATTATCTCTATTTCATAAATTCTAAAATAAGTTTTCTAAGGGTCAGATAACATCAAAAATTAAACAGAAAAAATATATCGAAAAATTTTAAGTGATATAAAGAAAGCGCGTTTTATTGGTTCGTTGTTTTTGACCAATCAGCGACCGCTAATCTCTCACCTACCTGAAGTGTCCACGAGAGGAAACAAACTCTTCCTTTCTACACAAGTCGGGAATGCTTTTTTATAATAAATTTGAAACTCAAAATTTTCAAAGAGGGCTTTCTGACTCTCTCATAAAAATTTAACATGATAGCATAATGATCAAGGTACCATAGCAAAGCTCTTCAACCAAAAGGAACCAATTCTTTTAAGACAAATTCATACTCTAAACTCTATAAAATTAGTAAAAAACGATACCTCTGGAATGACCGTGTTGATTGTGTCCGAGCTCAAAACTGGCTTTAATTTTGTTTTTGATGTCTCAGACGCGTTAGACTGAATCGATACCTACCGATAAAAGAGACAAGAAAGCACGCGAATGAGATCGAAAGGGTTAAAAAGCTTACTAAAAACAAGTAAGAGAAATGTCAATGGAATAACACATTCTGAGCAAGACTTTCTTTTTCATTTCAATTGCATTAAACTGCAAGAAGAAAAGTCTCGTTCAAAGAGCTCTGATCTCGTTTTCATCTGTTTTTCAGATGTCTAGCAGCAGCTCGCACTGCTCCGTTTTTGTACACAAAGAGAATTAGCTTGTCAGTCCTTGTGAGTTATGATATCGTTAAAAAAGTTACCTGCGACCAGGATCGAAAGCCACTGAATGTAGACACTGATGACTGTGGAGAAAAGTAAAATTAATATTACATAACAAAACATAACAGGAACCTCAATTGTTTATTGGTTCTAAACGTTGGTGCTAATAAATTAGATCGTCGCAGTCAAATAATAAAAATTATAATGGTTTCAGTATTTATTGATAATATTCTTCCAAAATAAATGGAATTAAGCATTTGCTCACAAAGTGTAAGCAATTCTGGTTATGAGGAAAAAGAAAAAACCAGTTCTAATTTAGTCGAGCAGCTTTTATCGTCAAAAAGATTTCAAAAAATGTTATGTGCAAAACCTTTTACTTTGAAGAATCCTCAAAAATTCTAAGCGAAAATAGAAAATACTATCAAACGCAACGAAGATGTTATGATTAGGTCAAAATGATAATAAAAAATCATAACATTTGCACTTAAAGAATACACTTTAAAGATTTTCTTCTCAAAGTTTTTTCTTAAAGCTTTGTTGTGATGTTTTTAATTAAGTTGCGCACTTTAATAAACTGCGGCTCTTTGTGTTAAATTCAAATGTTTTTGAAAAAATTTCATAATAAAAGTAATAAAGAAATGCTGAAAATTCATTTAATGAATTCAATTGTGAAGATACAGCGAAAAGAGGCCCGCCTAGATATAATTAATTAAAAAAAACAATATGATTGAAGAAAATGCTGATTGGGGTCGATGAAAAATACCGGAAAATATATACCTGTCGCCCAGCAACTGCCTTAAAAGGACGCGACTGCAAAAAAGCAAAAAATAAATCAACTGGATCAAAAAAAAATACCATTCGTCCGTTTCAAAATCCAGGGGGCTTACTTCCATAGCTGGCTTTCTAATCATACAGTTGGCGAAACTATCAAGCTTGCGTGCAGCTTATGTTAAATACTTTATGTAAATTGAGACATTGTCATCAAATACGCAGATGAAGAAAAAATGCGTTACGTGTAGATTAGCCATACCCTGAATCCATAGATCTATGAGTTGCAAAGGAAATGTCCATTTGAAATTAAGCTTTTTATCTCAATGAGTGTTTTAATTTTCGTCTCTACTATCATCTAATCAATGCATTTGCTTCTATTTTATTCATTGAATAGGAATTCACATGATATCAGTTCATAGGTCCCCTGACAACAACATTTTAATCTTACCAACCTTTTTCTTGGGAACCGATCTTCCTTTCAAAATGATTTTTCGCAACAGTTGGTTTGGCGAAGGGAGGGTGTTATTCTCAGACAAATCCTCCGTGGCAAGTAAATCCCCAAATTCAGCTACAAAGAAGTTTGCCATAGCACTCTTGAAAGGAAATAAGTAATACTGTAGAGGTTGTAACGATGCCAAAGGTTACAGAAACATAAAACACAAAAAAACAGTTAAGACGTAAAAACGTTTTATCCATGGCACTGCAGTCGAAAGAAAATACAAAATGACGTTAGAAATTTTAAAATTTTCGTTTGACAAAATTTTTATGGCTTTGTTTCATGCATTATATTTATCAAACCAACCTATTAAAACAAAATTTAAATAGCAGCATTAAACTGAAAATAAAATATATGAAAGTGACAAATTTACAACAAGATACAAACTAAAAGGAAAGTAAAACGAATTTAAGCTACACCCCAGTCTATTGTTGTTCTTATAAATTTTCAGAGAGGGTGCCACTTTGATCTCTCTTCAAAGACGGTTCTAGCATTTGCACCACAATGGCTCTTTGGCTAACAATGGCTCTTTGGCTATGCAGTTTTCAGTAACCGCATCCTAAGATCCATTTTAGACGGAAGTGGAAACCGTTTGTCATGATCCAAAAACTCAATGAAAAAATTCTCAAGCAATGTGGGGCACGCGAATTCAATGATTTGTAACTGAGTGTGGCTGTCTCTTTTTTTACAAGTTAACCGGAAATTGATCCGCTCGAATTCTGAATAAGCAGAGCAGCAAAAGCAATGTAACGAACTGGGTTGCTTGTAACGATCCTTACAGCGCTATTTGGGACTTCTTGCAAGGCATGGATTTTTTATTCAGTACAACAGTAAAACAGAGCTACAATAAGTTGAATGCAGCTCATTAATTTCTTTAAACATTTGAAAACATAGGATCGAAGATATTTATGGGAATACTTCAAATACCGAGGTCTTGATTCAAGTTATGTCTCTATACAATTTATCCTTATCTGCGAATTAGAAACGGCGAATCTTAAGCATCCCACTCTTCGTGAAATTGTTAAATTTTGTAACGGCTTTAGATTAAGGCTTTTTACTCCAAACATTGGGCTCTCTAAATGGTCAATACGATATTATGACTTAAAAGAAATTTGAATTTGTGACAATGTTTTAAAGGAAAAGAATGAAATAATTCGATATCGACAAGTCATCATGAAAAAATTTTGAATTTTCTGTAGAAAATAGCACCAATTTGACTAATGAACCATAAATGTAGACACAAACTTGTTGCTCCTCAGAACAATGATTCTCCAATGACAGTATAACAGGAAACGGGTTCGTCTCGAAGGCATATTCCTAACAAAAAATATAAAAAAATGCTTAATGAAATCCTGAACGGTTCCAGCTCAAAACGCTAACTTTAGAGGGCAAGCTAATAACACCAGTAATGTCATCAACAGTGACAACAAAAATCGATATAATAAAACCACCAGTAACTTGATCAATAGTGAATCTGTAATATCATCAAATATGGCATTAGTAAATTTATCAAAAATAGCGTCAGTAAATAAAAATACAATGACACAAGTAAAGCTCTTCACAGTTATGACATCAGCAATTAAAAAAATAATGACAAAACTAAAACAATTGTGACATCAGGAATGTCACCAATTATGTGTCAGTAATTATATTAAGAATGAAATCGACAAGCAATGTACCTTTATAATTTGAATGACATCTCGAAACTTAATCTTTGTCGTTAGAGTCATTCCATGGGTAACAACTGGCTCATCTGTGATCGAGAAATGAAAACATTTTAACGCTTTTTAGATAAATTTTAGATGAAGAAATAAATAACCAGTAAATTTTAAGCCAAAGCTGCCAGTTACATTCGATCAACCTACTATGAATGATATTTGATCCAATGAAGTTATCTAGACTGTTTTCGAAATAAACGAATCGAAATTGATGTCGGTATGGAACAGAAAGGTGAATCACTACTCTTGCAAGCATTGCTTTCTTTCTACGAAGCAGATACATTTGATATATATATATACATTTGATATATGATGTTTCTTTGTCACGGGTCCTTTTGCCCTTTTTGTGATGTTCCCAATTTCTATCAGGCTTATAAACCTATTCGAGATCATCAGCAGGACTTAAAGTTTTCGTCGAATTAAGCAAGGCCATTTGTTATTTCCGACCAAAACAACGATAAATTACTATAGAATGTTGATGTGTGGCAGCCCTTAGAATACGACAGCTAGCCAAAAACATTGTCAAGAACGAATACATCAAGTTTCTATAGGAATCTAAAAGAATGGGAGTAAAGCTACCTGGGCCATCCCAGCAGTCAATTTCCAGGCATCTGCTGCCTTGCTGTAGCGTCCGTACATAAGCTTCGCAACTCGAAAGCCCCTTGAGTTGGTGAGTCGTTAGATATGTGTTGTGCGATGAGCTGATGAAGTAGTCCGATAATGGGTGATCCATGTCCTTTGAAAAGACATTGGAATTAACAATAAATGGGAAAACAAAAATAAGGGGCAAACTTTGTTAACAATAGAGAAATATCCTCAAGAACACTAAAGCTGACTGATATGCAGAAAGATATAAATTCTCATAGTATTTTCTTTTTGTTATCTGCCAATGGTTAGCAGCAAATTTATAACAAGGGTAGAAGCTTTTCAAGGCACAACGTTGGAATAATTATGTACAAAAAGCAAAATGAGATTTACCTGATGAACAATCAAATGATTGAAGTCGAACGCTGAATTGTCTTTACTTCTCAGAAAACTGAAATTAACATTGGATGCAATAAAACGTTATGCAATAAGACAATAGAGCACTTTCAACTTGGAAATATATATAACTCGGGTACATAAAAGGGGGAAAATGAAAATAATTTTATGTGCTGATAATTCCCTGATAATTTATGATTCTTTTTGGTTCTTCAGTTTTGAATGAGATATGACCTAAGCATAATCTTCAAACACAGTACAAGGACATGTGTTTAAAAAGTGTAAGCGAGCATATGAAAAAAAAGTTACAATTACGAAAATGCAGAAAAATTTATAGGGACAATTAAAAGTCATAAAAACTGACAAGTGTTCCACACAAAGGATCCAAAAGATGACAACAAAATTGAGCATAAAGACAAACTAACTTTGAGGCAAAATCAAGTTATAGAAACGACTTAAGTGAGAGACTAGTTACCTGAGGAAGCCGTGATAAGAAAGCAATCCACGACTGTTTTGAAATGCGTGTGGGCTCCCTCTCGCGCAGATTCGCTTGTAAAGGTAGTGAGATTTATCGTGGTACTCGATGAGATCCACGCACGTCTTTAGCGTAATGTTTGTTTCCTGCAGAAGATATCAATAAAATGGTAGTTACAACACCAATCGAACTTTCACAAATGTTGTTAGCAATCAATCGCAAGATATGTTTGAGGGTAGTATCGAGTCGTGAAAAATGTTTTGTTTACAACTAACATTGTATAAGTTTATGACAAAAATGGGATCAAGACTTTTAGTAAAAAAGTGGCGGAGATAGAATGCATATTCCTTTTTCAACTAAATTTTTCAAATTTGTTTTCAATTAATTGGCCCATTTCTATATCAGAAGCAGGTCTAGCCTACTCACAGACTCGATTGTGCCGTAACCACGACGCTGTTTACCAATAAAAAATTAAATTGAATTGTTTTGCCGTGTTTGTTGTCCAGTAAGCTGTCGAGAAGGCTATAGCAGGGCAGAACATTCATTGTCTCTAATCAATGTTCCATGTTCTGAGAATTTTTGAGGTGAAAAGACTTTAAAGAACAAAATTTTTCGGCATTGTCTGACAACTCTGGTTTTATATCGTTGATACTCATTAAGGGAAAATCAATATAACAGAAAGAGGCATCGGAAACCTGCACAATAAAATTCAAATATTCTGTAAGCTTATTGCTGTTGCCTTGTTGGTATATTTGCTAGAGATTATTCTGGAAAGCAAGAGCTACAACAAAATCAAGTATTCTCATTAACTTTTACACACCTTTTGTTCATTTTCCAAGAAAGACATGAACTCTTGCGGCGCTAGGCCTAAATCGGGAAACATTTTGAGATATTTCTTGTAGATTTCATAGACCTAGAGGACGAAACGACTAGCATGAAATATATATAAAAATAAATCAAATTTATTTTTAGATCAACATAGTAGCACACGAATCATAAATGGTAAACCTCAAATGCATGCCGGTCTACATTCCTCACAAGTTTTCTCGTTGTAGAATTTCAAGTAACACTTCTAGAACTTTAACAATGAGAATGAACTCATTTGCTTGAAAATTTTCTTGAAAAGAGCATGAGACGATTTAAGAAGTAAAATAAAAGGTGTTTAAACAGGGCTGAAAATTTATCACAAACCTTAGGTTGGTTGACAAAAGAATTGAAGAGGATCACAAAGCAATCCCAGTTAAGCAATCCGGAAGATTGGCGGGAGCCAGACTGAGTGCGCACGATGTTCTGAAAAGATGCATTGGAATAAATATGGTACTTTCGTTGCATTATCAAGAGTGCATATGCTTTTTGGTAAATTAGTGTACCCTTTATAAAGATAAAATTTTCATAGTTTCTCAAGACAGACAAAGCTGACAGACATCATTTCTCAGACAGTTTATTTTCAAATTTGTTCATTGAGCCTATGAAAACTTTCAACCCTGTTGCTTTAGGAGTGAGAAACCAGCAGATTTCATCATGCGATTGAACGAGGAAACCTTCGTGGTGTATTTATTTCCAATTTCAAACAACCGTGTGGTAATAGCAAACTGCGCGACTGCTTCCGTGCAGTACAAAATGCAATAAATTCTAGTTCGGTGGAAGTACTGGCAATAAACAAAAAATTTAGATTTATGATTCAAAATGAAAGCATCCTTTCAGCTAAAACTTCTTTTGATCAAAGGCGGGGCGGCGTAGTTGAATTGAAAAAGGAAACTAACAGTCGAGTTAAAATGCATCGTTGGTTTATAAAAAAATATTCAAAAACAGTTCAGAATCAATAGGAATATTCTCACCCTGATAAAGTTTTTCAAATGGCGCTTGTTTACTTCTGGAGAGAGATTTTGAATGAAGCTGGCTGCATCTTCGTGCGAAATATGAGCTTTATGTTCAAGAGTCGCCCATACCCGTCTAAGGTATCTTCGTTACTAATTAAGGGAAATGATTTACCTTGCGATCAACACAGCAAGAAATCTAAGCCAGCATCAGTCAAGAATACTTTTGCTCAATATACACTCTCACAAACAGGAGGCCATGGGACGCTAAACTAGATCCTTGTAGAATTTTCATTAGCAGTCCCTGAATCATTTCAAGGGGTGCCGTTTTATTTTACTTTCCGAGCTTCGTTATCAACGAATCGATTAAAGATAGTCATTCTTGTAAATGGATACTAGATGAAACGGGGTGCAGTGCCTGTTACTTCAACAATGAGCGGCTAATTTCCCGAAAATGAGTCAACCATAGTCGATTCGAAGATGAGTCGATTCGTTGACAACGAAGCTCGGAAAGTAAAATAAAACAGCATCACTTGCTTGCAAAATGAGATACAAAATCTACCCGATCGCCAAATCTTCACGTCAGAAACTTTTGATTCATTCCAACCAAGAGAAATATCATTTTTAAGTGCAGGTTTGTTATAGCTCTTACTTCATCAACCATTCCTATGATATTCAAAGCTAACGATTCCAATTCCATTTGGCATGTCATCATAATTAACATGACAATATAAATACATCAGAAACGCCTTATGTTGAACCAAGTTATAATACATCAAAAGGATACAGTATAATCGGATCTTTAGTCTCGTGGAAGGATCTAAGTGGTTTTTCATACTCGTCCCCGTATACCAAAGCTTTCAGCTAAAAAGAAAGAAAATCCATCAGAAGAGATGTTTGTACTGGGACATATACAGAGGCTTAAGTAAGGGTTGTGATGGTATGATAGAACTCAGCAAATTTTCACATCAACTCAACAAAACTTAAAATCTGCATGTAGCACTAAAACCTTGCTTGTTCTTCAACTAGCAGCAAAAGAGTCTTGCCTCGATTGGATGTATACAATCTCGCTCTCTTTTGAATTTTGGCATCCAAGATTCAAAATAATTGCTGACTATAACAATAAATTCATAATTCACTTCTCAGTTGCTTTCAGCTGTTTTTAATTTTGCTTTGTTTCATCTGAAACGGTTTTCCCAGCTTACCGTTCTCACATGATACCTCTTTCCGCAGATACCCCGAGCCATTGCGAACAGTGATTCAAAGTTAAAACCATTGGCACTTTACTAATAGACCAAATAGGTATCGCTTCAACGCAAGGCTTTCAAATTTGAGTCATACTGGCTGTGGGACCTTCTTTCTTCACGTTTCTTTAGCGATCCTTCTAGTTTAGCTTTAGGTCTTAAAAAGGTCTATGAACAACGATACGCTTTTTGAAAAGTTCTTTTATTGGATATAACTGACCCTAAAACCCAGAATAGACGCGATGACGAAAAGCGCAGTTAGACAGAATCCAAGCGATACTCATGAGAAGCAACTAAATAGCGACAATTTAGAATTTAGCCCTGTGTCTTGAATTGTGTACTCGAAAAAAGCACCGTTTATCAAAGAAGATCCTCCCCTGAAATGATCACATCATTTTGATTGGGTCTGCTAAAAAACTAAACATGATGCAACAGCAAAACCCCCTCCAGCTAAAATGTTTCTGCAAGAATTCAAATGGTCAATTAGCTCATGACATTGGATACCAAATAGCTTATCATTAATCAATGAGTAATCATTACTAGCATAAGCAATTTTATTGGTCAATGAAGAAAGAAGCGAACATCTGATTGGTTGGTGGTACTTACACAGCGCTTCCAAGACTGGGCAGCCAGAACCGAATCACAGATAAGATCAAGGGACATAAGCGAGCTCCATTCACCTGCAGAGGAAATAAGTTGAACGAGCATTGAAAAATGAATATAGATTGTGAAAATGTATTCAATGAAAAGCGTCTGAGGAGTACTGGGAAATCAAACCGATGCACGATGTGACAAAAGTCATTTGGCGTTAGATCAAAACTGTATAAGTGACAGCAATAAAACAGCTTCGTGAAGAGAAAATTGAAGTAAAACAGAAGAATATAAAGTCCACAAGATCAGCAAACCTTGTTCTCTCTCGAATAGTAAACTGAACGACTGCTTCTCTACTTCTGAATATGGAAATTGGACGAAATTTCTCGTCTGTTGGCCGCAACGTACTTCAACGATCTTGCTAACTTCCACTGTTGATTAAATTTCGAGAATATACATTAATGATTCAACAATCGGTTTTCTTATTTAGATTAAAAATTTTGGCACTGGCATTGAAAACTTAAACACAGCTTACAACAAAAAATCGAGGAAACATTTTGCACTCACAGAAACTAATCATTTTAAGGTTTGTTTATGATTAAGGGCACTATCTAAATACTAAAGAAAAATCAGGAGAAACAACATAAGATAAATCTTTAAGAATTCTACAAAAAGTTTATGATAACTTCAATTCTTATACCGTTGTGTTACTGTAAGGACCTAATCAAAGTGTCGGATTGCTGCTATAAAAACAGAGAATACATAGCTCACATGTTGATTTGTATGAGTATTCTTTCCTCGCTTTTCGCCACATTATTTGCTGCAAAAAGAATTTCTCTACTTCATTAGCTCCAAAGTATATATTCAATATTCTTGAAAGCCTTGAAAATAATTATTACAAGTGTTAGCTTACTTTTGGCAGCAACGACAAAATCAGCCACGCAACTTCAAATCACGGGATCTTTGAGACAGTCAACGTCCCGCCAAACGAGAATAAAAGCTTAACAGATCTGTTCTATTGATTCCTTTTTGTACAGCAACGACTTGGTTCTATATTCTATGTTGTTTGTTTATTATTTTTCCTTCATAAATTTACTCTAACAAGTTTCCTTGCACTTCTTTCCATATATCAACTGAAATTTGAAACCGCTCAATAATCATTGTCTTATCTTCGACAGCAATGAAAACGTAATGTAAACAAATGTTCAAATACATACAAGATTGTGTCGATCAAGCTTGAATACTCGTTCATGAGGTATCGAAGCTTTTCCAGCACGTGAATACTTTATCATGGCAAATTCACCGCTCATGTTTGCTGTGTCTTCACAACCTGTAAACGTTGTTTTTATTTCAATTCTCCAGAACCTCTCCATCGTCAACATTGAAAATCAGAGACGGTTTACTTGTCAATTCAACGTTTTACTTTTTCCGTTAACTATGATTCTTTGGTTTTTCCAAAACAAACTATTTTCTTTTATTAAAGTGTTTTTAGACGAGAAATCATCTATACCATAAGAATTAAGATTTACATTACTAGCAACGAATTAATACCAATAACATAAAATAAACATGCATAAATGTTAAAAATTTGTGGAATCAAGAACAAATTTGCCTGATTTTTGTCCACAAACTACAATTATTCACTTTATTGTTTTTTTATTATTTATTCTTTTTTCTGAGAAGAAGAATTTTGCTATCTTTTTTCAATCAGTCTCGCGCTTGACTTCCCAGTTTAAAATGCGGACTTTCCTGTCTAAAATGCGGACTTATTAAGTTCATCAGTGTAAAAATAAAATATCACGTTAAATTTTTTATCTAAATACATCAAGAACACAGATGACCGGAATATACACCCAGAATCTAAACTGGGTTTTACAATTGTAATAGAACCTTTTGAAAATATGGCGCTTTACCTTCAGAAACCGAAGATGTTGACTTCCGAGGAACCAACTGGGAAGGAAACTTTGCCTATAGAAAATGAAACCAATCTTTAAAAAAATTTCAAAAGAGTTTGTCACATTCTACTGGTTACTGACACATTATATCAAAGAGGGCATGCAGTTTTATTCGGGTACAAATTCTAAGAATTTTAACCAAAATAGTTCACCTCTTGTGTGTGAACGTGGAATTCTTGAGAACCCAGGCCTTGGAGAGTTGAACTGATTAGCAAATTTAAAAATACAGTTGATTTTCGCTAGTGCATATGAACTGGTTACAATAAAAATAAAAGAAATAGACGTACGAAAGTTTCCATCTCAAACACTGAATCATCTACAACTTCAGAATCAACAGTAGACCATTGCTTGATGCCTGTAAAACAAACAATTCAAATGGTCACTTGCTTTAATGGCGCTTCCAGTACATGCCCATGGGGCGCCTTTTCTAGTAAGAAACAAATAAGTGCATATTGCCCTAAAATTTAAAGAGGCCGCAAACACCCAAGACATTATTTTTCACAGCATAAAGAAAGGAATATTTCAAATCAGGCGAATTGGGGTCCAGGTTTAAACAAAAACGGGTTAAAAGCGCGTCAATGGAAACGCAATTTTACTAATCGTTTTATTCCGCTCGATTTTATCGTTTCCAGTAAGCCGGGTTAAAATGTATCCAGATTGAAAAAGAATCCAGGCCTTAGCCTTTGCCCCTTCAGGGGAATCAGATCCAGAGAATTATAATAAAAAACCAAATCATACAGAGCTATGGAAAACAGTATTTGCAGCAGCGACAGTCCTTGACTTTTTCTTTAAAACGCTGTTGTTCTTGAAAGTGGATCGAAAGTTATCCGGGATTGGCGTTCCCACTAGCCCACAGGTGGGTCGGAGAACCGTTATTAAACTTATGTTTTTCAAGTGGGTTAGTGGGAACGCAAAAACGGACAACTTTCAACCCGTTTTTGTGCCAGAGTGGATCAATGTTAACCAGGGTATCTTTTAAACCATACGTGGATTAGAGGAAAAGCCAAAAGATAAGGCTATAACGTTTTTAATGGATACATAGATATGAATATATCCACAGACAGGGTAGTTTAACTATTGTCCGTTTTAAGCGTATTGTAACTTAGAAGCGGCCTGTTCCATACCATTCGTCAATCAATAATAGCCAATCGATAAGCGTGTGAGAGGTAACACCTTCACTAATTGATCAATTGTTCATTGACATATGGCTTAAGCCACTTTTGTATCTGTTTATTGCTTTTAATTGGCAGTCAGATTCATGCTTTTCAACATGCACGAAAAGAGTTTTATGTCCACAAATCGCTATTTCACTTCTGGTATGGACACAAAGCCTTAATCTATACAAATAAGTAACTTTTTGATACTTTTTCAAATTTAAGTTATGAAACTTTTTGCAAAAAATCATTTTATTGAAGGAAGAGAACCTTCTTGGATTGCTTGTATCCATTGCTCACAGTTGTATCTGTCGCCAGCTTGTAAGAGAACAGCACCTTCTTCTGGTAATTCAATTTTCATTGTACTTGAATTTTCATCAAAAGCTGAGATGCTGTGTATCATAGCTAATGGATAGCTTCCCTTTAATTTATCCTAAGATTAAGAAAAGAACAAGTTTAGTAATAAAGAATGATTCAAAATAGTGCAAAAAGAGGGAACATTGAACATGCATCAAATCTTTTTGACTTTGCTAAATACCCAGTTTATTGCTTTTCTAATGCAAAAAAATGCAATATGTAAACAAGAAACACGAGAATCAAATACAGTCTTAGCACTTTATAAAGTTCCAGGTCCATCAATTACAGTAGAATCCCATTATAACATACTCGGCTATTACGTACTTTCGGATATAACATACTGGTGTGCTTGGTCCCGACAAAAGGTGTGCTTGGTTTTAGTCAATTTTTACTTACCCTCGTTATGACATACTTCGCTTATACCATACTTAATACATTGGGTCTCTTAAAGTACGTTATAGCCGGATTTTACTGTAAATATTATGACATGCTTGATAAATCATTATATTATATTTGTTACAAAATCTATCATACTCTCACTGCTAAGTATCTAATAGGTTGAAAATTGATCTGTAAATATCAATAAAAAACTTTTCAGATAAATTAGCCATCTTTGCAGTACTGAAATAGTATGAACACACGAGTGGCATTACTTTTTACATCACATCCAATTAAATACCTGAAAAACTTTACATATTTTGTAATTGTTTATATTGAATACCAAATGCGTGCTATTTACCTCAAAATGATAGACCAATTGTGAGACACTGTGAGTTATTTTCTTTCTTTAGGCTAAAATAATGTTTTCTTCAGTTGTTCTGAATCAGATGAGCAATCTCTTTCAATAAGGTATGGTAATTGGCAATGCCTTTTTAGAGGAGAAGGCCACAAGATCACCAAGTAGTATGATTTCTAACATAAGACTTTGAGTAAATGATAAGACTTTGTCTCCTGTTTTATTTCAGTTCCAATGTGGTTATTATGTTATGTCCAAATTTATGAAAAAATCAAATGGCTTACGTAGATTTTTGTTCAAAATCTAAATTTCTCCTCCCTCCTATGAATTTGCCGATCTTTGCCACTGATTATATCCTATTTCATTCTGATAGTGGTGTGGCTCCAGAAGGGTAATAGTGTGGTGGGTCAATTTTCTTCTTATATAGAAAAATATTTCCACTTGGTGATCATTATTAGAATAACCCTCCCAAAATTGTTAAGCTTGTTTGCTTGCAACCAAAGGAAAACGTTCCAGAAAGTTTGATGGGTACCTTTTGCCCCACCTCTTACTCTACACCCTTGACTTGATTCACTTTGACCATGCCACTGAATTCTGCCCAAAAAATTAAGCATGCCACTTACACACTTTTCATTCCTGTAATACTCGAGAGTGGACTTAGTCAGCACAAAAAATCTGGCTCTTGATGATATTCTAGTTGATGATTGTCCAACATTTCTTTTCCAAAGAAAGCCAGATCTTATTAAATTTTGTGTCTTCTCTTCTAGATTGTCAATTGAAATGCAAGTGCTGTTGCCAATAATGCCATGGCCAGCAGACTTGGCATCAAGGTCACTCAAAACCATAGCAGAAGCCATTCAAAGGTATTGTACATCTAAATCTAACCTCTCTTTGTCATACAGCTGCACATTCACTGAAAAAATGATATGAAAAAAATTTACTTTCAAAATTTATCAATTTATTATATTCTATCAAGACAAGTTTTTTTCAAAAAGAGGAAATCATCCTTCTTAACCACAACATCATCCTTAGCTATACCATCTTGTTGTGATTTTTGGACATCAAATATGATTTTTCTATGTAAAGCTTCAAGCATTGACAAATAAATACTTGCAAGATAAAAATAAATACTCAACAACAAATTTGAATTGTTTACAGATTTATTTCCTGTTTACATGTTTTTTAAATTTCTATAAAAAGTAAAATGAAACAGAAAAAAATTAACAAAGGTTCACGTGGAACTTTGTATTGCTACTTGCATTTTGGAGAGTGTAAGAGAGATCCTTCACTCTAAAGATTGTTTTTAATCACGATTGAGGCGCCACAGTATCTGAACTCGTATTAGAAATGAAATGGTCTGTAGAACTTTTATGATAAATGGAGATTTTATCCAAACAAAAATACCTATTTTGTGTGCATTCCTTCGCAGCTTAGTCATCTCAGCAGATAAATCATCTTAGTCGTCATTTCCCAACGCTTGTTTACATTTTTTATAACTCAACTTCAGGAAGTAGAGCTTGGCCTCACTCCTAAGACGGGAGCCTCGGTTAAACGGTAACAGAAACGCCGCCACGGGGGTCGGGCAAGAGGGCAAACTGTCGAAGGGCCTTTGAGGTCTAGGGGGCCTCATAAAGTAATGAATTCTATTTCAAGAGTAGAGTTAATCAAGTGCAGCAAAAGTATACCTACAAGTTTTAAACGACGAAAGAATTGTTCAGATCGATTTCGATTTTCGTTCTTGCAAAAAAGCCCCCGTGACAAAAATGCCGCTTGGGACAGTTGATTTTCCAAAAATTTTGAAATAGATGAAAAATACTTAATAGAATTCCCACGTTTTCCGAGAAACTAAAGGGCGTGGTCGAGAAGTTTTTGTCAACCCCAGTTTTTTTGGGCTGTGGACGCCACTGAAACCCAAAACCCCCAACTCCCCGCTTTTATGTGCCCAAACTCCTCGGCAAAATGATATAACCTTCGGTACCAGCGACGGTCATAAAGTGTTTACCATCCTAGCTCTTCAAGAAGCTTCGGCCTACTTGTGCCTTACCATGCTCCAGAAACTGAAAATGGTGCTTCACATTGAGACTCTTCTTTTTGGTGTGTAAGCATATCTTGGTCATATTGTTGGAAAATATTGCATCTGTAATCTAAGTGAGGTGTCACAAAATCGTATTGTAAAATGCTTAAAGGAATGGTCAAGGACCTCTCTTGGTACATATTCCGAGAGATATTTCAACAAGTCTATTCCCCTCCTTTCCATGCTTTTATAACAGCTTCTGGAATTAGCTTTTATTCTTGAATCAGTCCAAGATTGTTATGTTCCGATTTCGAGGCAATGATATTGCGTCTCCTAATTTAAGTCAAGGGCGGATTGGTTTTTCTCATAGTGCATAAAACATGACTGATCCACTTCCACGGCTGTCAGCCAGATGAAAGTTTATCCAACGATGCAGCAGTTTTGAGGAAGGCCATGTATACCTCACGAGAGTATATGAAGCGAGAAGAATTTACTGTTGTGCTTGAACTTTTGTTTTTCCTGACAAAGTGTAAATACCAAATCATAGATGATTTTACTCAAATTCCACTTCTAAGAAACCTTTACTCACAGAATACAAGAAAGGTTGGAAGGTTGGTATGTTTTCTGAATGCTGGTTCCCCTCTTTTACAAAAAAATACTTCTTCAATCTTATCAATGTTAAATGGCATTATCCATTGCCGCACCCATAAACTACTTTTTTGCCAAATCCCTGCTTAATTAAGGAAAGCTGCATTTTCATTCTGATTCGAAGTAAACAATGATTTGTCATCAGCAAAAAATTTGATGCCACACTCATAGGCGTGCGGGGTGTTTTCAGATAGGAATACCGGTGTCCATACTCTTACGAAGTATTCTCTTACACAAAGAACCTTCTAATAATAATCGAGAGATGATTGGCAACGTCATTTCTTTAAAATGAGGCTAACTTATATGCAATCTTAAAAAACATGACACATTAAAAAATAACTTTCGAGTTTTCATTGAAAGAAATACGAATTTCTTCCAAGACGATGACCAAATATGTCGATTATACTATCGATATTTTTTTCGAGAACAAGATATAAACATTAGCGTTCGACATCAAAAAGAGCGACATTGCCAAATCCTTGCTGTGTTACAAAGATATGTGAAACGAAGATATGTTTTTATATGTCCAGGCACCGCGGAGCGTTGAGAAAAGTGGGGAGGGTCTAAAAAAGTTGGGAGGCTAAAACCTTATAAAAAGAGGCTTTACTGGTAGTTAAGTACTAAATATTGGGCATTTTCGCTATAGCTCCCCCCAGCCCCCCTGCTCCACGGTGCCTGATGTCTAAGTGAGCTGAAGTGAGATGAGTCCCTTTCGCTCAACATGATGTTGCTGGAATAGGGGCCATGATTTGCATCCCTTCGCAAAATGTGGAACAAAGTCCGAAACATTGTCATCATGCATCATTTTCAGCAATTCACACACTTTGCTTGATATTTTTGATTTGCAGAATCTATTTGTTAGAAGAAGCAAACCTTTCTGATGTTTTCTGTCGAAATGCCAGTGACGTAACGCAGTTTAGGGCACCTTAATTTGATAACAAAAGGCCCCTGACCAAAACGGGCCCGAAATGCTTTTATGTAAATGTTTTTAAAACTTTGGTCAAGTTCAAAAACTTTCCAAAACTTCTCTAAAGTTCTTCAACTGAAGCACTATAGCTCAGTTCCTCCTAGCTAACGAGAAAAGCTTTGCAACAGGGATTTTACACCCTTGGACGGGATCTTCTTGCAGTCAATAAGTAGAGGTCCCGTGGCAGATTTTCCTTAGGGCCCCAGATTCATCCTCTACGCCATTGCTCAAATCACACAAAATATCTTGGTCATTGTCATTAAATTGCGCGTAAATTTCTTCCAAGGCCTTATCCATTACAAAAGCACGTCTTTAACGAATTTGTACGACCGTTAAGTTTGTAAAATCAAAAAATAACCTTTCCGACACCAATCAGTGAAAAACTGATAAACTGGCACTTGTTCGTGTTGACTAAAATCAGACGTTTTATCAATTATGACAGCATAATAGCCACCTTCTTTTGCTTCCTCGACAATCCCCTAAAGTCCTATTTGCACTGTTGCTGTTTCTGTCGCTTTTTGGTGTTTTCACAAAACAGGTTCCTTTAACCTTATGCCATTACTTCTGAAAGCGCGCACGATTACGGCTACTTTACTCATCTCGTGGATTTATAAACATGTTCGAAATGTATCTTTTATGGTACTTTTTGCTTCGCCCGATTTTTGCCCGATTTTTGTCCGAAGAAATCAGCTGCCCGAAACTGGGGGCTGAAGCCTCCAAGCTCCCCAAGCCCGAATCCCGTACGCCTATGGCCACACTTCATATTAACGGTGGTATCATTGATATACATATGTAAGTGTATTGATCAAAAAGAACAACGGTCAAAGAAATGAACATTGTGGTACATCAAAAAATATTTTATCCAACTTTGAGCGTACTTTTTCTTGTGAAGGAAAGTAATTTTTTCTAGCACTTTAACTCATACCCTTTCACACAAATTTCAATCTGGATAGCAATTTATGTGAATCTCAGAAAAAAGACAAAGGAAATGACAAATTGTCGTCAAATGATGCAATATAAATTAAATTTGTAGATTTGCCAAAAATGCGCTTTTCACTTGCCATCAATGTTGCATAATATAATTATATTAATTCAATTAATAATACTAATTAATTTAATTATATTTAATTAATATTATAATCATAAAGCAGTTCATGTTTCCTTCCATTGTTTATTTTAGATTTCTTTGTCATCTTGCAAATTTTTTTCTTGGCTAATCTTTTTCTTACAACGGATCGATATACAGCAGGTAGATTCTAGAAAAATATAACACAGGTGATAATAAAATTGTGGTCAAGTTGAACTAGTCGCCTCAGAACAGAAATAACTTTTTAAGAAAGAAATTCTCAGGAGGCGACATGCCGCAGTGAGTTTGAAACAAAACCAACAAAATATGTAATTAAGTAAATCCTCGAATTGCCCCCATCCCCTCGCATATACCCCATCTCAAATTAGCTCCCATCGTGGAAGTGAAAACATTAACAAGCCTTAGATGTCAACTATTACAACACAACCCACGATTTTAGTCCAAAGAAAATAAGATATTCAACGAAAAATGAACTTTAGAATAAACAAACCATTTTCACAATGATTTTATTGTCAATATTGACTTGCAAAATGTTTCATTTCTCAAAGTAAACACGAAATAGTTGAAAATACTTTTGGAAAGCGCTTTTTTTTGGCAACCTTTAGATGATATTTATTAGTCCCCACACTACTTTAAGCCCACCTCAAAGCCTTACAACACCCCCCCCCCCCAACCCCTATAAAACGTCACACCGCCTTCTATAGAGTAGTCGATTCAGTAATCCTTGTTCTAAGCTGTTCCATGTCATGAAGTTTCTTCAGCTTATACCAGTAAACCTATAGCTAAAGGTTAAAGCATTATATAAGGGATCCTTAGCGGTGAGAAAATAGAAATTGAAGAGGAGCGCTAGCCCCCTTCCATGAATTGCCGAATATGCTCAAAATAAAAAAAATCTTCCTTTCAGCCCTTAGCATGTCGACTCCCAACTGAACCATAATGATAGCAGGTATATGAAAACTTACATATTTATGTGCCCCGCTTCCAAAACAGCGAGGCTGGACTAAAGGCAGGGGGTCATTCATGAAATAGAAGTTGTGCAGCTCTTTCACCATCGACTTTGTCCACTCGACCCCTGTCCAGTTTGCCAGTTGCCAGTTTTCAGGCGGGAGGGATTCATCCATGCTTAGGTGAAAAAAAATTGTAGTAAAAACACCAAGTTACTCTATGTTATAAAGTTGTTTTGCAAATACTTGTCCCCTTCCCAAGTACATATACAGTTAGTTATACGTAGCTGATCTCCATTTCCTGATAAGCAGCCAAATGGTAGAAAATCAACTTAACTAACAGCAGTGAAAATATCAAAGAGTTCAGTGGCGGATCCAGCCAAAAATCTGACTACCGCCGAAATGAGATAGAGGGTTGACCACACCCATTTTTTGATCACAACCGGTTTTCTAAAATGATTATTCTTTCTATAATTTCTTATGTAGAACATTTTCAAGAGACAAGTGGTGCTTTACTGAAATTATGTATCCTTACAACAAGATTGAGGAGAAATAAATAATCTTACTCGATATGGATGGATATTCTGAAAAAATTTACGGCATTTAGCCGAGGAACACCATAGAATTAGAAAAAAAGATACATTTGGCAGAATTTTGAAGTGTTGCCTAAAACTCGCATTTAGTCGCACAATTACTTATGAAAATCAGACCTGTTGGTAATTATAAGTTTAAAAAGCCAGATAAAATTTGCAGTTATTGAGAGCAACTTTTGTTAAACAAAGAATCATACTTTTGGCGAACATTGTGGGCCTGACTTTTAATCCTGATGCCTTCTTAAATTTTAGAATATTCGAGTCTTAATATTCTTATGAAATATATTCCTACGAATAGTTGTGTATTGTACAAAATAATGGGTCACATCGGCTTTGAAGTTACAGTTTGCCCACTTGCAGAATATGCAGGCATCCCCCCATCTTTCTGTAACGTTTGAGTCGTGTTGAGCGGCAGTACTACTCAATCCCCCATCTGAGCGGTAGTCAATTCGGTTGTTCATTGGTTGTCAACAAAATTTGTATGCATCCCCCCAGGTTGGCTGTGATTTCTTTTGATTCGATTGGTTTAGGCAGGCTGACTACCGCTCAGTGCAGCTCAAATCCGCTCTACACCGACTCAACCCCCCTAGCTAGCAAGCCATGATTTCACCATCGTTCTATTTGCAAACATGTGGCTCGGCAATTGGCACGCAATTTCCATAGCGATAAGGATTAAAAAATATTTCTGTTTCTGTGGAAATTTCAGGCATGTTCCTAGGAAAAAAGGCTTGGTTTGCAGCGCGATCAAATATTTTCAATAATTAAATAAGGTTTAATTAAAGTAGTAGGATAAACATGAAAATGATCCTTGTTTCTATAATTTTTTGAATAATCTGACTACCGCTCGAGCGGTAATGGCGGTAGTCTGGATCCGCCACTGGAGTTGTAAGTCGAACTACTCTCTCTCTATACCCCTGGAGGTAAACTTTAGAGAACATTAACTAAGACAAGCCTGACAGGAAAAGTTTTAGGATCCTGTCCTGGAATAAAACTTTGTTAACATGATATCTGTCATGGAATGAGATCCAAAATATTGATGGTTTATATAAAAAAATTTTTACTGAGAATACTTTTTTTAATTGATGACTAGAATTATCCTCTTTCATTCAATGCCAAGATTAAAGTGTTATATAGAGGTAACCTCCTCTCTTTTAATATAAAAAGAAAACAATTCATTTTCCTTCTTTAATCAACATGCTAACAGAGCTTATTTTAACGTGCAAAATTAACGAATATAGCGATAAATCGTAACTATGCAGTGGTAAACTCAAATTTTCAGCAATGATATATCAAAGTATATATGAGAATTGGATATATATAAATTTTTTCAGTACTTAGAAGCTATCTAGTTTGTTTGGTCTTTCATCTTCTCCTTCAAGTTCTTTATTCTTCAAAACATGTTTAGACCTAAAACACTTTTTCCAATCTTTTAAAAAGCTTTGGTAAGAGGTGGTGTAATTCGACAATTACACAAAGAGAAACGTCGTAAACTACGGTTGCCTAGTTTGATGGGTGTGGTGATGGAGACTTTCAAAATGCGACTGAGTTTCTTAAAAAACTGTGAATATGTGCGACGATAAAAAATCTTTATATTAAACCCTGTATACAATTGCCAGCGCGAAAATATAGTTTGCCCTGAATTTCCATCCGAAAATGAGACCATGTTGGCAGGCACATGCCGGATAGTCAGTGAATTAGGTAGACCCTTTGGTATCTCTACTTCTAGGAAGTCTTAAAGAAATATGGCTTCCGTTTTTCTTATCTCTCTCTCTCTCTCTCTCTCTCTCTCTCTCTCTCTCTCTCTCTCTCTCTCTCTCTCTCTCTCTCTCTCTCTCTCTCTCTCTCTCTCTCTCTGTGTGTGTGTGTGTGTCTAAATCTCTCTCGTGCAAAATCTTTACCTATTTTTTACACAATTCTACAGAAGCAAACAAATTCACTTTAAACATACCATTGAGGAAATACGGGATTTGCGTATGCGGAAGTGAACACGGGCTGCACAACCATCTCGTCACTTGTGCAAGTTGTCAAATTAGCTCTGGGATAGTACATCATAAAGTTGAAGCACATCTCTCTGTTTGAGCCCATGCCACCCTGTAAGGAGCATAAACGTACGCAAAAGATGTTGATCACACAGAACTACTTTTCGGTTGGGGAAAGGGGGCTCAATCGTTGGTTCAAGGGACAAAAGTGGCTATCAATGCCTTTGTCGGTTTTGATATCAACAAAATTAGTGTAAAAAATATCAAAAGTTTTTCTTAAGAAATACCTCAACCCAACTCGTCAAATCTATTTTCCTTATAGCTCACTTTGGTAAATGGCAATGGCTAAAGGTATTTCTAACAGGTTTTCTCCAAAATAATTCTCCATGTCTTCATGTTTCAAAGACTTTACAACTTGTCATTTATTGGCCTAACCAGTTGCTGACTGGCAAGGAATGATGGGATATCCTGGCCACGGGTCACAAATATGGCAAACAATTGTTATGATTTAAATGAAACATTGAGGCTAGACTATTAAGTGAATGTCGAAGTCAACAAAATGAATGAAATTGAAGGAATTAAATGTGATAGAAAAAGCCAATACCACAGATGTGTGGCGACTGTAACTTGAATTTAATTACTTGTATAATGTTTAAAAGGACATATTACAAAAGGTATGACGAATAGGAGTCATACATACAAGCGTGGCATACTTCTTGTTTAATGTGCGGTAGGTGCAGTACGTGAAAATATCGTCTCCCTGTTAAAGAGGAAATTTTGAATTCCATTGAATGTACGTGCAAGAAAACTTGAAATCTTCAAAAAATTGTCAATCATTCAGTTATATGAGAAACATTCAAAGAAGCCAAAATGTAGATAATCTTAAAGTTTGATATAAGAAAAAACATCACTTTGCAGAGATTTTATTGATTTTGGCAAGCAACAACAAAGGTTGTTCATTCGAGCGATAACAGGCTTAGAAAATGTACGAAAGCTACCCTATATATTTTGCATATTCAAAATTGGAACGATTCCTTTATAGCTTCATAGCTATATATCTGTATATTCTCTTTAGAATAATATGCTTTTTGGTTCCTTTAAAAATTTGGAACGAAAAATAATGACAGAAAAGTCAAAAATAATTTTAGATGGTATCAAATCAAATACTATTGTGGATTCAGAAAACAAAAAAACATCTTACCGCTTCTACTTCGACTTCTTTGTTGAGCATAAGAGTTTGCTGTAAAGAAATAAAACTACATATCTGTCATCTTGACTTTCATCATCGTTTGAATCAAATAGCTCTTAAATATTGAACATTTTTATGGGCCATTTTGAAATGTATACATAGCATATGTGGTGCAACTTTGTGTTCTGTAGCATGATTTCACGCGATGCAACTAAGCAAGAAATTCAAATTTTCTGGCAAAATTGATGACCGTATTCAGTTTAACTTTGAAAAATAATGATAAAACATTAAGCAAAATATAGCCTTAACGTACATTTTTTCGGTTAAATTGTAATGAATACCATTTGCAGAACATTAAGAGGTTTGTTAAAGCATCTTGTTGGTCGCAGCAGCGACTTCTGGCTTTCTTGGAATAAATGCAGTCTTTAATTTTCACCAGCTCTTCCTTTCCTCCAGACACAAATGCCCTATTTGAATTTGGATTGTTTTTTTTTATTTCATTTAATTGAAAACTTTTGATCAAGAATTACCTGGTAATTTGGATCAAAGTTGTCATTTCGCACCAGCTCTTCAACTTCCAGTCCGTTTCTGACCACAGTTGTATGAATAGCAATAGCTGATCCATGAGCATGAGGAAAAGAGGCAAATATCTTGATACTTTTTCGAGATAAAGGTCCACTGCCATCCAGCTTCTACAAAAGTAAAGCACAGGATCCCAAAACTCACTACAAAAATATCTGGCGGTGTTCTTAGTAAACTAGAAAGCGTTTTGAAAAGACAGCCCACAGTTTTCACTGGAGGCCAAATGCTATAAATAACATCTGACAATAAGTCAAAAGCAAAGCAACAGGAGACTGGGGGACATATCCCTCCCCTTGAAGGGCGGTTTTTATTTCGTCTAAAGTTGATAAAAAGTATTGGAGGAGGGGTAATACTTTTGAAGGTTTTCGTTTATCACCTGGCTCACCTTAATAAAAATAAAACAAAGCCAATGTTGCATAGGTATTCCTTGCAAAGGTCACATGAAATTGAACGATGAAAATCCTGCGATTTTTTTTAATATTTCTAGTTTGAGAGTATTTTATTTCGTTGGGGATGTTTGGCTAAATCTGTATGGCACAGTATTGCATGTATATTGATGAAGAGAGGTCATCTAAGGAATTTTTGCAACGGGCCTTTACCTAAATTTCATGTCAAAGAACATTTATGCAATTGGTATCTTAGATAGTAAGAACAATTTTTCTAAATAAATTGCTTTGCTGTGGAGAATGCTATGCTACTGGAAGAAACTTGGACATTTTGCTTGGACATCTTTGTGCTTCAAAGTTAAAAGAATTGCCGTTGCAAGCCCCGAACACAAAGAATATATGGATAAATTCTGTCGAACATTCTATCCATCTTTGCTTGTGAATGCCTTTAAGAACACTTTAAATGCTTGTTTGAGCTTTAAAAGTGGACAAGTCGACTATAATGACTTTACCTGGGTGCAGCTCTTTGTACACACGCCTTTTAAAGTCCATCTTGACATTCCAGGAGGGATGATAATGTTATCAGTTATGCTTGCGCCTACAGTCAGCATTGCAGCTTCGTATTTTCTTGGTTCGGAATAGAACATACGAAAGCCAGATGTATCGACTAAATCTGAAACACGATCATATCTTTTCCAATATCCATTTTCAACATCTCATCTTAGCATCAATTTTAAAAACATCTTTTTTCAACATCCATATTCACCATCCATTTTCAACATTCATTTTCTACATTCATTTTCTTAACATCTGTTCTTAATGCTATAAGTATTAAGTATAAAGGAAAAAGCTGTGAATCAATTTTTATTTTGAATCAATAGTTTGATCTGCTTAGATCAATAAATTTTCGATCATTAAAGCTTATATCGCCTTAAGCTTGAATGAATCCTTGCTAGCTGATTTTAAACATTTAATAATTTGCTTTCCAAAGACATATGAATTGCAAATTCTGTGACATGTAAGGTTACATCATATGATTTGTAATATTCTGTCTCTCATTTCTTAGGACATAAAGCATGGGTGCTGATTTAGTATTACCTTGTTTTACAATTGACGTTGTTTCTGCTAAACAAATAATCTAACTGTTAATATAAACCTCATAGTTGCTGAAGTACGAACCTTTTTTCAGGTCTTCGTTGTTGAAATGACTTTCAAGAACATAATATTTCGAGCTTTCCTTTGTGCCGATTGCATACCCAACGTCGTCAGGAAATCGAAAATTCTGAATAAAACATCGTTGATTAATACATCTTATTTATACAACTTCAGCACAACATTTAATTAAAATTAAGTCATATTATTTATTTGAAAAACATCACCAATATTTTATATTAATTTCGATTTTTCAATTTTACGGCAATTTCATTTTTTAGGCCCGCCGCAAAGCTGTGGGGATTTGGAGCTAAATGAATAACAAAAAAGATGATGTGTCATTCCAAATTACTACTAATCATAATTCATGGAATACGCATGCGTATGTACAGATACATTTTATTTTGATGATTTTAGACAAAATGCATGTTTTCTATATGAACTAATATAAAGTAATGCCTCAAAACAGAAAATTTGACTGCTTGGGGGCTACTTACTACTCCTCCATGGCCAAAAGCAAAGATGCCTCCAGTCCCTGCACAGCTTGACACCGATTGAGGTGTTTTACTGCTTTGGCATTCACCAGAGAAAGCAAGGTCCTCTTCACTCAGATAGTTACACGCATAAAGTACCATGTGATGAACAAGAGATTTCTTCCTTTTCTGCACTTTTGGGTGAATCTGAAGAAAACAATGAATACATATCAAGGTTTGCATTCAGCAACGTTGAAACTTAGGACTTATGTGGGAGACGAGGTGAAAAATCATTCAACAGGGGTTGTTGCCACCAACCTGGGGCAATCTTGCTGGGGTAGGATCCAAAGGGTACAATCTTGCAAGGTTTGTTTAAAAAGCCAGGAAGCTGTGGGTTGACAAAGTGAACACAGGGTCAGCATCATTCTGCCTTGCTTTCTAAGTATACCGTCAGCATAAAACTGAGAATTTTATAAAAGGGCTCTAGTTGGAAACTTTGCATTTAAGTGAAGAACATTTTATCAAAAAATCTGCATACCAAAAAATTTAATAATCATCGACGGAGGAAGAATGGGGCGTTTAATATGATAGGTTCCTTATGTTGACCAATCAGAGAACGATAACCTCTGTTTGAGTCTGACCGATAAGTGTCATATGTTCTCATTGAGTCTGACAGATAAGTGTCTGTTCTTATTGAAATCCAGAGTATAACAGGAGCAGATTCTAAAAAGCTGACCTTGACCATGCAGTGAGTTAAGATTATACAATGAAGAAACCCGTTTTGACAGTTAATAGTAATTAATCATCTTTTACTCAATAAGGAATGTTATAGTAAGACTCTTGTCTTTTGGAATTGAATGCGAAGCAGTGAGCCAAGAATAGCCCAAAATACGTTAAAAGAATATCGGGATCAAATATGAACAGGATGAAATATAGCTGATGACAACCAATAATGAAAGATGCCGCAGTTTTGTTTCTAAATTTTTATTATTACTAGAAAATAGAAAAAAAATTAAACAGTTTTCTGCGATCCATGTAGTTTTATATCCATGAATTTTGTAACGAAAGTGGTGTCTTACCTCAATAAAGTGCTTCGGTGTTGTCAAGTTTACCAATTTGTCAATTTTAAACGGAGTACACCAGTAGGTTGTCCTTTTTGCTGGGACTTTAACCTTCAAAAGATTAAAAAGAATCCGTATCACAACTTTAGAAAAGATATAAACGTTTCTACCATGCTGATAAAGACAGGGACACTCGAAAGTCTGAATTTTTATAGAATTCTTTCTATGAGGAGATTGAATGGTCAGTACGTCTTGTATTTTAAGAAATGACTTTTTTTGCAAAAAGGCAACGAAAGATTCATTTTTGATGTTTTCAAAGATTGTGTTATTACCTTTCGAGCAGCTTAAGATTAAAGAAATATTTGAGTTGGTATAGTGGACCTAGATATGTTGCATTTTTGCGTCTTTCGTGGCAATCACTTTTTCAACTAAAGTTGAAACAAAGTCTTGTTTACGATTAATCTCGGACTTTATAATTATAAGAAACTTTATTTAAAATATCATCCACATAAAACAAAAAGATAACGGCTATTCTCGATTCAACATTAGTCGGAGACATCAATTTGTGATAGTATTTGTAAATATATATGCAATTTCAGTTGTGCAAAAATTTTACAAACAATATATCCATGAAGGAAACAGTGCTTTTTCACGATCTAAAGAAACGCATATACGATAGACCAAAGCTTTTGTATGACTGTTGAAAAACCATGTTTATCTTATACAAATGCTGATCATCTAGATAGGATAATCACTGAAAGACTGAAAAAGATTAAATTTGTCTTATTTGTAATCATTCTTTCCAAAATGATCGTTAAAGCTTATTGACTGACAGCTAAAGCAATTACTTAGACTTGCATTTAAATCTAACAGATTATCAGCTCAAACCAGCTCAAACCATATCAGCTTAAACCATATCAGCCCAACCAATTACTTTGTGTTTAAGGTTATGCTTCTTCTAGCAGGCTAAACCATATCAGCCCAACCAATTCCATTTGTTTAAGGTTATGCTTCTTCTAGCAGGCTAAACCATATCAGCCCAACCAATTCCATTTGTTTAAGGTTATGCTTCTTCTAGCAGGCTAAACCATATCAGCCCAACCAATTCCATTTGTTTAAGGTTATGCTTCTTCTAGCAGGCTAAACCATATCAGCCCAACCAATTCCATTTGTTTAAGGTTATGCTTCTTCTAGCAGGCTAAACCATATCAGCCCAACCAATTCCATTTGTTTAAGGTTATGCTTCTTCTAGCAGGCTAAACCATATCAGCCCAACCAATTCCATTTGTTTAAGGTTATGCTTCTTCTAGCAGGCTAAACCATATCAGCCCAACCAATTCCATTTGTTTAAGGTTATGCTTCTTCTAGCAGGCTAAACCATATCAGCCCAACCAATTCCATTTGTTTAAGGTTATGCTTCTTCTAGCAGGCTAAACCATATCAGCCCAACCAATTCCATTTGTTTAAGGTTATGCTTCTTCTAGCAAGCTAAACCATATTCATTTTCTGTATCTTTGACTTATTCCAATAACGGCACTCACCTTTCTATGCAAAAGATCAACATACTTCGTTCCAGATGGCAGCTCTTTCTGAATACCAATATTTAAAAGGTTGATGCTTTTTGATTCAAGTTTTGATGAATTTCTGCTTAGAATGGAACAAGCATCTAGCACCCCATCTGGATCCTTAGATCCCCAGCCAAACATTATCTTTAATGTCCCTTCCTGCAAAAGTCAAGTCTAGATGTAGAGATGTTCCAACTTATGCTATAGAACATAAGACCGCAAGAAGTCATGGTTGCATCACTCCTTAGCTCATCAAAGTTACGGTAAAGGCAACTGAAGGGTAAAAGACAAACACAGAATAAATAAATATTTGCATTGTAAATACTTGCTAAGTTCAACAATAGACGCAACACGCAATTCATTCAAAAACCTTGAACCGGTCATTTTGACGCCAGTTGAAAAAAGGTTTTGGTTGGAGATTTCTTGCTTTGGCCGGATTCGATCATTGATGCCGTGTCATTCACCACATAAATGTTTTTTAGACTCATTCTAAGAAAATGCAGCCTTATTTTCTATTTATTTTCAATTTTTTATCATTTTTGGTGCTTGCTTGCACGGAACAACGTTACACCTCTTTACCCCCCACCATCACTCTCTAGTTATTATAGTACGTTATTGGACATACCATTTACCATGTTAACTATTTACAAGTCACCCAGAGCCCTGCCAAAAACCAACTTAAATCTCTATCAGTTGCCTTTAAAGAAGACTAAAAAACTAGCATTAACATTCACTCACTTTTTGTGTAATTCATTAGTTATCGAGCTAATTTTCACCTATCAGTTTTATGTTTCTTATATTAAGATAGTATTTTTTTTACAAAAAGACTTTCATTGCATGCAGTTGGCGTGAATCACCACTATCGGTGTATCTTATGTAGAGGATCATTACCTTTATGTTCCTGTCATCGTTGTCACAAGTAATCAGCTTTCTTTTAAATTCCAATGTCGTGCTATCAGTAGTTTGATGACTGCTCACTAGTTCTAGATCTTGGTGTTTATCCATCCTGGACAGGCCATGTTTAGTACCGTGACAATCCTATGGAGAAATTATTGCCTAGTTAGTAAAGACCATAAAAGAGGCATTGATAGGGAAACCGCCAAAAACAATAAACACAAATATCCGATATCTTCTTCTTTTCTGCTTTGATAAATTTCTTGGTTTGATGTCTAGAATGAATCATTGAGCAAAATTGCAAATGAAGTAAACTTGAAAACATTAATAAAGCTAAAAATTATAATTAACAATCAGCCTGTCAAATTTTGTTATGGATTGCAGAGCATTAAGCCTCTTAAAGGTCTTTTTAACTATCAAATGCTTAAGAGCTATGTTTTGAACACACAAAAAAACCAAACATGAAATAAAATGAAATAGAACACCTTATAAGTCACAAAGAGCTCTTCATTCTGTGTCAATTTAACGGAAAAATGGTGCCTTACCGTCAAAAGATTCACTCCGCACCATTTTTAAAAGAAAGATTTTAGGTCAGTTTCTTAAGGTTGAAGAAGATCAGTTCTATAGTTTCTTAATTTTTTGGTCGTCTGATTGCCCGGTTTGTTATAAACAGTTTCTTTTAAAAATGAATTCACAACATCGATTCAGACGAAAAAAGCGATTTTAAGGTTTGTACAAGACAGATCATATACTACAGAAAGCACAGGGGCACTTGCGTTCACGGAAGCTTTTTTAACCGCATTTCTACACAGCTTAGCATATACGTGGATCCTATCTGGAGATTTTTCACATTTGCAATAAATAGATCATTCAGTTGGAATCTTCATATTGAAATTAGTCTGTACCAAAATATTCATGTTATTTTGACAGTCATGCCATCACATTTCGATAGAATTTTGCGAATTCCAGCCAAATCTTTAGTTACTAAAGTTTAGTAGTATCTTAATATCTTAAACGTAGTATCTCGCGAAAGATCATTCTAAACGACATGAAGTTTTAAGTATAGACTAACTTCATCATAACCATTGCAAATAAAATATCAATTTTTGAAAAAAAATTATAAAGATAGAGAGATGCAAAATTGATGACGTCAACTGGTATCCACGCATTCGCATTCTGATCTGATACCATTTTTTAGTAATTCTGTTTTGTAAATGTTAACAAGTTCAGCAAATTTCTTATAGACGGTTTCTTATAAAGAGTGCGGGTATAATAGATCAGGAAGAAGTGGTATAAATACTTTCAAAAATGCTCTTCCATGGCTATCTACCCAGCCAATAGCCAAATCACCATCCGCAATCTTCCCGGATAGTCCTTTTGAAATACCAAATCCAATCCATCCGGTCGTTTGAACTTTAACTCTCAGATTAATCGATGTTCTTGCCTTATTTACTTTCCAACTCAGCTCATATTTTTTATTATGGTCAAGCGAAAGAGTGTTCCAGTAATTCCATTTGATCAGATTTCCTTTTACGAGGCAGGTGAAAATTAGAGCAGCGGCAAAGAAGAACAAGTTAGCCATGTGTCCAGCACAAAAGCAAAAATATGCAAAAAGCCGATCGATGTTTCCATATATACTGGTGTTTACATTACAGATAGCAGCGCAAGCGCATCACGACATCAACGCAAGTGTGCCTCGTGGAAATAACGTTCTTTGCCGCGTTGCTTTTTAAAACAAGGGCGAGTCTTTGAATACAGGAACGACTTTGAATGCAGGAACGACTTTGAATGCAGGAACGACTTTGAATGCAAGAACGACGGGGGGTATCTGTAAAGTAGAGCTGGTGACTCGCGCGTCGTCGGCTAAAGCGCGTCGAGATAACAAATTTCCTTATGATACTGACTCAAATCAAATTAACTTTCAAAGAAAAGACTACTGCTTCAAAAACTGGCAATTGTAAAACTGTATGAGTTTTAAAGAATTTTCATCCAATCTACTTTTCTTTAGAGATTTGGAGCATATTATTGTAAAATAAGAATAATCCTTAGGAGAAAACCCCAAACTGGTTTGAGCAACACTTTCTGAAAATCAGGGCCTAGGCCGAAAATGTCTTTGAAAGTAAGCAAATAATTCCAAAATCAGATTTTGAAAGTCTTGATTAAAGAGATTGTCAAAAGGAAATTTTCATTTTGCAACAAATGAGCAGCCTACCTAGTAATAGTAAACTTTGTAGATAGAAATTGGATTTCTGGCTTCGAGCTATAAATGAGAGCTAGATTGAAAATATATTATCCTGGTCAGCTTGTCAAGTAAGATATTGGTGAAAATATTTGAAGAATGAAATATTCCACTGATTGAGAGAGATCAAGAGATTATACAGCTTCAAGATTTTTAGATCAGAAAAACAGGAGAAAATGGTGAAGTGAAGTGCTCAAAAACTCAAGAAAAGGCTTCCAAGACCAGGGCTTTTCTATTTGACTTTCTATTGACTTTCTATTGACTTTCTGTTAAAGGTGAGTAATTTTTAAAAAGGAGTAATCATTGCAAAAGATTGAAAGTAAATCTCTCTGTCTTTTTTTATCGAATAATACCACCATGCCGCATTTCGAACTGCCAATTTGTGTTAATTGAAACTTATAGAATCATTCAAACAGACAATAGTCAAGGCTACTAGTTAATTGAGTGTGTAAACTTGGTTTCAAAATGAATGAAAAATGAATAGTGACAATGAATTACTTAAACCATGTTTGGTTGCCCTTGGAGAACTCCAAATATTGGAATTTTGAAAACCTTTTCTGCAAATCGTTAATGAAAGGCCGACCTCCACTTCAAGCCTTAAACCGCTCTTACACAATCAGATTTTGTCGAATTCGACAAAAAAGAATTTGACAGAATCTGACCGTGTAAACGGCATTTGTTTGCATCTTTAAATTTTTTATAAAAACATAACAAAACGAACAGCAATTTATTTAGCCATAGAAACTACTACTAATCTATATCTCGATCACAGTGTCCAGCTTCGAATTCTGTGCAACACGCTGTTTACTACAGATCCGGGGAAATATCCCAAAAGACATTATCGAATTCGACAAAGTCTGACCAAGTAAGAGCGGCTTTATGTTCGCACACGCTGGCGGCTGAGGGTACAGATACGTATTTTGAAAACGCATTGGTCAGAGAGAGCAAATTTTGCTCACTTTGGTAGAAGGCGGTCATTCTACTTCCGAAGTGACATTGCGCGTACAAGCTGGGAGGAGCCAATCAGATGCGATACTACAGCGCGCGCACGCGCGCTAGCAAAATAAGTGAAGAGAAGGTCGCATGCCAAAGAATATTCATATTCATATTTCATATATTTCAAAATTAATTTGTTTAAGGAGGGTTGCCCTTCAACGGAAGTTGTTTTTCAAGGGGCCCTCCAAAAAAAAGCTAATAACAATATTTAATTGAAATGCTAGAAAATAAAAAACCACAATATTAAAAACCTATTTACAATTACATGGTATTATACATATAAAAGAAACTAGTCAACCCTGTTTTGATTTTTTTGAATCCACCCAGGGAGGATGCCGTCTTGGACTCAGCAGGAAGGCTATTTCATAGTTTAGCTCCCTGGAAATAAAAGCATTTTTGTCCATTTGCTGACTTTTTCTTTGGCACCCTAAATCAGTCTCAGTGTTCCGGAGGCTGCAGGAGGAGCATGCTAAGGTTTTGGTGCAGAGGTTACACAAGTATTGAGGAGCCAAATCATTGAGCAACTTGAAGACAATTGTTTTTGTCTCATTGCCAATGAGCTCTTCTATGGTCTTCCAGCCCAACTCTGCAATAAGTCGTCTGCTTTGGGTATCAAAGCTGCCATTTGTTATGATCCTAGTTTTTGTAACTGGTCGATGTCTGTAGGCCTAGCACAACCCCAGACAGAACAATAGTATCGAAAGTGAGGCTCCACAATACCAGTATAAAGAGTTTTCAAACTTGCCAAAGGCAGAAAGGATCTAGCATGTCTCAAAAAACCGATCGCCTTGGAGACCTTGGTGGAAACTGCTTTAATTTGCTTTTCCAATCTAATGAGCAATCGATTTGCACTCCAAGACACTTTGTCTTTTTGAACTATTTCGAGCTTTTTGTCGAGTATATTCAGTCTCAAGGCTTTATTTTGATTTCTAAAAAAGCTGCCTTTCTGCCTGGCAGATTTGAGCTATGTTGCCACATTCAATGAAAGCTTATTGCCTCGCAACCAAGTCTCGAACTTCTTGAGATCGCTATTTATAGCCTCATTCAGCTGAGTCAAATCGTGACACTGCTGACAAAGACTGGTATCATCAGCATACATAATTAAAGAGGAATCTTGGATGCCCTGTGGAAGATCATTGATATAGACGAGGAGCAGAAGAGGGCCAAGGCATGAACCCTGTGGGACTCCCAGTTCCAATTCCCTGACATTTGAATCAACACCATTAACCCTACAGAATTGTTTGCTATTGGATAAGGAAGACCTAAACCAAGACAGCTCTCGCTGCTGAACCCCACAAAGTTCGAGCTTTTTACGAAGAATAACATGGTCGACCGTATCAAATGCCTTTTTCAGGTCAATGAATACCAATCCCACGAGCTTACCGAGATCGAGCCCGTTGTACCAGTCATCACTCATTTTAAGCAAGCAAGTTAGTGTGGAATGAAGCCACACAAAAAAGATTGGTCTGATGTAAAGAGACCATTTTCTCTCATATACTGGTACAGCTGGTTGAAAACAGGCTTTTCAAAGAGCTTTGAGATGACAGGCAAGGCTGATACGGGACGATAATGATATTTTTCAGTCCTATCTCCATCTTTGAAAATCGGAGTAATTCTTGCTACTTTCCATGTATCTGGGAACTGACTAGTTTCAATGGAAGTGTTAAACAGGAAAGCCAGAGAGTTCCCAATATAGGGCAAAGCAAGCTTCAAAAAGTAACTAGAGATATTGTCAATCCCAAAGCTCTTTGTTGTTTAACCTTGGTAAATGCATCCCTGATATCTTTCAGCTCAATTATCTTGAAGTTAAACTTTGCCTTATCTTTGTTAAGTTCATATTCACCTGTTAGAAGGGGATTAGCGGCAGGTTGTATTTTATCGGCTAGATCCCTACCAATAGTGTCGTTTTGACTAAATGAAACGATGTGCTGTGAAGTAAACAATGAGTTAGATGCTACTAGTCTTAATTATAACGAATCATCTATATGCTACTAGATAGATGCTACTAGTCTACTAGTCTTAGATGCTACTAGACTTAATTATAGTGAATCATCTAGGGAGGAGGCTGGTGATCGTGATACTGAACCGACCGGGTCTCATCAGCATCTAGGTTTTCAACATGTTCAATCCAACAATGGGTTCATTCCCAGGTATTTTGGCATATCGTGCATGAGACTATTTTTATGAATATCATTGTTGTTATTTCTCAAACTTAACACAAATAACCTATAAGCTTGTCGTATAATAAAACCTATAACCTATAAGCTATTGATCTAAAAACAATTTACTTGTAAAATCTTATAAATTTGCTGGCCTTCCTAGGGGTCGTGCTTCAGGGAGGATGCTAATTTCGCAGACACTCCTTCAGTTTTTTATACACATTATGGTGATCGTCTAGCTAATTCTGTTTTCTAACGGTATTTCCTTCCACATCTTTACACCATAATAGAAAAAACTACTTTAGGAGAATTTTACCTTGGAGTGCCAAAATCATTCTGACTTCTTGTTGGATAGTTAGATGTTTGAGATCTGGCTGTACAACTCCCTCTTAAGATATCAGGGCTGAGACCATTCATCATTTTTTAGATACCACGGTCCTGTCAAATTTTATTAAGCTCCAGACTTAAAGCCAATTTAAACTCCTTCCCCCCCCCTGTCCTTTGTTCTAAGGCATTCGTTCATGCTCTAGTTTGTAGACACAGAAAATGATCAAACTTTGTATTAGACAAACTGCCCAATAGTTTATCACTGTATCTCAGATAACATGCAAGGTACTAAGTCTTTTACACCTGATCCAATTTTAATGTCAATAGTATTTTCTTTAGTTTTCGCAGGCACGAGAGGGTACTTTTATTTTTACCTTTGAGGTTTTATAGCTCATTCCATGTGAGGGCTTAGTCCACTGTAATGCCGAGGTATCTTACTGTTTTAATCCATTCAATTAGAGAACTACGACATATAACAGTTAACCTTGACCATAAGAAAGCAAATGAATATTATATGATAAGTGCAAAGTTCTTAATAGTCTTGATCGATGTCTTTTTGCAGTTTCTATTAGGCATCATAAATAAATGCATTTTTCAAGGACAGTTTTCTGAACATTGAAAAAGGAAAAAATCTTCCATGTATATCAGAAAAAGTGGAATGGTAATTTCGCATGTATGTAAAAAAAACCTGGAAAGCTTGAAAAAATCCGTAAATTGGATGAAAATGCTACCAAACCCTTGAAATGGATATAGGAATGATCATGCAAAATTAGCATGAGTTTACGGTAAAAGTAGGTAGCCATGTCACTTAACTTGATGTTGAAACTCGTTTCGATAAAACCTGTAAAAAAGCAGCTAAGGAGTTAAATTCATTAAAGCAAAAAGCAAGTTATGTGGGAGACAAAGAAAAAAATTATAAAGTTTTTTATGTTTTTTTCATTCTATCTATTGCCAATTGATATGAATGTTATAGCAAAGGAAGTCATGTTGTTCTAGCGAAATAAATGAGAGAGCATGAGGACTAGCGTATTCATCCTCCTACAAGGATCTAATTGCTTACTCGAAGAAAACTACAATCCATATTCAATCAAATAGAATCTTAGCATTTGAAGTATATAAAACTCTAAACAATCTAAATCCTATTTTTTGAAGGGCTTGTTACGCCAAAACGAATGATACATAACCTTCGCTTATAAAATCTGATGCCAAGAATAAGAACTACAGATTATGGAATCAAATCATCCAATTTCCAAGGGTCGAAAATCTGGAACTCACTTCCAGATGAAATCAAAACATCCTGAGATTCTTAAGAATTCAGAAATCAATTAAAACTCCATGAAAATAGTTAGTTGCATGTGTTCTTTTTGCAGTAAATGAACTGCCTGGTGCAATCCTTGAAATTTATGAGCATTCACAGCCCACAAGTCCATTTCACTTTTCCCCACTCCGTCAGTCCGTCTCCTTCGCAGAAGTCAACAGGAGGGAAACAAATACTCCTCTCTCAAGCATGAAATAGACTTGGAGCAAGTATAATGCTTATGTGACCATATCTCAGCCAATTTGTAACACATTCAATTCATTTTGCACATTTAGAGTTATTTCATAATGCTCTTTTGGGATATATGGTCAAAATTGGAAAATTCTAGAGGTAAGTGTCTTGCGACGTCATCATTTCGGTACCCTATTTTCAACAACAGCAAAACCTCTTCATGCTTTGACTGGGAGCTGTTGCCATGGAAATCTGCCTGTAGGCAATGCAATTTGTCACCTCTTCATTCATGCAATTTAAGCTCAATAAGAAATTGATTAGTTGCTTAATTTTAAAAACGTGTTAACGAGAAGGGCTCTGCGTGTTCAAACAGTTTTCATTGAGAAAATTTTGATTTAAAAAAAAAAGACAAGATACAACGATGTCTTCGATCAACGCTTTGTAATACCGAATGTTCTTTAATGAATGATTGAAAATCCTTAGCTATAATCTTTTTAGAATCCAAGAAGTTCTTAAAAAAAAATTTGAGCCTTAAAACGTTATGGAAAATTTTGAAAGACCAAGTTTTAATTAATATTCAACTAACAGGACGCAATACTGAGCCTTAAGAAACCCCAGAAAACATATCTATAGTTTCAATAAAGCAAAACAATTTCCAGAAATCAGCTATAAAAACATGGAACATACTGCCTGCTAGCATAAAAGAAATAAAAACCACTTAAACGAAAATCTTAGCCCAGTTGGAACGATAAATTGCTCCTGGTAAGCGAAAGTTTATTTTAAGCAGGGTTTGGCTTATCGGGAATATTCTATGATTGTGTGCACTAATATGCTGTATGGTTTCAGGTCGTTTGAGAAATAACATCTTTATAAGAAACAACTTACGAGAAAATTTACAAACTCCAATACAAATTACTCATAGATGTAGAATAAGATTTTTAGTCTATACAAATTTGATACAATTTACAAATTATACAATTTTTTAAAATTGTTTTAGCTTCTGTTGGGAATCTTATGGCGATACGAATATAATAAATTTGACCACAAAAATTATTACGGTTAAACCTTTGGCCCTCGGTTCCAAATCACGGTCAAAACCTTTGCACTTACACCATTAAAACTTTAAAACTTGCACTCTATCTACAATTCTTGTCATGTAGCACAAACACGTCTAAAGGTCTTTCAAATTGAGGTGCATTCAATGAAGCTGTGGCTATGTGGCCAAATCTCAGCCAAATAGAATCGGATTAGAACGTAGACTAAATGCGACTTGATTCTGCTAGCTATGATACTGTGTATCGAATTAGATGTTCAAAATCTAAAAATTATAAAACTTTATTTTTATGACGCCAGTATTCACCACTGTTGCTGACTACAGATTGTTAGATGCTCTGGTGCAAAAATTTATGATAGTGATGCTCTGGTCTTAAAAAGACCTACGTTGGTGGCAAGGATACGCTTAACACAATTAAGATTAAAATCAAGTGAGTGATGAGCTGAAAACCAAACGCAGAATATAATACTGGAATATATTTCTCAATGTGACGTCATGAAAATATATTTTTGGCATTTTTGAATTTGCTACATAACCTAAATAAACATCATGAAACACTTCTGAATATGCAAAATCAGTTTAAGATGTCAAAGATCGGGTGAGAGATACGGCCATTGAAAGATTTGAGGTTTGCCAACAGAGTACTGTTATTTTGATTGTTCGATATGAAAGAGATTTGATTGGGAAAAGCCCGTGCTAATATGGCCATATCTTAGCCATTTCGTAACAAATTTAACCGATATTTCACATTTACAAGTATTTTTTGATGCTTTTTCAGGTCATGGGAACAAAATTCGAAAATTTGAAAAATAGATTTTTGTGACATCATCATTCAAGACTTCATCCATCAGTTTTGGATCACCAGATCTTGGCTTCTAGGCTATGTTCTAAAAATGACAGAAGGGTTATTAATTTCTTATTTGCTTTGCTTATAGCTCGAGGGTTACCTTGATAGGTTTTGAGGGACTTGCCCTTATTTAAGAGTACCTTTTTTGTAGTAACAGTTTTTGAAAGAGGTATTATCAATTATTAGAGATATTATCTCCAAAATACTTTTAAATAGCTACTCGAAGGCAAACGTTTCCCTTTAAACCGTTGTTAGAAATCTGGTAAAACATAACCATAGTTATAGCATTATGACTGTAGTGACATAACTGCAATATGGAGTAAAAGGGGAGAAAAAACTACAAAAATACATTAGCATACATTAGACTTTGTAAAGAAACTGCTGGTATTTTGAAAAATTTAAGTTAAATGTTCAAATAATGGCATAACCCTCAAAATGTTGCAGAATCTTTAGAATTTTGATCCCTAAATTTCAAAATCAAATCTAAATCATTTCTATTGTGCAAGAATACAGGTTCAGCTTTCAAACCCAACAATACACTATGAAGTGCTTTGCCAGTTCTCTCAGTTTGAAGGGCTGCGAACATAAACAAACTTCGGCCATCACAAGGCCCTGGCTGGATATCAATACCAGTGGCCATCAGTTTTCGCAGATATCCTCCTAATTTTGCTTCGACAACAGTGTAGGCGCGCCATTGGAGCTCAGGTACGTGTGACTTCACTGTTAATGAAATGGCACTGTGATTCGATGGAGGAAATTCACTGATAGCAAATAAAGTGGCACAAGATGTTGATTGGTTCAATAAAGCGACTGCTGTGACAAAAGAGTCCACTGTCTTTTCGATAAATTCTCTTGGGACGGTATCTTTGCAAATGCGACACCAGTAATCGATACCCAATGAGCACATATATTCGAAACTCATCTTTAAAAAGTCAGACAGCTCATTGCAACTACTAGAAGACTTGCTAAACATTTCTGCAAGAACACGGACAACGTGGAACGTGCGGACACAGTGAAACGCATTCCCTTTTAAATGTTTTGTTTTTAAGTAATGGACGATAAGATCAACAAGACGACCAAAAACCTGCTTACTGATCTTTCCATCAATGCAACTCTCAACACGTTCAAGAAATATAACTCCTTCTAAGGACCTTTTAAGCTCATCTTTTCCATTTATATACAACTCTTTGAGATTGGTTTGAGCCTCGTTTACAGCTGAAAGGCATGGGGCAAACACGATATCAAAATCGGCTGGTGCGGCATTTTTTAAAAGGAGGCGTACTTTCAATCTTGGGCACCTAATACCAATAGCTGAGTGAAGATATCTTACACCTCTCTTGCTGAGCTCAGTTTCAAGCTTCAAAACGCATTCATCCTGTTTGAGATAATTTGGAGCTAATATGCACATGTCTACGTCACTCTGTCTTTTCAAAGGAAAAGAACCAAACAACCTCAAGTAAGCATCGTCCACTCCACGTCCTGTCTTCACACAGGTGTACCAAGCATCCATGATAAACTCAATACCACAATTAGCGACATTATCTGAACCCTGGACAGTTCCAAAACCAAAGTCAACCACCATCTTCTGAATATCTCGACTCAACTGTTCTTTACGTGGCTTATTAATCTTACCAACATGATAAATCTTAAAGGAGATATCATTATGCTCTTTTCTCAAACGTTTGAATGAATCGATGTTGTCCTGCCTATCGTCCCAGATTTTGACATTCTTGATCGTTGGGTACTCTTTCAACAAGCCTTTTAAGACGTCTGTTTTGAAAGATGCTACTTTGGCCATGGCTTTCGAAGGCTTGTTCAAGGCATCATCTGGCTTCAGATAACATCGCTCAGGCCAAGTTCCGTACTCTTGAAGCACCTCATGGACACCTTCAATGGTGCGTTCCAGCCTCCCAGTCAGGAGAATTGTAAGTGATCCGGCTCTTCCAATATGTTCTTTGAAGTCTACGAGTGACGGGCCTGGGTAGCTGCGCAGCGGCCACTGCATTGATTCTGGCCTACCTATCCAGCTTGTGTGAGGCCATTTTTCTCCTAAAAAGTTGTCAAAAGCAGTCATTTCTATGAAATGGGAGCTCCGAATCATAGTTCAAAATTGTTTTCGTAAAGAACTAAACTTTCAACATACAGAATTTTTTAACGTTTAATATTCTGCAGCTTCGGGCTAAAACTAAACACATGCAAGTAAATGCAAGGAAATGCGCATTATGATTCTTTACATATCAAATAAATCCTAAGGCGAGATATTGCCCACGTCTGCATTGAATTACAACTAATCAACAACAAATGAAAATAAACTGTCCAGTTTAGACCAAAAATGAAACCATTTCAAACAATACCGATACCAAAGCATCATAGAGAAAGGATTTTATCGCAAAATGTTTGACCACTAAAAATGTACGATTTCCCATACAAGTTTTGGCGGGATTTAACAATTACAATCCACTGTTTGTTTACAATGAATTGAAATATTTGATTGATTTTATTAAAATCAATCTTTTCTGTAACTTTCTTGGTATGTTTCTGGTCATGTTATACAAAACAGGCTCAAGCTGCTTAACCAATAAAACACAAAAAACCCGTTGATTCTTCTAGTTCATTAAATATGAGAGTTCGGAACAATTTGAATATCAAAAATAACTCGGATGCAGTTTAATCTGGGTTCGAGAGCACGCTGCTTATCAACATGAAAAGCCTGCTGCTGTTTAGTCCAGGTTTGGAAAAACGAAAAATTCTAACACGGTTTAGCGCAAAGAAGTTAAGGCTCTATAACTTAAACGTGAAATCAAGGGAATGATAGAGTTGCAATGGAAGGTAACTTTAGATACCTGTCAGTTCTTGATACAGTTTTCTTCCTTCAACTGGGCCTGGAGTTTCAAACAAAGTTCCATCAAAATCGAACACGAATAATGAGTCGATTATTTCTGGTCCTGAGAAGATCTCTGGGATTTCATCACATTTGACAAATGATTGTTTGTCCTTCTTATTTCTCGCTGATTCAACTTTGCTTGCTTTTTCGATATGGTCGTTGTTTACTTGCATAATTTGCTTGCACATCTCATCAAACCTGACGCGATCAGTAACGATGACGCTATTTTTCAATCCAACATCAACTTGGACCCCGATAGTTCCAGAAAGAATCATTTTTTTCTCGGGAATTCTCCATGCAGACCTGTTGGCTAATGCCATTTTTGCATGCTGCGGGGCTGCTTTCTTGCTATGGGAGACAGTTATGTGTGGTATTTCAATTGTGCAGCAGGCATCTCCTAACTCCTTTACAGCAACTGCTTGCATCAAGTCCGAGCAAATGTACCCAGCCACTTCAACTTTATGTTGCTTGCCGACGGGTATATGGGCCAACTCTTCCTTCCTGGGCTTGTAGGCCAACGTCATATGATTACCAGTGATTTTTGAATGTAGTGGTGGATATTCATCAAACAACCTCTGCTTAGAATCTCTGTCAAGATAGAAAGCAGAGAACAAAACGCCCTTTGCACTAGCTGGCGGTTGATATCTATTGCAAAGCTCAAGAAATGACACCTTTTCGTCTCCTTCTCCAAACCGAGGCTCCAATGTCACTGCATTTTCATCTGGCTCCCATCGTTTCCACATTTTCAGTACACTGTCGTAGTCCACGTTGTGTTGTGATCGGTCGATAAACTTCTTCAATGTTTCTTCATCTCTGCATGCTATTTCTATAACCTGTGATGAATAACCACAAAGTTTTGCAATTCTTTCGTATATTCTATATTCCCAAGCATTAGAATTTGTATTATCCACGACAATCGTCCCTACGCCGTTGCATATCGCATCAACAAACTTTTTCTGGCACTGAATGTGTGCATTAGCAAGCTCGCTTGCATTGAAACTGTACCCAGTTGTTTTGTCATCAAAATATTCGTCTGCACTGCAAATCACAATTTCACTTCCACCTGAACATTTTTTTGGGCTAATGACGTCATCGTCTAACGCCAGTCTTTCAGTGCAACTGTCAACGAGATGCGATTTTCCACTACCCTGTAGCCCTCTCATGATGAAAACATCCCCTCTCTGAAGACGCAATTCAAATCTTGTGTTTAGAGCTCTTTGGATGTAACACGCTGCTTTTTCAAATTGAACTTCATCGTTTGAAAGTACAGCTAAAAAGAAAGCTCACATTACAAGAAGCACGGCAACCAGATTCATTTTGATATGCCACAATTGCATTTCATCTACAGGTAAAATAAGGGGGATGATCATTTCAGGTCTACAGCTGTGTTAATTATTCAACTAGTCTTAAGATATGTCGAAAAAGGATAGAACTGAAACTTAAATTTATACCTCATAAATAGTACTCATAGTCAAGACGCATGGATAAAACTGGTGAAATCTCTACAAAAATATTCAATGAAGTAGATTGAAAATACTAAAAAGCTAAAGACATCGCCTTGATGCAAGCACAATTATTCTTAGATGCAAGCACAAAAAAGATCTTAGCTGTTAATCGCTACGATGGTGATGTGATAAAAGGCTCACCCTGAACGAGTTCGTCTCCTTCTTGCTCTGTGAAAAAGCTGTTCTCTGTTAAACAATTAACATGGCTTGCAATAGCGTTAGGTAGATGGTCGGAGATACATAATAGGGAATTGACTTTTGAACCAAGTTTGATATAAAAACCTCCTTCGTCTCTGAGCTTGCTTGTTGAGCAAAGAAAAATTTCCTCAACGCCGGCCTTGCCAAAGACGCTATTCATACGATGCTGATAGTAATTAGGATCAATCTGTTGGATGGAAAGCATGCGACATGTTGGCCTTGAAAGTTTCATTATGGTTACATGAGGACAATATGGCTCGCGATTGCCACATGCATGCAGCCCGGCATCTTTCAGCTTTAGCAGAAGAATGTTGACAAACTTGGATAGCGTGCCATCCTCTTCAATCTTGACATGTAGCACACGCCCATGGAAGTTACCGAGATGCTGAAACAAAAACTGTTTGAATGAAGGCAATAAGCACACCAGCAGTTGTTGCAACGAATCAAGAACTCTCAACGCATTGTGCTTCTCCTCCTCGTTCTGTAACCTTACCATACACAAAGTCACATGAAAATCTGACTGCTTCAGGCAGCTATCTTGCAGTAAAGAATTACAGGACACTATTTCTTCTTGTATCTAAAAGACAAAAATCAAATCTTTATACAGCTTTGTCGGTTTGAGGATGTAGCCAGGTTTTCAGTATTTAAGAGGAGATGGCAATGTTAGGTTAACATTCAGACAACGCTTTGCTTTGAACTATCTTTTCTGTACAATTAGGTTCCATTTAACAAACTCGGGGAGAACTGAATATCGTATCTAAATGAAATAAAATCTCCTTGAAGCCAAATGTAATGGGATAATTCCCCAGACTAAGAGACATTTAGAAGAAGACTTTTAACAATTTCTTTCTAAGGTGTTAAGCAGCCTTTTCGTCACCCAAGCCTTGACAATAACTATCTTATTGTAATGACTTTATATAAGTTATGCTATAAATGATATGTTCCAATCATCAGCCTTCTTGGATTCCAAAACTGCTTATGTAGATAGATTCCAAAACTGCTAGATGAAACGACGATCGAGCTTTGCTAATAATCCAAAACATGTTGCCATAATAGCTCTTTGCACAATCAGGGTTTTCTAGTAAATGCTGCCCGATAGCGGAATCGCATGTTTTAGTTGTTGTTTTTTATCTGCAAGCCCGAAGAGGCAGTTCTCCTTGGAGAAGAGTTTTGTTTCTAATACTAGAAAAAACATGCTGTTTTGTTCTATCCCCCAATCATTGGGTTGTGCGTCCTACGTAGCCATAATCACACTGGCACGTAAATTCATAAATGACGAAAATTTTTTGGTTGGTAGGAACGCAACCCTTTTGAATGGATGGAACGACCTTTTTGGTACTGTGAACAATACGTGGATTAATAGCAAAGAAACATTTTATAATGGCCTGTTTGATCTGACTTTAAAATGGCAAGGAAATGTTACCGCTGCAGGGTAGTTTTAGATAAACCAGGCACTTTTGAGGTCCAAATTTTACTTCAACCGCGAAAATCGCGATTTTCTCCTTAATGTAAACTTAAATGACATCCTCTGGAGAGCCGTTCTCAAGAAAAATCTTTTTTAGTTGTTCAAGTTCCATTTTTAGTTTCTAAAGTTGTTCAAGCTCGCAATTTCTGATTAGCCTATTCCACCCACAACTGGGTATATATATTTCCTAGTGTAGAGTGTTCGATCTATGTTCTGATGTTTTATACTCTGAAGAGTGTCAGAAGAAAAGCTTTAGTATACTCCAATGTTTACTTTTTGCAAAGCCATTTTTATGTTTTGCACCACCAAAAGATTGTTTACTAATTTATTTAATCAACTCAAGTTCTTGTTGCCTTTAGTCTTTGAATTTATAATAACAAAGTATCGAATTTTGACTCTTACCTCTAAAATTTTTTCTTTTATAGAATGCTTTGTAATTCTGAAGCAAAAGAAGAAATTAGGCCTGTCTCTTTCACTTCTACTTTTATATACTGCAATTTGTCCTTGTCTGTTTTCTCCATCAGCATTATCATCATCATCAGAATCATCTTCACTGTTGATATCATCTTCGTGCGAAAAGCACTCTTCTTTTGAAACACAATCTTCCTTTTCTGAATTAGTATTTCCATCTTCAGAAACAGAATATTCTTTAATTATTTCGTAAATTTGTTTGCCATCTCCAGTTGAGCCGAACACTTTGTCAAGCCTCGTTCGTTTATCCCAAACAATTACATCCCTATATTTAAAGTACTGGATACGATGTTTAGGAATGGCTAGAACTGAATAGTCAACAGAGGCAATATCCTCCCAACTGAAGCTGCTAAATGGTTTTTCAATAATACCCAGGAACCTATCTAGGTATCCTACGGTAAAAAGTTCTGTTGGAAGCTCTTCATCCCATAATATTCTTGATATCACATCAACAGCAGTCTTCATTGCTATTTTCTTTTCACTCACATGATCTTTAGTTTCTTCTGTCACTTTGTTGTCAATGCTAGATCTTTCAGCAATTGTCAAACCATTATTTTTGACTGGCACTTTAACATCGTTTTTGGCATTACTTCCAGGATGTTCGTTGAAGCAATTGTCCCCAAATTTACATTTCCCTTCTAAGAAAAATCTACATACAGTTGATTTTTTGTTACCTTTTTGATCATGGTTTTCTGGTTGCACTTCATTGTGTAGGCTCCAATTACGAGCAATTTCAATAGCATCATAAAGATAGTTCTCCTCCTTTGACTGAAAAGACTGAACAATTAGACCCTCTACCATTTCACTTTCATTTGCTGAGGCCATTTTCAGCTTTACATTTGGTGCTGCGGAAGGGTAGCCAGCTAAAAGAAAAAGAAAAAAGTCTCAAAGGTTTTGCTGGAAATTCCTAATTTGAATCTCGAAGATATGCTTAAAAAACTACTATTAATTCCATAGCGCAATAAAAGAATTAACAATAACAATTCTTCCACTGTGCTATTACAAGCAAATGCTGGCTTATAACAAAGATCTATCAGTAAGATATCAAGAAATTAAATGTAAAATTTGACTGTCGGTCAGTAGAACTGATGCATTTCTCATGTTTCTAGAGATAAATACTCCAAAGAATTTCGAACCAGTAGTCCCTATATGTCCAAAGCTACACACACTCCTTTCTGAAAAATCCTTCAATGCAGTACACTATACCAAATCACCAAGACCTATACGTGGGGAGAAAACCATAGATAGACAAAGCAAGTCTATATAACAATAAACTATAAACTATGCAGAAAAAAATTGTTTGTTTGCATGTAGTTTTGAAAATTTTATAGTTGCTGATGTGTGTAACTTTTTTGGTTGGATTTCATTTAATAACAATGAACATTACATGCATTGCAATTACATTAGCTTTGTCACTATAACCAATTTATTCTTTGAAAACATTCAAATGATCTACAGATTTAATTTGATTCTATTGGCTGTTTAAGTCTAAGTATCAATTTACCATATATACTTTTTGATTCATTATTTTTTCATCAGTGTTATGTGATCAGGCCTGTCATTGCATCAATTTTCCATAGGTAAGGATGGAATTAAGATTCAGGCATAAAAATAGGAGTTGGGTTGCTTGCCTTGCCTTGGATTTTCTCCCGTTAAAATCTATTTGAGGTGCTGTTTCTGGCCATTCCTAGATTAATATAACCTAAAATTTTTCTTGGCCTTTACTAAATACATCCACAAACACAAGATTTGGCTTTTTTTGAAAATATGCTGTGCAGTCCCTCGACCTGACTTCAGGCACTTCAAGTCAACCCAACAAGAGACTAACAAAGGATAACATTCTACCCTAAATATAGCATTGAACGATCTTCTGGCTCAGCATGGTACAAGAAACATAAAGTTACAAACCTTTGTGAAAACTATTTTCTGGGTTTATGCAAAGGTAGATAAGATAGGCAGGCACGAAATAAAAGACCTGCCTATCTTATGACTAACTTATCCTGGTGAAAATGAGATCTGAGTTTCATTTTGAGCAACCTTTTAACATAAGGAAGGTAAAAGTTGAAAACCAACTGGCCCCAGAAGAAAATCTATATGTTTTTTCTGGTGCAGCACTTAAAATAATTAAGAACCTCTGGAAAAGAGTCTTATATGGATCAATGAGGCATACCTTAGGTCCCTACAAATTTTTTTTAATATGAACTGCCCGAGCTCTAAGTAAGAGTAGAGAAAAGGCTGGCTTCATCAGTGTTTGCATTTTGTGGGGATGTGATTAAATACTTTTTACAAGTAAATATGTAACATATGTTTGATAAACTGTTGGCAACATTAGGCCCCCAGCCTTCAAACATACTATGCAGGAGATGAGGGTTATTTTGCCTGTATAATTCAAATGCACACAGGAGTGTAGTTTTAAGGCACATCTTTCTTTCTAGCAAAAACCGAAAGAATAAAATTCACTTACGTATAAGCGCACTGCGCCTAAATCTGGATCTAAGCACATGTGCTTTTAAATGAGATGCACCTATAAGCAGGGCAATAGGGTGTACATTTTAATGGAATTTTTTGCTATAGTGAAATGTTTCTCTACAGCAGCAAATTCCAGTCAGATCCCAGACTTGAAACTTTGTTTCTTGCACAGACAAGTTTACTTTGAAAATTTGAGCCTGCATGCCTGAAATCATACATTCTTAGCTATTTTAATAATGGTAAATGTTTTTATCTACAGATTTTGTGCAGCCAATATGCAAAAGTCAAAGATGTGTGCGTGGGCAATATATTGCGTATGCGCAACAAAGTTTCCAGTCTGGGTAAGATTAATATTCTAAATATTCAAATTGAAGGAACTTGCGACAAAACAACATCAAATTTTCCACATAGACTAATTTCAAGATGACACTTTCAAATCTGAAGTCCTCTTTTGAGAAAGGTCTGTAGAAAGTGAGATTTAAAATCGATGACATCAGCCCCGAATGGAGCAAATAATTCAAACATTATTTGCTGATCAAAAGCTGCATATAAAAAACTTTCTTCCCTAGCAATTTAGCGTCATTACCGGACGGCAAAGTTTGGGTATGAGAGGGCAACACTTTATAATGACTTTCGTTATTTATAATTTGTTTCTCAATTCTAAACGACCTTTATTTTTGATTAAGATGAATGTTATTCAATTAATCAAATTTGCAACATGGTTCGTTACATCCAGTGGCACGAAAATCATTCCCTGCGCGCGTATAAAAATACTTTTTGCAGAAAGTTGAAACTTACAATTGTTTCTAAAAGGCAGAAGATTAATTCAGAGCCGTTGCTTTCCAAAACATATAGTTCTGCTACGAAAAGCGTTACATCTTACCTGGGAGTGTAAACTCAACAACATCTGAAAAACCGAATTTGCACTCTAATCGAAGTGGTAGACCAGGTTCATCAATCACAGTTAAATCGTTGTCATAAATAGCTTTAAGAACTTCAATTTCTTCCTCCATTTCAGGAACGGTCAGCTCCTCAAATTACACAATTTTCTTGCCAATGGCTTTTGTACAAAATGCGTTTTTTCAATTATATTTATAGTTTTTATAGATGGACTGGATGGATATGCAATTGATGGAGCCATGATGGTGCAATCACAGTGGTGCAATGTTTTTGTTGTTGTTACTGTTGCTATATTACGTCATTATGGAGAACTCAAGCACAGTGGTAGGAAACTCGGTGGGCAGCGCAAACGATACAAAGACACAGGGGCGAAACTACTGGGGGGGTATGGGGGGGTGCTGCACCCCCCAACCTTCAAAAAAGCAGATTTTGTCGGGCAAATTTATGGCTGCCAGTGTATCTGTCGGGCAAATCTGGAAATTTTCTTTAGGTCGCACTTTTATGGCTACTTTTTGCCCTAGCTTGGTTTTTTAATTCATGGTCTTTTCCCCCATCTTGTTTTCAATCTCCTCCCAGTTGGGAAAACAAAACAGAAACAAGGCTAGGAACAGCAACATATATACATTTCTGTCTTTCGTCCACCGATCAGCGCTTTCGTCTCGAGCTCGATGCGCGCATGTTTATCTTCGCCTCGAGATTGTCTAAGTATTGATCGACAGCGAAAGTATTGACGGAAAGTAAAGTGTGTTTGATGTGAGAAGGAAATGAACACTGTGCATACCCCTCCCCCTACTTTTTGCAAAACAAGAGAGCTTTTTTCAAAATCTTTTGTTGTGATTTCTAAATTTTCCTTTGACAAGCCCCCCCCCCCCCCCTTTCCATTCTGCCTCGGAGCCCATGGAACACTGACAGTTTTAGAAGCATCATAAATCAAAGCATGAAGGATATACCATCTCGGAATACGTTGTTGAGAAAAATCAATCAATACTTTCTTTTCCAAATGTATGAAACTTTCATCATACATTCATAAGGAGTTATGCCCCAAAATTCTCTTAAGGTTTTACACTTACAGTTCGCAAGTATTGCACCCTTCGCTAGAAAATGGTCATACAGACGCCAAAGTTTTTTAACTAAAAAGATTCGAATAACTGTAACAAGTAACAGAAAGTTTCAATCAGTTCAAGCGGGAAATAATATAAAATTTATCAAGAAATTGTAGGTAAGATATGAATTGCATAAAACTTTCGAGTTTATTCTATTTCTGAACATTATCCATGATTACGAAAACACAAAAATTGAGCTTTAATGAAAGGTGTACCTGTAAAATACCTCCAATAAAAAACTTTCCTTTGCTTGAGGGATTTTGTTATGGTGAATTTAGAGATACGTACTTTGTGCTTGGGTGTCTAAAAATGTTGAAATTGCTTCCGGAGCAACCGAAAATTGAAAATGAAACTCAGAAAATGCAACTGAAGCTCTTTTTTGTCGAAACATTGTAGTCTGCGTAGCTGTTTCTAAATTCCGAAATTTCCTAGCTGTGTTTTGGTGTCCCACTTTGATGAAATTGAGACCCTACTTCAATCCCCTTTTTTGAAATGCTCTCTTAATAGCTAGGTGATTTAGAAAGTGGACTTTTTTTCTTTTATAGAAAAGACAGGCCTTAAAAATGCTTGCTTTTCGGAAACAAATGTTTATAGCCAGCACCAGAAAAACTAGAGGCATATTTCTTGACTTTAAACAAACCGCCTGAGTCTAAAGACCCTCTCTCGGGCTTCCCGATGATTTCAGCCCTTGAGGCGATGTGCTCTAAAAATGAAGTTCATGTATGACACTCCCTTTCATCAAGCATGCCACGCCCTTTCGTCGGGCATCTAAGCTTCATACCCCCCTAATGAAAATAGTGAAGTTTCGCCCCTGCAAAGACACCCTGGAGGTCCACCTCAAAGACTTCAACATCGACGTGGACACATGGGAAAGCTTAGCCTCTGACAGACCTGCTTGGCGAAGTCTCATCAAAGGAGCCCTTCACTCACAGGCTAAACTACTTGAAGCTGCAAAAGAGAAACGCAAGTCACGAAAGGCGAGAGCTGAGAATGCAGCAAATACTCTCCCTACCCACTGGTGTCAGACATGTGGGAGGGGATTCCATGCCCGTATTGGCTTCATAAGCCACTCATGGACCCACAGATAACAATATTTCTATTATTTATTTTTTTGTTTCTTTCTATTATATTCCTATTGTCATGGTCATATTCAATCACGAATTGACGAACATCACATCATATTACGTCATTGGCAGAGACATCAGTTGTTGGTTGAAACAAGGTACAACTATGATATGACCATAATATTAAAAAGCTAACTGCAAAGTATGCACTTGCAGTTTAAAAGAATGATCTCCTAAAAATAACTTGAACACAAACTACCCTATCAAAAGTATTGCACAACCTTGTTTAAAATTGCGGTACTTTTCATCGATTTTTTAATAATACCAAATATCTGAATGCATGAATTTGGCGTAATTTTGGCGGGCAATTCTTTAAAATCTTTTGGACGTTATAGAGAGTATCGTTTTTTTTCAAAATAAAAATTTTAGACCATGCATAGAGGAGGAAATTGTCCAATGAGATGCGAGACGCAATAAAATATTTATGGAAGAGTTGAATTGACTTTTTGAAAAACTGTTGAGCAAATTAGGTTTTGAGAGTCAAATTTCAAAACAGTCATTGGAATATGTTGAAAGAAAAAGGGCGCCAACCCAGAAGACAAAGTCCACCACAACAAAGAAAACCTTTCGCAACATTGTCACCGGAGACCTGACTTTTGCTGAAGTCACCGCAGCAGAAAAGTACGCAATCCCATCAATCAAAGATAAGTAAGAAAATTGCAAGAGCCCATCAAAGATCAAAAGAGGCCAGTGGTAACTGTTTTAGGAGACTCAATCATCCACCCCCCCCCCCCCCCCATCAGGGATATAAAAAAGAAAGAAATCAATTGAAATGCACATAAATACAATTCTTCTGTGAAAACGTTTTCCGGAGCGGAGATGCTGTCGACGACATGGAATCATAAATTTTTCCAACGCTGAATTGGAAACCAGATGTCCTTGGTATTCATTGTTGAGCCAATGACTTGTGGAAGGAAGATCCCAAGAATATTGCCACAAGTTTAACCAAACTTGCGATTCATGCAAAGAAGACCGTCCGAAATGTGGCTGCTTCAAGTATATTTGCTAGAGGAGACGTTTGGAAGATTAAATTTGGAAGAAAAAACACTACAGGTTAACACGATGCTAAAAAAAGTCACTTGTAGATAAAGAAATTGACTGCATTGAACACAAAGTTTTTGACTCTGATTGGAGATATCTTCTTCACGATGATGGAACCCACTTGAATGACAACGGTACGATCGCTTTAGGTGACTTAGTGAAATTTAATTATAATATCTAACTATTCTCTGATCTTTTGCAATATGATAAAAACTGGCTATCAGATCTAAGTCCTTCCGAGCAAACAATGAAAAGTCAACTGACTACACATAAACATCATATTTCAAGTATCCCACTAAGGCCTAACACATTAAGATGCTCATCAGATCTAAGTATTACTCCTGACTGCTTGGAAACGTTCTACAATGAAGTAGAGTCAAAAAGACTTAAGTCCTTGACTGTAAGCCAAAGTTTAAGTTGTAGCTCAAGTAATGAAGGCTTTTTCCTCAATTTCAAACGCTTCTGAAGCTGCCGGAGAATGTTCCCTTTCTGCATCTTCAATCGAATCTACGCAGCCAGATGGTTCGAATTAAATTTGGGAGATTTTTAATCTTAGAAAAATTTAAGAATCTAATCTAAGAATCTAATCTAAGAATCTAATCTAAGAATCTATTTTAATCTAAGAATCTAAGACATTTTAATCTTCCCTGTTGTTATATCAAAACTCAAAATTAATGATTAAGACTATTAACAAAACACACAACAGGGCGCATTAGCTCGTTTGATGTTTTTTCGTGTGTTCTGTAGCATAACATAACATATCCATACGCTACCTCAATGCGTTTTCATTCCAATATTAAGCATTTGAGAATTTCAATTTTACGTACTATTAGTGCCATACGCTCTTTTTTATACATAAGAACAATTTTATAAGAACACAAACCTCAAAATTTGTCAAAAGTTAAGAACAAAAAGCTGATCTGCTGCTGATCTACTGAAAAATGTAATTTTGAACAGTGTTTCATCTCAAAGAGAGTCTAGGCCTACACACCTCCGTAGAGCGCAAAAGCTAGCTCTTGCACTGCTTACACCCTAACAATTTAAGAACAAATTGCGAACAATCCAGCCTCTGGTTTTCGAAAAATTAAGAACAGCCAGCCAGAACTTAAATTTGCTGGTTCTTATAAAAGAGTGCACTTTTAAATACCAGCTGCTACAGGAATGTTGATATGTTGCAGTTGTTATAAAAAGTCTGCAATTATACTACAGGGTGAGAAGATAAATTTATACTACCTTTTTGTGCAGACGAACAAAGAATTGGGGAGAACAGCGCCCCCATACCCCCTGTTTGGTGACACCCCTGAGTGTATTTAGAAGGCTAATTTTAGAGAAGCATTATTGTGATTCACAATTGTTTTGCTGAAAAATGATTTGAACTTGACTTTGTAAATGACAGCCTTCAAATTAGGACATTGCATACTTTCAGCGTTCAGCGCGCACGCAGGCTATCAGTGTCTGTATACGGCCCCGCAAAATGTTTTTTTCGATTTACGGCCTTGTTGACAGGATCAGGTGCTCCACTTTCTAAAAATGGCATATGCTTTAGTGGTTTCTTGAAATTGTTGAAGTCGACAGACTAAGAGGAATAAAGAACTCCCCTTTTATACTTAATAAGACGATTTTCATCTCCTATTGGAGAAACACTATTTTCAGTTCCTGATGAGCCCTAAACTATCTTTGTGTCTTTTTTGCTATGACAGAATCTTATCAGGGTCCCTAGCTTTTTAGATAAATGCAATAAAGCTCACCTTGAGCAAAATTGAAGAGAATTACTCTAACAAAGTCAAAAACGAATTAACAGCTATGCAAGAAAACATCAAATTTTTAATAGTAGCTTTTGTAAGAGCTTTGGGGCCAAGCAAGAGGCCAAGAAAAATTCTGGGGGCATGGCCCCCTGGCCCCTCGTAGAAGCGCCACTGTTCGATCTCATAGTCATAAATAAGCATGATTAATAGTCATAAATAAGCATGATTAATAGTCATAAATAAGCATGATTAATAGTCATAAATAAGCATGATTAATAGTCATAAATTAGCATGGTTAATTATTTCAAGTAAAGGGTTAGGGTTAGGATTGGGTTAGGGTTAGGTTTATGGTTAGGTTTAGGCTTGGGGTTAGGGTTAGGTTTAGGGTAAACTAATTACGTCATCAAGTCGAGCAGTATGGAAACTAGACAGCTCCTTTTTTGCTCTGATGAAGCCCCGTATGCCGGGGCGAAATATTAGCCGTCACTGATTTACGTGTATTTATCGTTGTTTATTCTCAGCGTATTGCGGTGTTTCTTATTTGCTACATTTTTATCTACTTTTCACCGCAAGATCTCCTTGGAGCCCGTCGAGCAGCCTGCTACAGTGACCTTTTCTTCATTCACACAGCTCCTTCTTTGTAGGAAAAGGGTTGCTGCGTCACGTTTTCGCCTAACCTCGTTTTCAAGTAGTTGAATGAAAGTAGGCCCGGCTGATATAAGGTCTTGTTACTGTGATGTTTCGCGGTGGATCTTGATAGAAATAAAGAGATCTTAGCCCAAAATAGCATCAGGCGTAGAAGAAAAATATATTCTGGAAACAAGATAAAATGCCAGGGAAAATATTGGTTCCTTTTGCACCTAAAGCAAGTAAACAAATGGGCATACCAGAAACACCGCTTTACAGTGGTAGTAAATTCCAAGGACATCAGAAGAGTAAAGGGAACCGTTACGACGTTGAAGTTGTATTCCAGGTTTGTTAGACAATTATTCAGATAGTTACGTGCATTTTAGATTTAAAGGAAATCACAATAGCCTGTACATTTCGTACACACATACACACAGCTTGATTTGATTGAAGGGACAATCAACTCTTTAATCCATGATTCTATCAGTAATTCTCCCAGCAGTGTTAACTTCTAACAGAGTTTAGACCCATTCTCATAGCAGTGCTAAGACTGCTCACTTTTCATTGAACTTTTGAAACTCTAAGATCTTCTGGACAAACAGAAAATTTTCTGTTTGGTGCAAACTATTTGCAACCCAACAATAAGTTCTAGAATAAAATGAACTGTATCGTTGTAGCAACAAGATCTCACTCCTATTGTTTGAGACAAAAGGCTTAATGGTGTCTTTTTACAAACAAAGTACATAAATAAACCATCTAACTAGAACTGAGAATCCAACTAGAATTGTTAGTATAAAAAAAAGTAAGATAAAAGGATAAAAAAAAGTATGGAATGTATTTTTGTTATCCTTTATAGTTTTTTTAAGATCAATGTGAATGTTTAATTTTCTACATTTCTCTTTGTCTTTAGCTCAAGCTCTGTTTTTTTTCTCTCAGGGGCTGTATCCCTCATTTACCCTAAACATACCTTCCTGGGAAAGGCATGTGATTGCACGTCCACACCTTGGCATGGCCCACACCTCCTTTCCCTAAGAAGTGCGGCTTATCACAAACCTTATGAAGGCTATGAGTTACAGCCTTTGCAAGAAAGATTCTTAGGTCCTGTTCAAACAACAACATTGTCATTTCATATTATATTTAGATTCCCAATCCAACATTTTTACCTAAAAAATTTTTAAAATTTTTTACCTACTTGCATGTTACTGTTTTCATTTCATCATGGATTTTCATCATGTTCCTTAGAGATTTTGTTTTTAGTAGTATAAATTGTTTATTCCGATCTTCTACATGTAGGTTCCTTATAATGTGGTTTCTTATAAAAAAATATATTGTAATCGTTGCTATACTGCAGGGAGGAGGGGGGGTATGCCTTTGTTTCATCATCTCTGCACAGCAGTGTTTTCATTTGATATCGGATTCAACCCTTTACCTGAGCAAATAGATGTATCAAATTGGTTTCATGCTGCATTTAGAGCTTTTTTGTTTTAAAAAGTGTAAACGTATGAAGCATGTCAGATTGCATAGTTTTAGTGTAAAAAAGAAGGCCGATGCAGTATCAAACCAATTTATGTCAACTGAAGACAGCATCATGTAAACAGGGCCTCAGCATGCTCACACTCTTAGGTATTCACTTTTATCTGTCTGGAGAGGAACATGTCTGTTTTTGTGCGATCACCCTGCTTACAAAAACAGAGTAAATAAAGAAACTTGTTTTTTGGTGTTGATCGATCACTCTGCTTGGGTTTTTTGCAAGTTTCTTTGGAGCATTTTTAAACAAACCCCTCTTTGTGCCTTCACACTGCTCATGGAAAAAGAGTAAAAATTTCAGTTTTTTGGTGGCTTTTACCATTCATGTTGCTTCCATTTTTCTAAATTGTTTTGGAGAATTTTGAAAAATCTCTGTTTTTGTGTTTACACATTGATCCAGTGTATTTTCAAAACCTCTATTTTTGTGGATATCCACTTTTGATAGCATTGCAATAAACCTCACTTTTTGTGCCGTTTTTGTGTCATTTTTGTTCTTTTTAATTAAATTTTTAAACTTTGAAAAATAGCTTATAGCTTTGAAAGCCTTGAAATTGACAAAAAGTTTTGAAAAAAGAAAATCTATACCCTTAAATACAAAATAAAGAATTTAAATTAGCCAAGGAGTGTGATTCACTGCATTCCTGCAAATTCATTCTTTGTGTGGCCTGCTAAATATTTAATACTTATTTCCTGCTCATGAATTTCAGCATCTCATCTCCATAACAATATTTTTGTTGTCAAACAAAGTGATCAAAGTTTAAGTATAGTGCAAGTTGTCTGCAAATTATATATTCTTCTGATTTTGTATTCACTATGTTTTCTTCTTTTATAGCATGTTGACGAGGAAAATGCATTCTTATGCGGATACTTAAAAATCAAAGACTTGACTGAGGTAACAAACAGGGGTGGACACTTGGTCAAATATTGGGGGAAACAAGCCTATTGTTCTAATAAGATGACATCACATTTCCCATTGTTTTGGAACAAAAAACCATTTGTTCTCTAAAGTATTAGGGGGGCAGTTGACCCCCTCCCATTCCCGAGCTGTCCACCACTGGTAACAAATTACTAGTTAGATTGAAAAGATGTAATTATCGATGTCTGCAAGTTACATGGCTATCTGCCAATATAAATATATTTTTGCATTGAACAAACCTATCTGCCAATTGCAGCTCAGGAAAGAATATATGCAAAACTCCAGTAGTCAAATTTACTCTTATTTGAAGATGGCCTAAAATAGCGGAAACATAGCAAGGGAAGCATTTTTCATCCGTCTCTTCAGGGTATAAACACCAAATAATGACAAAAAGTGAGCGGAAAATGATATATCCGTATTTTTGTTGTTATCCAATGTTTATACATGCTTTGTTTCTGCTATTTAGTGCATTCTTCAAATTTTGTGTTACCAAAAATTTATTTCACTGTAATTGTGAAGGTCCATATATATCATAGCAAGGAGTAATTCCTCTCCACTGTTTTTCTATGATCTTGATAATTCAAGTATATGGAATTCTCTATAGGAATATCCAACACTGATGACATACTTTGATGGTGAAATTATTGGTGCTAAACATCCATTTCTGACAAGAAAATGGGTATGTTTTTATAATGTTTTTTATGTTTGAATAGTTTTATATGCGTACCTATATTTTATTTTATGCTAGATAAAATGTAACAAACACATATTTGCTAGCATTATTAATAAGCAAGAGATGTGATAATTTTTTACATAGAAACTTGTGTTCAAATGGAGATTGATTAGCTACCAGGTGGTGCTTTTTTACTTGTTGGATGAAACTTGTTTTCATGTCAGCGTTTGGAGATTAACTCTGATCCTTTGTTTAGTGTGGTTGTTTGCTTTGATGATGTCCAATGTTTCTTAAGCAAAGTTCACACTATTTTGAAATGTTGTTTTATGGGGACACCCCCACTTTTGCCAAACATGGTCCACATATTAAAAATTGAAGTATGCAAACAATCTTTTGGTGGTACAAAACTTGTAAATGGCTTTGAAAAAAGCAAACATTTAGCAAACTAGAGCTTTTCGTCTGACACTCTTCAGAGTTTAAAACGTCAGAACATAGAACAAAAATTCTACGCAATTTCTTATTTATTTCTTGCTGCAACCAAACTTTCTTGTAGTTTCAGCAAACAAATGACTCGCTAGACCCAAATATTTAATTGCTTCTTGTTCTCTTTCTGGTCGCTTTTGTGTTTTCGGCATTGAAACTAAAACATTAATGTTTTCCATTCGTTGAAGCATAGTAATATAGGATAAATTGTAGTTTGTAGTTTAAAGCATACATAATTTTCATTCTTATTTATCATCAATTCATACATGTTTTCAAATTTAACTTTTTCTCCCAGGATGCTGATGAAGATGTTGATAGAAAGCATTGGGTAATATTATGTTTTGAATTTTAATTTAGGATTTGTTTAACTCGTGTTTATGACTATCTTCTAAAGATGAGAAATCATAAGTTCATTCAGCATTTCTCCATTTTTCCAAACCATGGTCAGTTTGGCAGTATAATTAAAAATGGTGATTATAGGCCAATTACTGATGATGATTTAGGGGAAATCATTTGCAATCTTGCTAAAAATCCAAGGTGCTTGATGTTCTCCTAGCATTTAACATTGCACGGCTGTGGGACATGCTGTATGGTTAAATTATCAAGTAATCAGATGATGACATATCCCCTATTGCTGACACAAACTCAAATCTAATATGAACCAGAATCACTTTTTTAAAGAAGGATTCCTACCAGTCTATAGATCTATTGCCTTTCCAATCGCAGTGCTTCCAAAGTCCTTTTTCCAAAGGGTTTCCTTAAGCCTGAATCTTAAATGTGTTATTTACATGGTGCCACCCAACATACTTTTGCAACTGTTATAAGGGTTGGTGTCAGATGGTGGTAAAGATATATCATGCAATGGGTATGCTATTTTGAGAGTTCTGGGGCAGGTCTTCCTACCATCTATATCAAAACAATATTTTGCAGGCAGTTTATCATCTCTACTATGTTGTGCGAAACTGATGTGCAGGCAGTTTCTACCTGCCCCAGTAGTAGACACTTTAAAAGGGCAGGCTAGGTTGATAACAAAATTGAAATGATATAAATTGTATTTTTAACTGATGAGAATAATTTTTGTGAGACAGTCCAGGAATTAAATCTTTTGTCCCACATAAGCTGGTTATTTTAAGGAGTATATTGCTTCTAAGAGTAATTTTCATTCATTTCTAGGGAAAATTCCTAGCATTTTACCAATATGCCAAGACATTTAATTCTGACAAGTTTGATTATGAGCAGTTAAAGAAGATTGATTTTGTTTTTATGAGATGGAAGGTATGCATTAGTTTTCATTATGTATATTGGGACCAATTTTGTGTTGCTTCTAATGTTTTAATTACTGAACAAGCTTTGTGCGATAATCTTTTTTGTTGAATATCCTTGATTGGTAACTTGATTAAATATCAGTAATTGTTGTTTTTATAATCTTTACCTGGCTTTAAAATTTCTGCTTCCCCTAATATTTATTTTCAACTGTCCTTCTAGAAGTTTTTATTAGAATGGTTTGTAAGACGCAATCCTATCCTTTTTCCTAGTTTAAAATTGTAATGAGATGCAACCCTTATTAACAATGAAAATTGTATAGAATATTTTATCAATTTTAAAGGATCATTATTTCTTGCTTACTAACCTAATTTCAAACTGGTTGTCATCTATTGTCTCTTTAGTATGCATTATTTTTCCTAAATTAAACATTTTTTCGTAGGAGCATTTCCTCGTCCCGGATCATACAATCACAGACATCCCTGGTGCATCGTTTGCTGGTTTTTATTATATATGTTTCCAAAAGTCAACAGCAACAATAGAAGGGTATTACTACCATCGCAATTCTGAATGGTGTGATATTTGCATACTTCTTTTATTCGCGCAAATCTTCTTTACTTTCAAGTGTGCTTGAACATCTTATACTTTGGCAAACATGGCGATATAAAATACTGTTGGTAAACAAATTCTGCACATTTCCATGAACCCACTTTTATTTCTAAATGGTAGTAAGATTCAATTACCTTGAGTTTTTTTTATGGTAACTAAACTCTTGATTTTTGTGTACGAAGAGTTGAGTACGCTAGAATTTCTAGGCAAAACCTAGAATTCTCCAAAAGCAATTTATTGTGGTGAACAGATGTGGAACGAAATCCCATTACAAATAAGGATGAGCTCCACGATTACCACGTTCAAAAAGAAATTAAAGGAATTCCTGCAAAATTAGCATCCTTTCCCGAAGCACGATCCCTAAGAAGACCAGCATTATATGTAAATTAATCTTTACTTTTTTTTAAACTTAGTAGCTGATTACTGATAACGCTATGCTATATCGTTCTGGAGCTATAGATTTTTATACCATGCACCAGCTCCATTGTAATACAACATATTTTTTACGTTCCCATGCGATCATCTCAAGATAATCCTATTGAAGGGCCAGTGACGTGAAATATGAAGTGCGAGGACGAATGAACTCCATGGCAGTTTTTTATTTTAGATATATCCAGCGTATCAAATTAGCTCCTCCTAAAGAAGATCCTCCTTGTAATAACCCCTTCACGAATAAACCGCAACTCTTAGCACCGACTTTTAAATTATACCTGGGGATACTCTTTCGAATTATAGCAGTACATTTGCGTGGGGGTATATGTGTATATCAACAGTATATTAAAAGCTTTTGCCATTAACTCCGGACACATGATCAATCGTGCACCGACTATCCTTGTTGTGTATCTTGTCACTGCAATTTAAAGGTAATTTGTCTACTGTTTTTGACAGTGTTGTCATTTTTTTCAGGTTCCAGTCACTCAACCTGGTTCATGTCCCAGACCACTGTCCTTCAGTTTTTCAGTTCCGGTGAAATCCCATCGATTATCAAAACATGGTTAAGGGTTTTTACTGTTGAGCTAGCTTGCATTGCAAGCTTAACACCCAGGAAAACTCATTGAACATCCTAGCACCGTCCTCGCATTCAGCTCCCAACCAACCATATTAGATGACTGCTCCAAGAAGAGATCGTGGTTCTGAACTATTATAGTTTCAATTCAGGGATTTTCTTTGTGTGATGACGAAATTCCTTTTAATATATTTAACAGCAAAGTGGGGCGAAATTCAGCCTTTTAATCCTTTTTTTAAACCAATGTAAGTTGTGCTTTTGTAACGGCTCTTGGTTTTTGGAGGCTAAAAGATATGCTACAATTCGCTAAGAAAGATTGGCTTGTGTGTTACTGATTATAATCATAAGAACGAATAACATGAAGAGGTTCGCAAGTTTATTTTCCTCGTTCATTTGAGAGACAGCTTTTGTGGGCCAAGTTTTTCTCAGTTTATTTTGTCTCTTTTGCACGAAACAAGGATGGATTGCTTGTAGATAGATTAGTTGACAATTGTTTGAATCTTTTTTCTCTCATATCAAACTGGTAACACCTTATATTTCTAATTAGGAATATGTGTGTGTAAATAAGTGCGTTTAAAAGCATCAAGAGCTTGAAGTTTGGCTCTTAAAATGCAGATTGCAACGATTCCTCGAATAACTTGATGTAGATTGGCTTAAAGCTAACTTCTCACAATTGTGATGTGAGCCGATTTCATTATGATCGTGTTTTTTTCTTCAAATTTCATGATGATTTTCTTAAAATCGTGTTTTACTGTCGATGTGCAAGCTGCCTTGCAAGAAGTCGTAATGTGCTTAAAGTATTCGTTTAATGTTCTCTGTAACTTTGTTTTTATTAATCAGAATTGTCAATCGAAGTTAAATCTTAGCATTTCTTTTTTCTATGCTATTAACTTCAAAATTGAATTTCTAGACTCAGCATGAAATGACACTTGGCTTATTTGCCAATAATATTCATTATAAGATTCTTATGATTAATGTTGGTTTTAATCGATCAGAGTTTTATTTACAACAATACTATCGCTATACTTTAGATAACAATATTAAGATTTCCAGGGCACTTTTATGGAAAGGGTCCTTTGGCCCACTTGCCCCTCCTATCAAAGGGACAGAGAGGTGGTTTCCCTTCCATGCCCGTCTTTGGCTTCCCAGGTTATCCTCTTGTAGACTGATTTCGGAATATGAATTCCTTAGATAACCTTTTACAGAAACCAGTTGTTTCTGTTTTTCTTTTCCCATTAATAACTGGGTAAAAACCCAAAAATAAATTGTTCAACTGGCACGACCAAGGTTGAAAGATTTGAGCAAGGTCTCGGGTCGCTCTACCCAAAGGTGAGCAGTCTCCCCCCCCCCCCCCCACAGCTTTCCGGGCGGTTGAATTAAAGAGTATTTCATCCTCCAAATGATTCCGTATTCCTCAGAGAAGGCGAATCTCTTCACTCGCCTCCATCCGCAGTCCCATGTCAATTCTCAATTGTTGCCAATTCCCAAGTGTAAAGCGCATTCCACTCTGCTTATTTCGACGAGCACATGCCAGTTTCAAAGTTTTTTTTCTGCATGGAGCACCATGTTAATGACGAGTAAAAAATAAGTTGGTGTGGCAGTTTGTGTTTACGCCGCTACGCAGATAACTGGAATGCAAAACGAAACTACGGTTGCAGTTCAAGTAAGAACATTGTCATCGATTTCTGAGAAAAGGTGAGTTTCGGGCCTAACTTTCCTAAGCGATATTGACCTTTCGTTTCATATTCGTGTAATATTGATTTGATTTTGCCTTCGAGGAAAGGTCAACTCACAAGCCTAAAACAAATTCCCAACTTTCGCCCTTATTGGCTTCATTAAAAGCTCTGTGAACAAAAATAAAGATTTTTTTAATCCAGGAATGTAATCTATGATTAGTGACAAAAAGTTTCCAAAATGCCACGTGTGTGCTGTTTTATTCGAAGCCTAATGGCCAAAGTAATAATGAAACATGATTTGCTTCACAAATTTATCAATTTCTTTTCAGCCGGTAGAAGCTCGCTCACTCACTCTATTTTAAATTCGTTTTCCAATAGCTTTAAAATCTACATTTTTCTAAAGAGAGATCGTCTATTTACAAACCAATACTTTTGATGGATTTGTTAAATCATATGCTTACTTGATATTTGTCATGATTCACGGTCAAGTCCAAATACAAATAACCAGATAGGGACGTTTGAAAAAATCAGCCAGTGGCATTTCATTGCTTTTTCAATATTTCTAGAGATAAAATTTTTGTATCTTTCGCAAAGTTGCAGAAGAAAGGCTGTCATACAAATTAAAATCAACACCAATAAAGAGGGTTTTGACAATGACTGATCCCTGTAAAACCCTAATGTAATAGGTTGTGAATCTCGCAAACTTGATCATGTTATTTTTAATTAATTATGTTAAAATATTCTGCACCGTATTTGAGCATAGCATCAATTTCTCCATTCTTTCTCGTTTGCTCTTTCATTTCTTAATTTTTGTTTATATCTTTATAATATACCGCATTTCCTCGTTAATGAAAAATCCAACATTCCAATGCGGCGTTTGATACAAAATGAAAAGTTTGTCAAAGGACAAGACAATTAATGAACTCCTGAACAAAAGATCAAAATCTAGCAATATTGATTGTATCAAAGATTCAGGAAATGCAATTATTAACAAAAAAGAAATCTCAAATACAATAAATCGTTTTTTTGTAAAATTGCTGAAAACTTAGCGAGCAAAATCGAAGCTGTTCCTAACCCTCTTCTTGACAATGTCAAGTTCAAGTTTAGGTTGATAAAAGTGCAGGAAATTAGTAATGCGATTTCCAAAATCATGTCTTCAAAATGCTTTGGGAATGACAATATCTCCTGCTATTTCCTAAAACTAGCCTTACCTCACATTGAAAAAGTTTTGGCCTATTTGTTGAATACATCACTTGAAACTAACATTTTTCCGGATTCATGGAAATTGGCCAGAGTTACCCCGATTTTCAAAGAAGGGGAAAAAACTGCTAAGTCTAACTATCGCCCTATATCAGTTTTACCTGTCATCTCAAGGCTCTTCGAAAGACTTGCAACCAACCAATTGTACTAGCACATGAGTGATAATGGATATTTCTCCCCAGAGCAGTCTGGCTTTCGTAAACCTCACTCTACCGTAACATGTTTACTTAAAAACACTGATGACTGGTACAAAGGACTAAAGGAATTAGTGGGACTAGTTTTTATTGACCTAAAAAAGGCATTTGACACGGCTGACCATGGCATAATATGCAAAAAGCTAGAGTTTTATTGTATTCAGCAACAGCCGTTAGAATGGTTTAAATCATACCTTTACAACCGGAAGCAATACTCTAGGGTAAACGGTGTTGATTCATCAATTATGGAAATAAATGTTGGTGTACCCCAAGGCTCATGTCTTGGACACCTCTTATTCCTCATTTATGTAAACGACCTCCCACTAGCTGTCCAGAAATCAAATGTGTCTTTGTATGCAGATGACACGAGTCTTTGCCATCAAGGGCATTATATCAATCAGCTGAAAAAGTCTATCAATAGTGACCTTGCACACGTTTAAAAATGGATCAAGGGCAACAAACCTTCACTTAATTAGATGAAATCTCATGCCCTGCTTATTTCCATCAAACCTAAGCATAAATCATTAAAGAATCAAGACAAACCTTTAAAGCTAAAAATTAAGAACAATGAGCTGGAAGTTGCTCAAAAAACCAAATATCTTGGAATACAGATCGATAACACACTAGATTGAAAGGAACACACTAAAACAATTTCTTCCAAGGTTTCCAGAGGAATTGGCTTTTTGAAGCATGCAAAATCCTTTCTGCCAAAAGAAACTCTGAAGACTATGTACACAAGTATTGTGGAGCCACACTCTCGCTATTGCTGTTCGGTGTGGGACTGTTGTGGTCTTACCGAAATCAAACACTTATAACAACTACAAAACCTGGCTGCCCGTATTGTATCTGGCAGCAGTTTTGCTGCACCGAGCCAGCCACTCATAAAGGAGCTGGGCTGGATGACCATAGACAAGCTAATCACTAGTGAGTCAAACATCATGGTCTTCAAATCGATTCATGGACTGGCTCCACAATACATGTGTAATCTTTTCACAGAAATATTCAAGTTAAATTCTAGGAATCTTAGAAATACATCAACTGACCTAAGGCTACAAAACAAACTCGAAAAATGGACAGAAATGCTTCTCGTTTAGAGGTGCTCGGTCTTGGAATGGCCTCTCAGCTGAATGTAAACAGGCATCTTCCTTGAGCAACTTCAAAAATATCCTGCGCAATTGTAAATAGGCGTAATTGTAAGTTGTAATAGGATTTAATTAAGTTACGATAGGATTTATTTTAGATTGTAAGTATTGAATTGTAATTAGGATAAGTTGTTTTTTTGTAAGAATTTCTGTAAGGATTTTAAGTGGATGGCCCCTTGAAAATCAGCATTGCTGAAGGGCTACCCTCCTTAAACATTTGAAATTAAATTAAATGAATGAAGAAAATTGCTATGAAAAAAGATAAAAACAGGCTTTAAACAATGTTTCCTGTGTCCCAACAATACGTAATAAAGATTGTTTGAAGAATTGTTTTAAGTTCACAAAAGATGTGTTCATGTTATCAAAAATATCAAGGAATGTCAATATCCCTGTCAAAGTCCTCGTCTCTATAATAACACCTTCGAAATAACACCTTCCAAACTATTCGTTACTTCATGTTTTCAAGGCATCGACAGATTCGGTTTCATGTTTCGGTGTAGGCCTGGCTTAGCAGGGACGTCGGGACGACTAATGAGCAAGGTGGAGGCTTCCGTAAAAGGGCATTTGAAAATGTTTCCCAGTGTCTATTTATTCTTTCATTACTGTTATTGTATTTTAATCTTCTGTATGCATCTTTGACAATGGTATAGATTCTAGTATTTTTGATTTTTTAAAACCTCTTTGATGATTACAAAAGGCCGATGAAAAAGGCATAAGCCCCTTGCCGATCCTGTCAGAAAGCAAAGGGGCGGTTGCCCTGTCTCAGGCAGTACCTTCTGAAAATAAGTGTTAATATAGTCTTTGTCCATTTCTAGGTTTTTCCTCTTCATTCTTAATTTATCCCATTAAAGAATATGTATGTGTACACGTAACAATATGCATTTAAAAAAGCTACAAGTAAAAAGACAATTGTAGAAATTGTGAATTTGCTTTGCGTCCATAACCTGATTTATATCTTTCTTGATAGAATTAAATCAATCAGAATGAAGAGACGACATTCGTAGACTTCAAGGTTGGTCAAAAATATCAGCTCTCAGGTGAGTAAGATGTGATAAAGGTGTAATATAGCCGTTTTAGGCTTTTTGTCAAACCATTTCGTGGTGGAATTGAATGAATGCTCAGCGGGGTATTGTAAGCCACACATCTCCACTTGTTCAAGCACTTTTGAAGCTACGATTTGCTTCTCTTTAGTGATTAACTCCAAAAACATAGTTTGGTTTTGTGAATTTATTTTTTATAAACAGCGTCATATTAGATTCTTCAGTTGCAAGTTGAGAATTTTCACTTCAAAAGAAGACGTATTCACTCTTGACTGTACGCATCTTGCAGTTTAGAGACAAAAATGAACGACACATTTCTTGGAAGATTTTCGTCAACATTTACAAAATCGTTAAGAGCAGTTGAATAGAAAATAACGGCTTATAATCAGCTTTTTATAAATAAAGAAATGAAAAAAAGCAGAGAACTTTACATTGTTAAACTTCGAAAAAATGCAAAACAAAAAATTGAATTAGGCCCCCTAAAGAAATAATCGTATTAATTTATATGTTATTATACACAGTTAATATTTCTGTTATTTTCATATAATTTAGTACTAAATCGTAACTTTCCTAAAAGAAAATAGATATTCAATCGCAATAGGGAAATAAGACAACGAAGCGATAATATTTTCCCAAAAAGCAACGTTTGGTTTCCATTATTTACCAAATACAAGCGTAGAAAGCTAGGATTCAATTTTTACTTCAGTTCGATGATCTACGCTCGGTCTGTCTCAACTCTCAATTTCTTGAAAAATATTGTAACATAAAAAGGACTATTTTGGAAAAGAAAACAAATCTCGTAATGAAAATAAGGAAATTTTTTATTACCAACCAATTGAAATGAGCCTGCTCGCGTCTTAAAAGGGAGAGAAGGGAACTAAAATCCCCAAAATCCTGATAAGCCAATGTTAGTTTTGGTACGAAAATAATAAGCCAATGTTAGTTTTGGTTAGTAAAGACACGGCGATCTCTTGGAATATCAAAGATAAAAATAAAATGTATGACATGAATGTATCGAATTATGAAAAAGCTTTTATGGAAACTACACACGCATATGTTAATCGTGATACATTTTGTACAACTGTTAAGGAGCAGCACAGTCTGAACTCGTTAAAACAGATTCATTGATATCATGAGGGATATCTGACGAACCGTAAGGGTATTCGATATGTGTCAGCTTTTCTGTGTCAAATTATGTTGGTTTAACACTTGCAACTCTTTAACAATAGCACTGGTTCACTGACTATGAGATGCATAGAACTATAGCAGATCTTTGACAAAGAAAACTTTAAGGCCCACGTTAATACTAACCACATTAATTCCCAAGACTAAAAGGGATATAGTTATATCACGACTTCAAAGGTAAGCCTGTAATATTATAGGAACATGTTCTACTCGCACGCGGTAGTGTATGTTATGTAATGCTCCATACTTCAAGAATAATTGATTCCAGTTACAAATGAAAGGACCCAAAGCATTGCTTGTGACAAAGGCATTAAACTGCATGGCAAAAACTTATATTGAGACCAAACTGCGCTATAGCAAAATAAGATTGTATCAATTATCTCTCGTTAAATACGAAATATCAAGTAACATTACAAAACCCGCGGCAAGGACCTCTACATTAATTTCCTCAGGTTTTTAGTGGATGTAGAAAAATTAGTCATGTTTAATATTGAATATATATTTACTTGCTAAAAAATAACCAGTTCTAATGTTTTGTAAAGCTGGAGGAGAGATAAGGATAAAACAAAATTGGATACGCGGTCGTCACTAAAACATGATTCGGTTACGAGAGGACCCTGCCACGAATATCATTTTTAACAAGAAACAATAAATGTACATAAAAATATTCAGGTTTGTGCTTGATCTGTTGCCCGCCCCTGTGTTTTCAAAATCTTTCGAATTTCTCTCAAAAGATACAATTTATCTTGTCCAGCCTAAAACGAATGAACAAAATGAGTTACCGAGATAAAAGCTATATGGCAGATTAATAAATAAACAGTCTTCATTTAACTGCAATAGAGTTATTGGGTGTTATATATAAGTTGTGATATAGAAAATGAAAAGAGTTTTGAGCGTCAGACAACTCGAAATGCCTAAAAAGTCTGTTTACCATAAGAAGATGCAATTACACATTTACAACTAACCGCGTCAAAGGGAACTGGGTCGAGACTCGGGGTGAAAGACCGCGCGTGTTGTGTTGTGATTTCTCGGGTTTGCGTTTTGCGAACGAGCAAAATTGTGCTTCGCTTGCCTGAATTTATTCGAATCTTTGGCAGTTCATTCAAAAAGAAGCTCTTTCAAAAGCTAATCAAAGGATGCAACCTCAGAAGCTGACGATGTGTTTGCCTTTTGCTGTCATTTGGCACAAAATTTACTAAGAAGGTATGGAGGGTGGAAACTGTGCCGTATTCAACTGCACTAACAGCAACTACAAATTAAAGAAATTGATAAAAGGAACCATGTACAATACATTTTGGAAAAAATTCACGCCGATTGCGACTGCCCTCCCCCTTGCACACTGCACAGATTTCCAAGAACTGGAAAGAGCAAATATGCGACAGGCACTTTTTCCCTTCCACTTACTTATAATCCGCGTAGTCGCAGAAAATCTTTCAACTCTTCATACTTGAAATCTTCGACAAATGCATCGCTCAAGCCTAGACCTCAATTCCTCAGCATTCTCTTTTATCAAGAGCTATGTCGAAAGTAACAAAGTAACTTGAAGATTTTGACTGCTAACACTAATCTTTTTCAGTAGCTTCTGAAAAATGTTCTTTCTAGATGAAATGTCAAAGGTTCGAGTTAATTCAGGCAATTGAACAAAACCTTCGTCTTTTACAAAGCATAAACTCTAGAAATCACAAAACAATGCGTGCAGTCATTCACCCCAAATCTCGACCCAGTTCCCTTTGACGCGGTTATTCGAAAAGGTGTATAGGCTAGCGACCATTTTAGCTTCGTTCTAACTAATATTGCTCGCTCTGCAAAAAGAAAACAAACTGACTCTCTGATGTAAATTCGTCTAATAGAACACTTAAATAGAAAGCAGAAGGATTATCTAGTATTCGAGCCCAAGAAACTGACTGACATCACGTTTGTCATTCATGGAGACTTGCATAGAAAAGTATATATAAAGAGAGGAATATGAATAAAAACACTTCTTAACCATAGCATGGTTAACAGTGAAACCGGGAGGGACTCCCTATGTCTTATTCATGTGACTTACGCCTCAAACAATGACCTTTACAATTGCTTACCAGCGATATTTGCTCCTTTAGCAATTTGATTTTTTTCTCTGCTGACGATTTACGGAGTCTGAAATAATAGGCCATGAGCCTAAAACAAAACAAAACGAAAGCTACAAATAAACTCATTTCATTTAATATATATTCTTAGCATTACAATTAATACACAAGATCAACAAAATTAACAATCAAATAGGAATAGAATATTTAACATTAAATTTGCTGAAGAGGACAAAAAGAAATAATTCTTTAGAGCTTTTGAGGCATATGCCCTTGATCACGTGGTTACTACCAATAAGGATGAATCAGATGTAAAACTAAAGTGATTTAACAAATTAAGCAGATAGCAAGAGCTTTGTGAAAATGAAGCTTTCTCACTGCAGACTACCGAGAGCTGAATTGCAGAAATGATAACATACCCCAAAACAAAAAACAGGACAGCTAGCACCGTCGCCGATGCAATTACATTTACAGTATTCCTCAAAGGTGTTGAAAGATCGTTATCAATAACATCCTTTACGAGCTGGTAAATGCTTCCTTTTCCCCTAAAAGAAAAACGCATCTCGTATTAGCAAACACAAGTAAAATTCTCTGTTGCTTAGCAACTTAAAGTGACGGATATACACCAAAGCCTTTTTGAAGGGAAAATAGCTGCGGGCCAAGCCGTAGCAAACAGCCCATCGTTTAAAACAATGGAAGGTGACTGCAGCTTGAGGGGCAATTGCCCCCCCCCACCATACCCCACCCCTAGTTAGCTAGTATGTTAAAAAAGACACTATGGTACACAGAGCGGTCAAAAATGCAGTTCAGCAAATGTTCCAGCAACAGCATTGGTGCTTTTGCTCATGGTCGAGTACAAGTATGCTTTGATCACATTGGAAGTCGACAAGCTGCGTTGAATAAGCATTTATTTTCATTAAAGCACAAAACAACAGTTAGTTGCAGGATGTGTGTGAGGGTACTCTGTCCCAAGACAGATACAGGACTACAATGAATTGGACGGATGTCACTTTGAATAAGAAAAAGGAACACGGAACACGGAAAGCTCAAGCTTAATTGGGAATACGGAAAACTCCACAGTGCTGCTAATCTTTGGCTTGTTGTTGATCACTATCGCAGAGGAACCCTTATTCAAACAAGGCGATCAGGGTTGGAAAAATATGTTTCACAACTTTAGTTACCTTGATGTTTCAAAAATGTCTAAAATTAATCGATCAATTAATTGTACAAGAAGCTTCTTACCTAAAAGGTCCACAGGTATCGGAAGGCTTTAGACTGCAAATGAAATAAGAAAAAATGAAAAAGCCATCATCGAAAAATTAGAGGACCCCTCATCGTAACGTGCAACAAGAGTACATTCTTAGCGCAATTTCATAAGTGTTCATTATTCCATAGACCACTGATAGCCGCACCTGAGACCATTATAACTAAAAATGTCTTTTGTTTTATGCAGTTTGAACAAGAGAATTAACAGTTTTATGCAGTAATGGCATGGCATGCATCTGATATCCCATCTTGGTATACCACAACAAAGATTGAAAATCGCATAAAGCAAGACTCTGATAACATAGGGAGGAGTGTTTTCGTGAGAGCCCTACCAGCATTGTAAGAGGTTTGGTTAGATTCCAAAAGTCCTGGCTGATAGGAAACTCTTTAAGAGATGCTTTGAGGATTAGCAAAATAGTCGAACATTTGGCTTTGATCTCCTAAACAGTCACTCCCCTAATTTGTACGAGTATGTTGGGACCGTCCCTTTCTGAATACAAAACATTACGTTTCTTCCGCTATTTCCTTTTATACTATAGTTTCAAAGCTGTTTGAATAAATACAGATGTTTTCATCAAATACGTTTTACATAAAAACGTTCACTTGAAAACGGCACGACGAAAATGTTAGCTTATTGTCCCCATTCGATTGCCAGTGAATTAGTTTGTTTTATTACCTTCCTTCGTTAATGATGATGTAGCCAATGACAATGCATGCCATTACCAGCATCAGACTCAATAGAAAAAGCAGCAACAATTTCATTTTAGATGCCTTGAATGGGCGCATCGATGGTCGGCAGTTCCGCATTACACTGTCCTACAAAAATTGAAGTAGCACATAAGAAGCTGATTTTAAGCAAATTTATTAAAAGAATCTTTTCAGTCCGGTCATTATCTTGACATCCATCATTGGCTTTGAAAAAAGCAAACATTTGAGTAAACTAAAGCTTTCTATCTGACAATCTTCAGAGTTTTAAACGTCAGAACATAGACCGAAAACTCTACGCTAGGAAATATATATACCCAGTTGTGGATCGAAATAGGCCAATCAGAAACGCAAGCATATGACTGTTTAGGTTGCCCAATCAGTGCCGCTTGCCTATAGGGAATGTTACCAATGGAGTCCTGAGGTGAAAACGAACTCCCTTTGTCTACACAATAGCGGTTTTTCCGTGCTAATGTAGATAGATTCCAAAACTGCTAGATGGAATGACGATCGGGCTTTACCAATAATACGAAACATGTCGCCATTATAGTTTTTTGCACAATCTGGGTTTTCCAGTAAATGCTGCCCGATAACAGAATCGCAGGTTTTAGATCTGCAAGACCGAGGTGGCTGTTCTCTTTGGGGATAGGTTCTGTTTCTAATACTAGACGGAACATGCTGTTTTATTCTACCCCTCAATCAATAAATATATGGAGGAAAATTGTCATTTATTACGTCATTTTGCGGTACAGCCACCATCACATATATGGGACTTCTTTGAACAAAAAAAGGTGAAACTGATATTTTTGTAACAGCAGTAATAATACAGAGATACATACCTTTTTGAAATAGAACAGAATAAACAGTTTGATAACAGTAATTAATGGCAACATTGGTGAGAAGAAGGCACCAACCCTGCAATACGGGAAAGTGAAAATCAAAACTACTGATCGATATCATTTGGCAAAGATATTGGAGTTAAAAAATCGTTTTTGTCAAGCTTCAAAATAAGTCCTTAAATATAGCCAACACGGAATCCGGGGAAGGAAGAAAAGAGAAGACGTCAAATTATGGACCATGAAATAATATGAAGGAAATCAAGATATTCAATAGGATATTAAAAAAGTTCATATTTAAAACTCATACAGAAATGTTGTACTGCCGGAAGTTGTGTGCAAAGAAAATAATAAATGTGGAAATCTGGATTAAGCGAAAAAGTAATGACGATGAAAAACTGGGTTGTTGACAAGTATGATGAGATTGAGTACAATATTTTAGCCTTTCAGCAAAAGACAGTGAGAGTTAAAGGAGGTTTTCGGTGTTTTGATGGTCTTTATTTTGTGCAGCTTTATGCCCAAACAACGCAAGAAAACAATATTATACGAAAATTACAAACATCAATTTTTCAACTTCTTGGTAGTTCCTGCTTGCTTAAAAGCTTTCAGATGAAGTCCAAAAACTTACAGCTTTTTCATTTTAGCTGTATCTCGACAATCATACTTAGCTCTCATGACTTACTTTTTCTAAAACAAAATGAGTGTTCAAACCCGTCAGGAGAAAAAACAAGTCAAAAACCATTACAATGGAATAATAAAACATGACGTACCAGCATAGCCCCTGAGCATAGATCAGATCCAAGACATTCCTTGAAATGTCGAAGCCTGGACGGTCGAGCTTTCCATCACAGAAAGGGACATATTCAGCAATGATTCTGGAGAGGAAACAAACCATACTACTTAGAAACTGAATATCTCGCACGGAATTATTCCTGTTCAAACAGTGTGAGAGTAATTAGTAAAAGATGGAATCACAGATATATAGTTTCCAAATAAACCTTGTTTTGTTATTAAAAGGCACATTAAACAGTAATTCAAATGCTCTTTAATTTTTTATCATTTGGTCTCAAAAGCAATCTTTTAGCAAGTCTATGCGAGTCCTGAAAATTTAAGAGTTTTAGTGATAATTACGCCAATAATTTCTGTACCCGCTAGTTTGTTAATACCACTGATTCGGTTCGTTACAGATAATAAACTGAGATAACTAAATACATTCTTTGTCCTAAATCCCTTGAATGAAATCTGTTACACACATCATCATATCAATCTTTATGCATCTCGTAAGTCATTTCTGCAACATACCGTCTAATGTATTCACCAAAAATAGTGGAAAACAGCAAAAATAGAAAATCGATGACAACCAGCTTGTAGATTTGTTGTCCCACCCATGTTTCCCAGCAAGTAACCTACGAAGAAAAGGACCAATTTGAGATGAAATACAGTCAGTAATCTACTATTGTTTAAATAGACAAGCTAATGCCTATCATGAACTACAGAGTTGCGAATTATATTTCTATTGAATGTAATGCAGATATTTATAGACATTTACAATTGAAGGGTCAAAAATAGGACTTTTTTCGGATAAGATACAACGTGTTTTGGAAATTGCAACAAAAAGCTCCTGTGAAACTTTAATAAAGACTGAATAAGAATAAGGATCCCATTTTTAAAAATTATCATCAAAAATGAAAGAGAAACTTTAGGTAATTACGTGACCCGTAGCATGGACTAGAGGTTGGTTTTTGATAACGTGTTGTGTGGAATCCAGAAAGAACTACAGTCATAAGAAAGTATACATTGTTCGTATGTCAGTGACAAATTGATAAATATAACATAACAGAACAAGTATATTAAGGGTGAGAATACCAGGATATAGCAAGGGATAAACACGTTAGTAAAATGTGGAATAAAGTGGCAATGTGATGACGTCATTAAAAATCTACTTTTTAGAATTTTTAGACTTGAACGAAAAGCCAGTAAGAACACCGAAAATACATCGAAATGTGCCCAATCAGTCAGATCTGATACAGATTGCCTGAGATATGGCCACACGAGTATAGGCTTTTCCTCCATCAAACCACTGTTATTTGAGTCTGGTTATAAAACAAATCTGGTAAAATTTAAAAATTCTGAAAAAAATTTATGACGTCATCACTCTTGATCATACAGCATACCTTATCGCAATTTTTATCTGCAGCATCTGTCAGGCATTTGACTTCAGTGTAAAGGACGACAACATAAACACAGATAGTCGCCAGTTTTAGAAGAATCGTTCTGTTGACGATAAAAACAATCATTTAAAACAACACGATCATTCAAAACACCATGATCATTCAAAACACCTACAGATGTTATGATGAATCTCGAAACACTTCCTGGTATGAAAAATTATTTAAAATGTGCAACATTTTGCTATATATCACATAAAATATTGAAAAAAAATAACTTTCGATTCAGCAAAGTCACATATCAGATACGCAGACAAATTGCAAAACAAACAGAATTCGATTCTACCAGTGTTTTCAAACTGTAATTTTGAAGTGTATTCGAAATACCTGAAGAGCGATACTGCGATAGTCTCTTTTGGAAGCTGATATTGCTCCAAACTTGCGATGATTCGAAACGCAAAAGGCAGAAAGAGATTCAGGGCAGACATTGAAATCGCCGGCAGCATGCTTTTGGTAAGCTCATCAGTCTGCGTAGGAAATACAAAGAAGGTATGCAAAGTTATAAGATAACTAAGAACCATGGGGCATCGAACACACTACAACCGACTCGTTTAGTGTTATATCCAATAATGGTATACAAAGAAAAACTATCAATGTAGCATCGACTATTGCTTTGTACTTAAAGTATACACAATATACACATTAAAAGGGGGGCTGGATAAAATAGGTCGTTGTAAAAATTGAAAGTTTATAACGAGCCATTTTCTGTGCTTTCGACAGCAATGTAGACCAACACAAGGACATTCTTTTAGAGAAAAATCAAAACAAAGTTCAGCAAAATCACCATGACGGTTGGAATTTTTGTTTTGATGTAAAGATATTAAGCATAAGGAAAGAAGTATGGAAAGAATTGAAAGAAATTTTACATTTGAAATTACTGCACACTTAAAACTAAGCAGTCTACCACCCTAAGAATGAATATTGAGAAAAAACAACCAGAAAAATGCAAAACGGAATACTATATATGAGCCACCTTTACATTCGATGTCCTGTATTAACAGAGGTCAAAAAATTTATTAGAGGGAGAGACCTTGGGGAGTTGACTGAAAGAAAATGAACGAGATTTCAACACCATCTGTCAATTATATTAACTCCAGACGATGTCTCCATTCACTCCACGAAAGCAGGCAAAGCTACGCAAGGGCCAAAAGAGTCTATGAAATTCCTCAGTTTCTTTTTTCAAAATAATAGCCTTTGGGCTATCCAGCACACCCGTTTTAAACAGCTCACCTGCAGATTTTTGGTAGCTTCGTTCGAGACGTAGAATATCAGATAACACGCACAGGCAATCATTGCAAATGACAGCAAGTTGGTGACAAGTCGCAGGAAAATTAACTGACACAACTCCTTCGAACCCCTTTCTTTCCGTTTTTGATTTTCGCTTAAAGACTCCTGAAATGCAAGAAAAGGGATTTAAAAAAGGTCGCGTAAACTAGCTTAAAGCAAGATAATGATTTGCAATCAAAGAAAATCCAGATGAATGTTGCTCGGTGTGACTAGCTTCCTTACAGAATGTGTATAGGTAAGTTCGTTCTGAACAGCATCTCTTCAACCTTGTTCAAGAGTCGAGTCATCAAATGATCTTTCGAAAGCTCAAATCAACAGAAGATTTAAAAGTCATGCCCAGTGCTACGAACAAACTTAGAAATCTTGACAAATATGGAATTTATCAATATATCTTGGCCAAAAATTGAGTAAACTATCACCATGATTTATAGGCTTAGAATAAATCATGATAACTTTATGCTCGACCTAGTGACTCAATTTCTACTCTAAATGCATAAACAATTACATACTTGAAATAACGGCAAAAAGACTTTCAAAAATTAAAAGTAAAAAAAAATACTGGAATCAACTTATTGAAAGAAATTCGCGCTACTTTTTCACTTGCGTAAATTTACCTTCCGCGCAAATAGTACCTGGATTATTTTCATGCAATAGGGTGAAGTGTGCATAAATTATAAAAATAATCAAAGAAGTTTGAAAGGTATTGTATTCTTTGTGCAAAACAGAAATTTTATTTTTCATTTGCAAAACATGTTTATTGAGTGAATGAAAGCTAATTAACTGATTAAACTGACACCCCAAGCAAGATTGATACATCAAAAGTTGGTTCCTGCACTTCCAATATACATCTTCTTCACCCTCTCTCCATTCATGTTGAAACGTCCGTTCTTATGTCAATATCAAAACAAAACAATCGCCCGAAATCAATATCATACTTTTAATGCAATAAATGAATGAATAAATAAATTCGTGAAGACTGTCATAACACTTACAATAAAATCGTTGTAAATATTTTTACTCTCCAAAACTGCGCTGTTTTTCTGCGTGAGCGCGTAGTCCCACGAACAGAACACTTTCGTAAAGAATGAATTTCTTGTGTCCTGTCCAGCTATGTAAATTCTTCTGTATGAAATACCCATACTAGAAATAGAAATTTCAGGCCATTACAGCACGAACTAAAGTATCTGGCACTTTTTAGACAACACGTAATGACTAGAGGCAAATTCTCTGTTATCGAAAACTAAATCTACTATGAAAGTAAAGTAGAGGCACTGGGGGTTGTTTACTGATTTCGAGGGACCATCAAAGACAAAAACTTGCCGCTATTTCCAATTCAATTAAACCTGGCAGCATTGAAATACTTTCTGTGAAGTAAAGAAAACCACTGACACCCCCAATCAGTCGGCTGTAGACCGGTCTCGCCCCATATCAGGGCCCATCAGTACCGCTAGACTGAAAGAGGACCTGATGTTAATCTAGGGTTAGTGCCAATTATGTGGGGGGTAGTGTGAAAAGGAAAATAAGTACGCATGAGCAGTGCTAAGGTGCGGAATGTATGCCATCCCCACAGTGTCGCAGTAAAAGTAATTGAAATACTTTCACCCTCATACCGTTATAGACGCTCACTCTTTTTCTACTAACTCTTAATGTACGTATATTATACTCAAATCATTGAAGCAGGTGTCTACACCAAGGCATTTCGTACAAGCCTACTGAAAGTATTCAACGTTTGTTACATGACACAATCAGAGACATTAACAATAGTTTTATTCTCCAAGCTACGTAGAAATTTAAGTCAACCGTAATTTCGTTTTTTAGGTCTGCAACAGGTGAATATGCTGAGGAATACAGCTTTTACTCTGGTATATAAATGGACTGCAAGGAGAATGATAGGCCATCAGCGAAAAACTTAACGGAGATGCATGGCACCTGGTAAGTGCAATTGATCATCATAGTGTGATTGTATGCAAAAAAATCATGGTTAAATTTAGGGCCGCCGAGAGCAACGCCAGGCAAATGTAGGCCAATGTAGGAAAAACTGAAATTACCTTCTCACTAGAATAATTAGACAGAGCAGGATATAGCCACCTGCAACGCAGAGGTATGCCAAGGGCAAGTTGTAATATGTCCCACTGACTAAACTGATTGTTGCGTTGTGATACACACCATAATACATCTCAGTATTCGCGAACCAACCCTGAAAACAACAGAATTATTGGAATACGTTATTGGAATAAGTTAGTTCTACTGGAGCCATGACGTCATCAGTCAAGAATCAAACAAGACATTCACACATTGAAACATTTCTCTTTCCACGATATTGCAGAACTAGATTGACAATTTGTTTTATCCTTCTGAATACTTCATGCCAGTTGCTAGCCTTTTCTGAAATAATCCAACCCGTTTAAATATAATCCAAAAAAGCAAAGCTTTCCAGCAAGATTTCCTTTTGAAAAGCCACACATACGTTTTAATAAAGCGTCTTTAGAACAAATTTTCAAAATTATTTAGAACACATTTTCAAAATGATTTACACCGAATGTGACCCGAAAACGATTTTCTGCTATTAAAAAAAATCAATAAGCCAAACTTCTAAGGTTTCTGAGTGCCAACATACCTCACCAGAGAGAAACTCTTTGCCTGAAAATGACACTGTATTGTTCTTAGAACTGGGTGAATATAACAGCTGGGGTGTCACCACGAATCCTAGCACTAAAATTGAGATGACAACATCCAAGAGGAAAAGCCATCGAAGAAACTCGAAGTATGATAATACACCTGAACCAAATTTTCCTAAAAAGATAACCATAGTTTATCATACACGGGCTGGTATAATTACGATAAGATTAAGAATGATTGCTTGGTGTGTAATTCAGGAGTGTTAAACAGGATGATTCTAGGTTAAAACTCTTTCACAAGAACTAAGACAACGAATTGTGTATTCTTTGGTTCCTTATTTCCATCAGCCCACATACACATTGTCTATAAATAAGAAAATTGATCCCTTCTGCTACACGCATCAAATATTTGTTTGATATGGACAGGTGCCAAAAGTCAAAAAGAATAACTTGCCTACCAAATATTTTCAAAACCTTGTCACTATATATTTAGTAACAACCGGCAGTTTTAGCAAACTTTTTTATAGTTACATCACATTTTATTTGCGCAACACAATAATTACAATACAAGTCTGGTTTGGCCATCCTCTTTCCAGAATCATGTTGCCGAATGCTTTTACATACCGCGCTATTTTATGCTGTCTAGAGATACGTGCTACATCAGACACATTCACACATGAGACGATTATTTTTACTTCTTGAATCGCACATGCTCAAGCCATCCTTTAGAACTACAATGCCTGCCAAAAGTCTTGGAACACTGACATCAATTTTCAAATCAATCATCCCCCTCTCCCCTACAGAACAATGTTGGTTTACTATCAAACAGGCTAGGATTTTAGGAAGCACTTTCTTTTGCGCTTCTTTTATGATATTTCTCTAAATCATCAACATTGTTTTAGGGGGAAGGGGGGAGGAAGTAGCAATTTTTTTCATGAAAGGAATGAAAGATATCAAATGCAGCGTAAATTGCTGGGTGTTCCAAGTACTTTTGGCAGGCATTGTATATTTGACAAGCATCCAAACACAATAATGAGTTAATAAGTTGATACGGTGTCATTTTTTGTAAGTCTTCTGTTATCCTTTGTTTATGGTTAACACCGCTTTCACACTGGCAATAGCAAAACCTGCTTACCTATAATTTTTGCTTGGATTTATTGAACCAACAATCCAATGCAACTTTTTGTAGAAATCAACAAATTGGAGTGCTGTATGGAAACGGTACTAATCTTACTTATGCGTTAATTTTCCTTTTTATTTTCTAAATGCTCCAGATTGGTTTTAAAGCCTTTAGGAGAAAACGATTGAAGACAACCGACAGATACTGAAGTGCTTTAAGCAATCTATAAATCAACTTTTGGCCAATCACTAAATGTATCAGTAGTATTAGGCTCATTGACTAGCCAATTTTGATTGACAGTTGGCGTAAGCCATAACAGTATCTCTTCATTACCTTTCAACGAGAAGCTTTTCGCAGAAATGCAATATTATATATGATTTCTCAGTAAATGAGATTTGTTTATTTTCCGCATTTCGATTTTGAGGAAGGTGAGTTTCGAAAACGCGGAAATTTCTCACAATCAATCACTTTTGCCAATTTGATAAGAGCAAAGGTTTTGTAACGGTTTATATTGCAATAATATGTAATATAAGAAAAAACAGGTAATGTGGTTTGAGCTACGGCAGACTTCACTCAGGGTTTTGTTATATGAACACTAATACAAGCTTTGACATAAACATACAACTATTACGAAACCGCAAATCTCCCGCCGTTTTCATCAGATTGACAAGGAAAATAAGTAGGTAATGTCTCCAATTTGTTGTATCATAATGAAAAAAAGGTAAAAGAAAAAAGACGATTTTATTTTGAATTTTGACGAGGACAACAACCAGCAATAAATGGGAAAATAACAAAAAACAAGGCAAGAGTGGGTCCAAAACAAAAACTACTCAGGGAGTAGCAAATATTTTTTGTCATTACAAAAATAAATTTTAAAATATATGCAAAAAGAAGTGCTGACATTGTTTTAAGTTGCAGTTAAATTGATACTGTTATGTTAACTTTGATCTGTTGTTTAGAATGCTAATTGTTTGCTATTTAAGATAGGCTGTTAGAATTTTACTGTTTTGGTAATCAGAAGTTTGCAACCATGATTAATCATGTAAAAGCTCCTGTGCGTTCTAAAAATTGACACTTTCTCCACTAAAAGTATGCCAAGCTACGATAGTCAATGATATTTTATACTTGCATCAACAAGAAAAAATCCATCCCCTACATTGACATTGTTAAAGAAAAGACGAGAAAATATTTTTACTTTTTCAATTTCTTTTGAAATTAATTTGATTAGTGTTGGCATTAAATATTAAAAGAAGTATGAATTTCGAAAACTACAAAGAATACTGGTAGAAAAATTCATAAACAAATATTGCACATTCAACAAATATCCTACATGTAAAATAAAGCATGCAAATGTTTTTACAAAAGAAAAGAAATTCTGAATAAGGACTGACCTGCTATCTATATCTTCCCTAGAAATGTTAAGAACTATTATGATGTTAAGCATTTATCTTTAATTGGTTACACAGCTCCATCTTTCAGTCTTTGCCAATTACTGATACTTTTTACTTCTGTGCCAAGATTATATCCAACTTTACTTGCTGCCTTACTGATTAGCAGAATACATGACAAATTTCCAAGGAACATTAAGAAATCTGTTTTTCTTGGCATATCATAAATTTCCTTTTGCTTAAATCAAATATCTAAGAAAATATTTTCATACCTTCAACAGGTTTCAAATTTGATTTCCATATGTCAATATTTTTGAAGAAATCGACCACTTTACTTTTAAAATGATCCCATCTCTACAAAATAATGTTGGATACAGAAGCAAATCAGTTGCACATTTTTATGAGTGTCTAACTTTCAAAACACATATCCATAAAATTAAAAAAAACCAATATCTATATTTTGAAAAGCTCATCAACATTTACAAAGTTTCCAAGGATCTAAGTATATACAATTCATTACTGCATTGAAGGGTTAAAATTGTGGTTCACCACGAGAACTTTCATGAGATCAAATTCAAATGGGAACGGAACAAAATTTTCTAAACAATACAAACAAGGGTAGAGATCTCACTGCCAACAAAAATCAAGACAGACAAAACTGCATTCACATTTTGTTATAGATTCACTGTTTTGATAACTTTGGGGGTGTCAAATCCCTTATAACGCCATAAATTGAACACCTTTTGTTTTCGGTGTTACATAATCAGGGAAACCACACAAAAAAAGCTTTGCTGAAAAAAGGGCAGGTAGAGGCATGTTATTGTGTTCAATTTGTGAATGCATGGAAATCTAATCTCTATTTGAAATAATTTGTAAACAGCTGCACAAGGAAGCTGAATAATTCCTACCGAGGACATGCTTAGTTTTGTCTCCTTCCATCTCCCAATACTCTTTGCTCTGCTTGCTTTAACAGTTCTCCTGCAAAAATAATTTGCCAGGCTTGACATTAGGTGTTTGTGTTATGTCCTGTTTTCATATCTCAGTTTAATATATCAGCTATGTTAAATCCAGTATTATCAGCAGTATTATTCTAAAGCTGAGATTTCAAGCAGATAATTGAATTGTAAGAAACAAACAGAAAATTTCAGAAATGAAATCATAAAACTGCATGCAATGGTAATTTTTCAAGTAACCTGGCAGGCCCAAGGATAAGGATACTGTTTGAAGTGAAAAACTGGATGTTACCTGACAGATTTTTTTGCATGGAGTGGGAGAGTGGATTCTTTAAATCTAGTTGTCGCTAAAGAATCTAGCCCCTCGAACTGAGTTACTAAATTTGCTTCTTCGTGTACATCAAATCTTCGACTTTCAAAATTGTCTGAAAGGTTAAGTGCATTTGCATTTCTCAACCGAAGAGTTCCTGAAAAAAAGAGAAACTTTGTTTGAATCACATAACAAATACATATCAAGAACATTAGAGACTACAAAGTTAGGACACATTTAGGCAAAAAGGGCACCTTCATGAGCTGCAAATAGGTACTTTACTTCCGTTTTTGAAACTAGGAGAGGGGAGGGACAAAATATTTCCTTGAATAGAAGCCAAAGACTATATACATGTTCAATGGCAGCTTCTATATTTCTCTGCCAAGATTTTAATGACAAAATAGGACTCTTCCTATATTTCTGCCAAAATCAAATTATAAGTGAGAGGCAAGATTTGTTGATAGTTTGAACTTTCAATTGAATAACATTACAAATGGGACTTTTTTGTCTAATTTCACTTTAGATTTGCTTTCATTCTTCTCGGCACAATAAACTAGATACAATTCTTAAAATTAGGAATATATAATTTCAAAAAGTGCAAGCATCAATGTAAGGCAAAATATATGGAAAATTCAAACCTGGCCTAGCGATTGATTTTACTCTTCTTAGCTGTGAACTTGGAAGCGATTTTTCAAGATATTCTTCGTCAATATCTGAAACACTTTCACTGGAATCAGATTCATTGTATACTTGGTTTACATCTACATGAATCTGGTCGTGTTTCTGTGGATCTTGAAACTCTATTTGACGGGAATAATCTGAAGGTGTGTCTGGTTGAACTTGAAATGATTCGTAACCAGAACCATTTCTTGGGCTTCCTAAAACAGCAGAAACAGAAAAATATTACAGGAAATTACAATTCTCTGCTCTGGTGTGGTCAGTTGTTTATCATCACATTTGCCAAAAACTGCATTATAGAATTGAAATATTTATGTTGAATATATTCTGTGCCAAATATTTCATTTTATTTTTGCCATCAAGATACCGAATTACCCCATTTTCAAAATTTAGCTTTTCCTTTACATTTCAATGGAATTTCTTGTTGTCGTGAAATGTTCGCACTACAGCAGCAAATTCCGGTCAAAACTTACAGTCCAAATTACATGAAATGTAAGGAAGAGACTAACTTCAAGATGACAGTTTCAAATCTGAAGTCCATTCTTGAGAAAGGTGTTTACAGAGCAGGATGCAAAATCGATGAAATCAACCCACAACGGAGAATTCGGCGAAGGGGCAGAATCCGGGTGTGATTGTTTATCAATAAATAAACTTAGAAATCAACCATAAGCAAAAGTTGCGAGGACACGCAAATAGGATAAGGGGATAAGATGATAATTCGTTTCGTAAAGAAATATGTGCTGGGTATGTGTAACAGTGCTGCTAAAAAATATATCTTTAATTGAATAGGCCACGATGCACGATTGATTGGTAACAAAGGCGTCGTCACAGCAATTAAAAATAACAAGAAAGTAAACATTCGCGAAGTACATGCAATAGGCATTTCAAACAAAACTATCTCTGCAAGACTGGTTATTTTTCAAAATTCAATTGACATAATCTATTGTTTATAAACCAAACGTTTGAAATTCTACCATTACGGATGTCAAAACTAAACGAAAGATCTACAACTACAGGCATACCAAGAATTGGAAGAGCCTCCTCGACATTTCTATTATTTTCCATAGGATCCATAATCTCTTTCTTTGGAACGAAAACTCTCAAAATAAGACAGGGATTAGATTATCATGATATTCTTCACTTAAGTACCTGGACAATGGGCATTATTGTTCTTCTCCTCCATTTAAACCGCAGCAAAGTAACAGTTGAATAGTCGAACGACGACATCTGTGGCTCCTGGATAGTTTTTGTGACGTCAAGACCGAAAAACGCGGTTTGGGAACGCGGCATTCTGCGCATAAGACAAAAACAGCTTTCCGTATCTAAGGACGCTATGTACTTCTTCCTTGGAGATTGGATCTCTCAACTAAAGACGGAAGTTCTCAGTAAACCGCAACCCGGACAAAAATTGCAAAACACTCCAAAACATATATATGTATGGGTATCTTTGTTTCCAAATCTGGCAGGGGAGAATCACAGCGTAGGCCGCACGGTAATACGACAACCGGCCTACAAAAATCAAGCAATACAGGAGACCCTGGTTCTTCAAACGCTGTCGGAACTAGGACAATGAACAAAGGGAATGTAAATGAATCTGACAGAGTATCCGTGAATAAAGTTGAGAATTGTGACGAGAATAGAAAGGACGGTGAAAGGTCGAAGCAGCGCGATAACAATGACGACAACAAGGAACAAAGTAAGATGGCGTCGACTGCAGGCCCGGTCTCTTCAGCACATGGAGCAACTACAACTACAACAGAAGGGCAAAGTTATACAGTTGCATCTCATGATAGCGGTGGCAACGAAGAAAGTGATATATACTCCAATATTTGGTATGCCATTGATGCAGGCCTAGAAGAGTGGAATGCTTTCAATAGAAAACGACAGGTTCCATCCCATAAGGACTGGACGGTCATCAGACTTTTTGTCTCTTCAACGTTCACAGATTTCTACGCTGAGAGGGAGGTTCTGGTCAAAAGAGTCATGCCGACAATCAATGACTGGTGCGCGCAGCGAAAAATCCAAGTTATTGAATGCGATCTAAGGTGGGGAATTCCAAAGAACACGTCAGCCAATGATACCATTCAGATTTGTATGGAAGAAATTGATAAGTGTCTAGCAGATACAGGGGGTCAAGCTTTCTTTTTAAATATGCTTGGAGAACGGTATGGTTGGATTCCAGATCTTAGACAAATCGATAGTGAAACTGTTCGTCAGTTCGATTTGATTCAAGGCATTTCGATCACGCATGCTGAAATCCTCCAGGCTGCTTTGCGCTCCAGCAGCCAGAATGCGATATTTTTCATGCGTAATTCAAGTTTTATTTCAGAGCTACCTGAAGGTATGAAGCCATCTTTTGTCGAAGCAACGTGGGCTGGCAAACAAAAACTTACCGAACTGAAAAATCAGTTAAAAAGACGATTTCCAGAGCAAGTATTTGAATATGATTGCAACTACAATTGTATTGGTTCTGAATCCGGTTTAGCTGACAGCAGCATCAAGCGGCTCGAATCTTTTGCGGATACTGCAATTGATTTCTTCAAGAACGCAATTGAAAAGTTTTGCCCCAACCAGGAGAAGGTGCTGTCTGATGAGGAACTTTACTTCTTATATCAAGACGGGTTTATTGATAAGAAGTGTGCATTGCTTGTTGGACGAGACAGTGAAGTGAGGAAGATTGTCGATTTTGCACAGGATTTTGTGGAATCTAGCAGTAGTCATGGCAACTACTGTTTCGTAACAGGTACATCTGGAATTGGAAAATCGTCGCTTCTTGCACATGTTGTTCGAAGTTTGAAGTCTGCAGGATTAAATTGTTTGTACAATTTTGCCAGTGCATCACCAGGGTCAACTGTTTCATCATTTGTGACTGATGTTTTCACAAAGACCCTGATGTCAAGCCAGGGTCAATCTGTGAAGGATTTCGACAGCCAGAGCCTAGAATTTAGGAAATCAAAGTACAAAGAAATGGTTAAAGATATTCTTTTTGAAGAGAGGCAGATCACATTTGTTTTTGATGCTGTAAATCAGTTTTCTGACCTTGAGGCCTTTTCTCTGGATTGGTTGCCCTTTGAGCTGAAAGGCAGAGCGAAATGCATCGTTGGATGCACTGACGACAGTCAAATAATAGACATGCTAAAAGACAAGGTATCATCAATCCCTTATGAAGAAATTCAGCTTAAAGGGTTTGACCAGCAGTCTAGTGAAGAATTCATTACATCGGCGTTTGCTCGTTACAGCAAAAAATTAGATGACGTTCAGATGAGGCAACTTATTGGCAAGAATGAATCGTTCAGTCCACTTTGGTTGTCGCTTGCATGTGAAGAACTCCGTATTTTTGGTATCTTTGAGCAGTTGAATGACAGAATACTAAGTCTTCCTGGGCAGCTAGAGGAGCTTGTTTTTAATATTGTCAAACGACTGATTGACGAAGACGAAACTGATTTGATAAAAGATATAGTATGCCACTTGGTATGCAGCACATCTGGTTTAACTGAAACTGAGCTGCGTTGGAGCTGTGGTGATGGAAAGGAGCCCGTATCCATCTTTCTTTGGAAAAAATGCCAATTGCTACTGAAGCCGTACCTTCTTATAGTTGGCAAGAGGCGTGGTGAAGAGAACTTAGCCTTTTGTCATGACTCTTTTAACATCGCAGTCAAAAAGAATTTACTGAGTGATGAAGTACTGAAAAGATCTTACCATAGCAAGCTCGCCACTTCGTTTGCTGCCCACTGTAATGACGACATTAGACTTGCCAGCGAGCTTCCCATCCAACTAAAGTTAGCCAAAGATTTTATAGCTTTAGTTGAGTTCTTCAGAAAGGACATCCGCTCTTTACGCGTAAGTTACATTCATAAGAGCCAGCATCTCAGGGAATTGCGATGCATTTCGTTCGTGGATGGTGCAAACGTGAGATTCTCTGCTCCTGTCTATCTCTGCAATATGTGCTCCACAAAAACAAAAGCCTTTACTCCAGCGCCCGGACTGAACAAGGACAGCTGTCTCATTTGTGGTGCAAATGTGCCCTTCAAGAACAACAGTCTCCTCGCTTATGTTTGCATGAAACACAAAAATAACACTGCTCCAGAAACAGCAAAATGCTGGGTGTGCAAGAGCGTCATCTTTCTAAAACTGAAGATGAATTTCAACCAAATGTACACGTGCCAGTTTTGCGCGTCACAAGGTCAAAAATGCGTCAAGTTAAACACTTAATTAAGTTAAATCATTTCTCTAGAGTTTAAGTATTGTATAGACATTTCTTTAGCATATACTTTAAAGTTTAGTAGAGACCTTTCTCTACAAGAAAGTTTAAAGCAGACGTGTTTTATAATGATTGTGCTATTGTTGAAACATTTAGTAGGGAATAAGAGATTGTTTTTAAAACACGACTTTTGAGCGAGACAGCCTTTGATCGTGCAGCATCTTAAAATCTAGTTTTTAAGATGTAGTTTATAAGAGTTCAAATATAAAAAACAGATCAATGTATTAAAAAGAAAAAAATTAGTTTTAAATAACAAATATTGATATCAATTATAAGATCAACAATTTTGCGGTTTTGTTATTTTAATTTTGTCGGGATGTTTTTGAAAGGGGAATCGTAGCTTTTCTAATTTAGGAAAATAAGAAAATTTAGTTGCAGATCATGTTACATATATAACATTAGTAAAATTTATATGGTTTCACCATAGTTAAGAACAAAAATCTAGTATCTTTTAAATTTTGAAATTTTTTCATCTAAGACTTTGATAGAAATTCATCCATTATATCTATTTTGCTTGTTATGTGGCTGGAGCTTTGAAAATCTTTTTATAAATGACTGTTTTTCTGATTGAACTATTGATAATATTCATAAAGGAGAATCTTTGTATTTTGTATTCATGATATTTTTTATGATTCCACGTCGTTATTTTGTCATAGAAGCATGCTTATAAACATTTTTATGTTGAGTTTGTAAAGGTTTAGTGGATGTATTCTTTTACTTAGAATGGCTTACAGGTAAAACCTCTGGAAACGCACTTGAAGGCAAGCTATACATTCCAAATTAGTGGCCTGTTGAAAAATCATCAATACAAAACGATGAGTTTTCTTGAACCTAACAACTGAGAGAAAAACCAAGATGAAAACAGAACACTAAAACTTCAGAAGTTTATCATGTTCAAAATTATTTCTACAAATACACAACTAAATACATCAATAACATTCACGAGAATTATATACCCTTTACATACATACTACAACATCAGATTTCTCCGAAATCAGTTCACGTTGAAAAAAAAAATCTCGTACATATATTATTTTATCTGAAAATCCCTGGAAATCCTTTCGTTTTCATGAAAATCGTGACGCTGTTTGCCGCACCGAACTGACCCTCGTCAGTAACTACCTACAGAGATATTAACAAAGGGATATGTTGCTAATGACAACATGGGTTACGTTGTGCCGATGACGACATGAGTCAAGAAAGACATATGCACAGTTTTGCATGTCAAATGCATTGGCAGTCAAGCTTGGTCCAAAAAATAATAATTCTCAAATTTCCAAAGCTTTGCAAAGGCGACACAGCATCGAGTTTGTCGAGCTAGTACTCAGTGAAATTTGAAAATATACTGAATATTAGTCACAAATAGTTATCCAGCGATTTTTGTATCACTATACATTACTAGATTATACATTACATTCCTCAAGTCAGACTATATATTTTACAAACTTACGTTTCTTTATTTCACTAAGAAAATAGTTAACAGAATAAAAATTATCAAGGATGATTCCATAAGGTAATACATTTAGTAAAAGGAATCGAAGGATTTTTTGAAAAATATAAATAGCTTTAGTATCGAAGTCAACAAAGTTTTCGTTCTTCTCCAATTCTCTACTGGTTCTGGACTTTAATGTAAACAATACAGATATATGAACATTCGTAAAGCCATCAGCTACTCTGAAGTCTTCACTTATCTTCCCAAGTTGCTGCTTTTTTGGAGAAGAAGTGTATCTAGAACAAGGTTATTTCAGAGCCCCCCTCCCCTGATTACTTGCTGTTTTCCGTTTTCCACTTAACAACGTTCAACGACAAAACAATGCACTAGAATTTCCAGAATATGAATGGGAACAAAGCAATGGCAGCAAAACCGAGATCCGAAAACTTATGAAAAGGGTGCAATCTGTCTATCAAACAATTAACAATGATCACAAACGATACAAAAATAAAAATCTGAATGTCGTTTAAAAAACCTTTAATGGTATAATTGTATCACATAGCTGTAGGATTAAAGACCTGGTTAGGAGACTGTTGCCTTGCCCTGACTCGCTCTTTCAATGCATTGCGGATTTCCTTTAAGAAGTACTTCTTATCTTCTCCTGCCTGAGGAAACAGAAAATAAACGCCTTGATCACGGTTGAATAAGCATACAGGTATGCAGCATGCCGTGTTATATTAAGATGGTTCAAATCACTTTGAAACGATTGGTCTTATTCCTAACAATCATTATTATCATGATTATCAATGTTTTTAATGGACCAATTGATTTCCTGAGGCTTCCCTAAGTGTTCTGGAGAATTTCCCAATTTTCAGACCCCCAATTGTTTTCTTCTTGCTACGGAGAATCAGCATAAAGTGATTTATACACGGAATTTGTTGTTAAAATGAGCTAGATTTAATTAAAGGCTGTGTCACAAGATTTGATATACACAGTAGAGGACATGTTTTTGGTCTCAATATAGCGAAAAATGATGGTTTCTGCAATTTCATACCCTGAATTCCAGAGTATCTATTAGACGTTGTGAAGAATGGATGATGCGGTAAAGTGCAAAAGGGGAGGGGGGGGGGAGTTGAGAAAAAGAGAAACGAGAGGAGGAGACTTTCCTCCACACCCTCCTGCATCACTCCTTCTCCCCATGAATGGTATTGCCTTTCTAACAACAATTTTAAATATTTAACTTTAAAGTACTTCCGAATTAAAATTCAGATATCAATACTCAACAAAAAATGTAAATCACTACATAATCCATTTGAATTTTTCAATTTACAATAGATAAAAAGAAGAAGAAATTAAATACTCACTAAGGCTATCTGATCTTTCAAAAGTTTGATTTTCTTTTCTGCTGAGGATTTCTTCAGTCTTTGGTAATATATTACTGCCCTGCAAATAAAATTCTTATCAAATTATTTTATTTTGTAGCAAGACCATATAACTGCACAACTTTCCTTTATACTCAAGACATTTCACAATATAAAAAAATAAAGTTTGATGAGTCTCAATGAGAACATATCACAAACTATTCATTATATTTTGTTAAAGTGTGCTAACTTTTCTTGATAAGACTAAAACGTTGCTGAAAAAAGGCTCGTTATAAAGAATCGGTTGTTTAAAAGATCCCTTCAGAAAAATATAAAATGTAGCTGGAATTGAAAAAAGCATACCATAAAATGAAGAATATTCCAAAAAGTGCAACATTGGATGCTACACCCTTGGTCAATTCTCGTAAATCTTTACCAAAATCTCGATTTATTACCACCTGCACCATTTCAAATATGTTCTTTCTTCCACTGCAATTTTAAATAAATAAACATTCATACCTAATTAAATAAGGTCCAGCAAACACCTCTACTGTTTATGAGAATTTTAACAGAAAACAATGACAAACATATTGAGAACAGACTATAAATCCATTCTCTCTAAACTATGTACATTATAAATCCCATAAAGATTCAGCTTAGAGAAACATCACAAGGTGAATTCTGAATCAAAGGAATAAATGCTTAGCTGTTATCTGCTCAAACTTTAGTCGATACAGTAGAATCCCGTTATAACGTACTCGGTTATTATGTACTTTCGGATATAACGTACTGGTGTGCTTGGTCCTGGCAAAAGGTGTGCTTGGTTTTAATCATTTTTTACTTACCCTCGTTACAAAGCACTTCGGATATAACGTACTTAATACGCTGATCCCTCAAAGTACATTATAACCGGATTATACTGTAAAATTGAAACAGTTAAAAGCATTGCGCTTAAGTATATAATTGACTTTTATACTCGCTTAAAGAATGAAGAACACTCACTTAAGCAATGATTTTCCTATCAACAAAACATAACGTCATCATAACTCGATTTCTCTTAGGGATCTAACAAATGTTCAAGAGTAAACTATCTATAACTACAAGTTAGAAGGTTAAGCCTTGACAATCTTATTCACTAATGTAAGAACAGCAACCCCTATCATACCGGAATGGTCCGCAGTCGGTAGAAGGCTTCAATCTGTATGAAAAAATGGCATATTTATATACCTGGTGACAATTATGAAGCAAATTGTAAAATCCTAAAACTCTGACTTCTTTTATAAACAACTCGCACTCCTCGAGTGAACTTATGCACTTTGCCAGCGTTGAGTGACAGAATCATTTTTCAATTTTCTATAGTGATCTTTCTAAATATATAAACTAAGAAAAAGATTGGTCAAAGATCTACACCCATGATGACGTAAACGAAACCAATAAAGGACCCCTTGTGAGCAAAAATGGACTTAGATTGGTTCTACTTGAATTTCAACATATATTATGAAACGGGGACCATGACAGAAGGAGGGTGCCTTGAAAATGTGCCTTGAAAATTTGTTCTTGCGAAAGAAAAGAAAGCACAGGCTAACCCCGAATCGTTGCCATGTCGATGTTATATAACGGTGACCCCACTATTGCTTGGAAAGGTCTCATCAATTTATACCCATCATAATTAGCTACCGCCGATGCTAGCTGCTTGTGTAATCACTAAGAAAGCATCCTTTCTTGCATTATAATATTTTTAAAAGAAATAAATGCAACAGTATTCTTTTCAATAATGCTCTACAAAAGGTTATGGAAAAATATCTGTATCATCGTGCCAGGATTCTACTCAACTGATAGTGCATCTTTCTAGTGTATTAGGCTCTAGCAGTTAAAAATAAAAAAAATTATTTCAATTTTTTCCTGGCTAGATAGAATAGAGACGTCTTCTTTAAATTACCTTTAAAATGAACAAGGCGGAATTTCTTTCACGTCGAATAACATTCCTAAAACATGAATTATCTTGAAACCAAAAAATCTTTTGGAAATTGCATACCTGTCTTCATTGATCATGATCAAGCCAATAACAATCATTGCCAGTGTAAGCATCATGCTCAAGAGAGCAAAAAATCGAAGCTGCATCTTTGAGGCTTTGAAAGGGCGCACCGATGGCCGGCAGAACTGCATAACGCTCGCCTGAAAGTCGAAAGAAGACGTATTATAAAGAAATGCTAACATGCCACTTTGAATCAGATTCAAAATGAATCGTGAGACAATTAATACTATAGTTGAGTGGTACCTGTGATAATTCTTCATCCATAGACATCTGTCTTCAAGATATCAGTTGCACTCCCGTAATAACAATATTAAAAAACAAAACAGACGAGTGAATCCGTGTTATTTCTCTACTTCACCCTTTGCTACTTTGCACCTCACTAATTCGCTACTTCACCCTATGCTACTTTGCACCTCACTAATTCACTACTTCACCCTTTGCTACTATGCACCTCACTAATTCGCTACTTCACCCTTTGCTACTTTGCACCTCACTAATTCGCTACTTCACCCTTTGCTACTTTGCACCTCACTAATTCGCTACTTCACCCTATGCTACTTTGCACCTCACTAATTCACTACTTCACCCTTTGCTACTATGCACCTCACTAATTCGCTACTTCACCCTTTGCTACTTTGCACCTCACTAATTCGCTACTTCACCCTTTGCTACTTTGCACCTCACTAATTCGCTACTTCACCCTTTGCTACTTTGCACCTCACTAATTCGCTACTTCACCCTTTGCTACTTTGCACCTCACTAATTCGCTACTTCACCCTTTGCTACTTTGCACCTCACTAATTCGCTACTTCACCCTTTGCTACTTTGCACCTCACTAATTCGCTACTTCACCCTATGCTACTTTGCACCTCACTAATTCACTACTTCACCCTTTGCTACTATGCACCTCACTAATTCGCTACTTCACCCTTTGCTACTTTGCACCTCACTAATTCGCTACTTCACCCTTTGCTACTTTGCACCTCAAAGGTTGTGTTGAAGTAACGATTAGTGAGGTGCAAAGTAGCAAGTGAAGTAGCGAATTAAGTGAGGTGCATAAGTACAAAGGGTGAAGTAGTACGCGAATTAGTGGGTGCAAGATGTAGCAAAGGGTGAAGTTGCGAAGTTACTGAAAGTGCAAATTGGCAAAGGGAAGTAGCGAATATAGTGAGGTGCATAGTAGCAAAGGTGAAGTAGCGAATTACGTGAGGTGCCAAAGTAGCAAAGGGTGGAATGTAGTCGAAAATTACTGGAGGTGCAAAGTAGCAAAGGGTGAGTAGCGAATGTTGAGGTGCAAAGTAGCAAAGGGTGAAGTAGCGAATTAAGTGAGGTGCAAAAGAGCAAAGGTGAAGTAGCGAATTACTGAGGTGCAAAGTGAGAAGGTGAAGTAGCGAATTAGGAGGTGCAAAGTAGCAAGAGGGTGAAGTAGCGAATAGTGAGGTGCATAAGTAGCAAAGGGTGAAGTAGCGAATTAGTGAGGTGCAAAGTAGCAAAAGGTGAAGTAGCGAATTAGTGAGGTGCATAGTAGCAAAGGGTGAAGTAGCGAATTAGTGAGGTGCAAAGTAGCACAAGGGTGAAGTAGCGAATTGTGAGGTGCAAAGTAGCAAAGGGTGAAGTAGCGAATTACTGAGGTGCAAAGTAGCAAAGGTGAAGTAGCGATTAGTGAGGTGCATAGTAGCAAAGGGTGAAGTAGCGCAATTAATGAGGTGCAATAGTAGCAAAGGGTGAAGTAGCGAAGTTAGTGAGGTGCAAAGTACAAAGGGTGAAGTAGCGAATTAGTGAGGTGCAAAGTAGCAAAGGGTGAAGTCAGTGAATTAGTGAGGTGCAAAGTAGCAAAGGGTGAAGTAGCGAATTAGTGAGGTGCAAAGTAGCACAAAGGATGAAAGTAGCGAATTAGTGAGGTGCATAGTAGCAAAGGGTGAAGTAGCGAATTAGTGAGGTGCAAAGTAGCAAAGGTGAAGTAGCGAATTAGTGAGGTGCAAAGTAGCAAAGGGTGAAGTAGCGAATTAGTGAGGTGCAAAGTAGCAAAGGGTGAAGTAGTGAATTAGTGAGGTGCAAAGTAGCAAAGGGTGAAGTAGCGAATTATGAGTGCAAAGTAGCAAAGGTGAAGTAGCGAATTAGTGAGGTGCATAGTAGCAAAGGGTGAAGTAGGCGAATTAGTGAGGTGCAAAGTAGCAAAGGGTGAAGTAGCGAATTAGTGAGGTGCAAAGTAGCAAAGGGGTGAAGTAGCAGATTAGTGAGGTGCAAGTAGCAAAGGATGAAGTAGCGATTAGTGAGGTGCATAGTAGCAAAGGGTGAAGTAGCGGAATTAGTGAGGTTGCAAATTAGCAAAGGTGAAGTAGCGAATTAGTGAGGTGCAAAGTAGCAAAGGGTGAAGTAGCGAATTAGTGAGGTGCATAGTAGCAAAGGGTGAAGTAGCGAATTAGTGAGGTGCAAGTAGCAAAGGTGAAGTAGCAATTAGTGAGGTGCTGTAGCAAGGGTGAAGTAGCGAATTAAGTGAGGTGCAAAGTAGCAAAGGGTGAAGTAAGTAGCAAAGGTAATACGTATGAGTGGCAAAGTAGCAAAGGTGAAGTAGCGAATTAC